AATAGGAAATAAATATTTTAAATGAAAAAGAACGAGTATTGAGGAAAGAGATATTAGATTTATAAAATGAATTAGGTAATTAAAAATTAAGTTAAACTATAAAAATCAGAGAATTAGAAACATTGGCTGAATAATATAAATAAGAATCTATTCATGCTTAATAAGAATAAGATTATGCTGAATAATTAACAGCAAAAATTAGTATATAATATGCTGATTTGGCCATGGAATATGAAAAAGCTGTACTTTAAAATAGATCTTATCGTAAATCATTTTCTAAACTTAAATAATGAACCACATTTTTATTATTATTATTAATTATATATATACTATTGAGTTATATTTAATATTTGAATTGTCATATAAGAATATATGAAAGTGATTATAAATTCATAACTGTTTTAAATCACTTTTAACAAAGGTTTATATTATTTTTAATTTTATAATAATATGAATTCCAAAAATAAAAACAACGATAGCTCAAGTGAAGATGATGCTAAAGTTTATGAGACTCTAACAAAACTTCCTCCAGCAAATGAAATTATGCCACGTAAATTGACCATCGATATTGATGTTAAATCTCTATTTCCCTTAAAGTGAGAATTTTATTTTTCGAAAAGTCAAGACCTTTGCCTTAATTCAATCAGTTTTATTCTACATTCGTTGAAGAAATTTAGACTCCTTAAAATCCTGTCGAAACTATGTAATAGGAAGAGAGAACTTTGCTTGAATATTTCGAGTAGAATAAATAAAATTTGATTTACAAACGATTTGATCAACTTGATCTATCCAAAAGAAGTCCTAACGATAGAACTTATTTTTCTACATTATTTGCTAATTTCAAAAAGTTCTTATTGCATTAAAATTAATAGATAATATCCAAGAGTCTATTTTAGAGGTGATCCACTTTTTGATTAAAAGCTAATACCATGTCAAACTGATTAATTGAAGTTTGATTCAAATTTTGAATCTGGAAATTTATTCTGTGCTTTTAAAAGAGCTGAAAATGTATATGATCTAATACTTTAAAATGATATTAATACTAGAGGCAATACACAATGGTTTTTTTTTAGTGTAACTGGAGCTAAAGCAGGTTAAACTGTTTAATTTAATTTGCTTAATTAAGTACAATAAATTAATAGTACTAGCTCAAAAGCAACAGTTTATTTAATGAAGGATTGCAACCAGCCATTTATTCAATTAAAGAGAATGAAATCAATAAGAAAGAATGGTGTAGAGGTGGATTTAATATAAGTTATTTTAAGAGTTCCTTTATTAAAGAATACCCTTAAACTATGAGAGCTAAATATTACTAATTGAGATTCAGTTACACTTTTAAATATAATAATGATAAGGTATATTTTGCTCATTCATATCCATATACCTACACTAATTTATTAGAATTTTTAAATACAATTCTAGATAATCCTGAAAAAAATTAATATATGTCTAGAAAATCATTATGTACAACTTTGGGTGGTAATACATGTGAAGTATTAACAATAACATCTAATTCAATGTAACGTAGAGCATACAGAAAGGGAGTAGTTTTTTTAGCAAGATAACATCCAGGTGAACCTTAAGGATCATATGTAATGTAAGGTATAATAGAGTATCTAACATCAAATAATCCATAAGCAGACTATTTGAGATAGAATTGCATATTTAAAATATTTCCTATGATGAATAGTGATGGAGTTGTAAATGGAAATTACAGATGTGGTTTGGAAGGAAGTGATTTTAATAGAAGATGGAAAAAACCAAATAAATATTTACATCCAACTGTTTATTATGCCAAAAAATATATTAAAGGATTTAGTAAGGAAAGGTAAATCATTTTAGTAATTGATTTACATGGACATTCAAGAAAACAATCATCATTTGTTTATGGATGTGCTTACTCATCTTAAGTTAAGACAATTGAGAGGGTTTTTGCTTTATTAATGGCTAAAATGAATCCTTTTATGGATTATTCATCATGTACATTTAGAGTTGAAAGCTCAAAAGATAAGACTGCTAGAATTCAAATTTGGAGAGAATTAAAAATTAATTGGGTATATACTTATGAATGTAGTTTCTATGGTTAATAAAAGAAGCATTTCTAAATTAAAGACTATATCAATTGTGGGGTAAGTATATGTAATTCATTATCTTAAATTGTTAAAGATACTTCTAAAGAATTCACAAATTAAGCAAATATTCCAGATATTTAATAATAAATTCTTGAAGAATTAGGTAAGATGCCTTAAACAGATGATCAAGATTAAGGATCTGATACTAGTTAATCTGAAGCAGAATTATCTGATGATGAAATTGTTTAATTATTCTAACCTAAAACTTATTCTTTAAAATAGAAGAATTTTCTAAAATAATTAGATACTAAAAAGAAATAAATAACTACCAAATAAACTTTAATTACTCAAAAAAATAGTATATTATAAGAATCACCTTCCAAAAATTAACAATAATAACAGGATAATAAACTTCCTTAAAGTAGTTTAAAACCAAAGAATGTTGCCTATAGAATTCCACCTCAAGTAAAATTACGATAAATTGAACCTATTAAAGAATAGTAATAATAATAACCAATTATGGTTGATAAGAGCTGTTAAACAGATGATTGGATGTATAGATAATGGCTGATATAAATTGGAAAATAGAAAAAATAAGAGGAATATTTAAGTTAAACCCCTACTAGAAATATTTATAAATCTTCATCATAATCAGCTACAAGGTTTATTGTTAAAAATACATCAAAGCCTGATAGAGGTCGAATTGATTCTATTTCCTTAGTTAATTCAGGAATATAAAAAAGTAATAAAAATCACTCAATATATAGCATCATTTAGTTAATAAAGATAAATAATGAGATATTCAGGAAGTAATTTTATGTATTGATTTATGTTCATTTTTGTTTGTAAGATTATTTCATTCTTTATTATTATCATTTATATTGAATATAATAAAGAGTATTGTATCCAATAATAGTATTATTAATTATAAACATTTTTATTATTAGAATATTTGAATACAATCAATAATAGCTTTTTCATTAACTGATTAAAATTATGAATAAAAATCAATCATTTTAGTATTTCTCTTCATATAAAATATTTATACATTTGTCTTCTTCTTTTAGATAAAATCTTTTATTTTTCTATTTAATCTTAATGTGTTTAAATTTAAGAAGAAATCTTACTTTATAAAGTGGACTTTTTAAGTTTTTATCTTAAATTATTATATTCTCTAAATTTATTAATGATATTAAGCGTTAAAGTTTAGAATTACTTTGGTATGAATAAATATAAAATCTCCTAATGGAATAGTATTATTTATAAATCTATTTTGGTTTGGCCATTATTATTAATTTCTATAATTATTTTAATGTTACGAATTAATTTTGACAGATTATTAACTTTAAATTGATCTTTTACATATATATACACTTTATAAAACTAAAATTTTCATAAGTATTAGCTAATATATAACTATTGGAAAAGATGTAATTGATAATTATTTTTTTTCTATTGTTTGTAATTCATTTTTTGAATTTTGTTTTTCTTTATACAATTAAATAATGTTTAGGTTTCTTTATTGTATTTGTATTCAATTAGTTAATATTTATCTAATTAAGTAAAGGAGATAAGGAAAAATATATAATAAGTATTTATTATTTTTTTATATATAAAAGGTCAATTCAATTTGTTTCTGAAGGTCTTTTGGTTTGATTTCTTACTGAGTTTATGAATTTTGGCTAATAAAAACTAGGAAGTATGATTTTAGGTGTCATTGGTGAATCTAAACCATCATTCTTATCCCAAATCTCATAATAAGTTGATTTAGTAGATCCATCAAGATTTTTTTAACTTAATTATATTGATCTTAATGATTTTCTCTCTATAGCCTATTGCATAAATTTGTTATTTAGGATATTGAAAGAACTCATATGCTTTATAACAATTATTAAAAAAATTATGGTTATTTGGATTGAAATAAAATCTGAAGTAGCATAAATTACATAAATATCATATATATTCAAATGCTATCTTAATTAAATAAGTTATTAGACATTTAAGGAATATTTTATATTTTTAAACCTTGAATAAAGAAATGATTTTATTAAAATGTCCGTCCAAGAATTTCTGTTGACTTTTTTAACTATAAAGGGAAGTTTAATTTTTCAAAAGAATATTAGAGAAAATGAATTACTTATTAATATATAATACATTATATGTACAATTTGTAATGTCAATATTTTATTTCTAAAAAATCATTTTCATAAAATTTAGAAATCTTTAGAAATTTATAAGATTTCATTATAATTATGTTACTATAGCAAATAGATATACATTAAAGAATCATTAAAAAGACTTTCTCTAATATTTCTCATTTAACCTAATAATTAGGTCCATATTTATAGATTTTGGAATAGAAATGATGTTAGAATTTTCTGAATCATTTCTTAAATTTGAATAGGATGTATCGAGATCTGCTTAAGATTCAGAGTTTTTTGAATAAACAAGATTTTCAATTTATAACTTTTCTATAATAGAATTTGGTTAGTCCCTTTTGTTTTTTAGCTTTTAAGAAGCTTTTTTATGGAATCTATTGTTTTATAGTCCAAAAGCATTCATAATGATTAAAATTTTTATTAAGATTAATTATAATGAACAATTAATCAAAAAAATTGTTAAATAAACTTGATATACTATTGGAATTAAAATAAGAATATAAAATATGATTTTGATATATAAAGTAATATAATAAGCTAAAATCGAATAATAAATATATTGACTTTTAAATTAAATTTGATAATTTTTGTATTAATATGATATCAATTTCATTTATCAAAATTGTTATATCAATATTGAAATTAAAAATTGAATTTAATAATTTAAATAAATAGAATATTTGTATCTATTATTAATAGATATATCATTTAATAAAAGTAATTTTAAACTAACAATATATTATATAAACATAATTAAGTAATCACATAATCAACATTAACAAAGTTAAAATAGACTTTTCTTTTTTATTGATACAATTGAATTAGATAAGACAGGATTTGCATTACGATTTTCCTTTTATTATTTTTCTTCTAATTCTTTCTTTTTTAGCCAAAGTTTAACTACATAATTAACTGCACTTTCTATGTTTCGGTTCTCTAAAGCAGATGATTCAAAGAACTCAAGTCCTTATGATGAAGCTAATTCTTTTCCTTCATCAAAATCAACTTCTCTTTTATAATTTAAATCACTTTTATTTCCTATGAGAACTTTAATTGTATCAGGTGATGAATTCTGTTCTACTTCATTAATCCAATATTCTATTCTTTTAAATGATTCTCTATCAGTAATATCATAGACAAAAAAAATAGCATGAGCTCCTCTATAATAATTTCTGCTTATTGTTCTAAATCTCTCTTATCCTGCAGTGTCCCAGAATTATAATTTAACATTTTTCCCTTATTGTTCAATTATTTTTGTTTTGAAGTCTATACCAATAGTTGGAAGTAAATTTTATTAAAATTCTTAATCTGTATATCTCAATAGGAGTGAACTTTTTCCAATTCCAGTATCACCCACCAATATTATTCTTAATAAATAGTCAAACTCGAAATATGTTTCTGACATCTTTTTACTTTTAGGTATTTTATTATGAAAATTATAATTATTCTGGAATTCATGTTTTGAGAGTATTTCTCCCAGAAATAAACAGTATATATATTATTTTAAATAATAATTAAATTTTATTATTTTTTAAACCTAATTCATTTATAATAATAAATAAAAACTGATTTAAATATTTAGTAATAATATGTATAAAAAGCTTTATAAATTTTGTATAAATTAATTTCAATATATCTAATTTGAAGGAAAATAAGCACTTAAATTTCTTTATCTTTAAAATTAACTATTTTATCTTTTAGTTTGATTACTATCAAGATATTTTCTAAGTTATAATCGTGATTTACTGTTATTTAAGTCTATTGTGATCAACAAATATTCCAGGAACTATTCCAACATTTAATGTTTCATTATTGTAATAATTTTAATTAATTTTCATTTCCACAGTACTCATAGATTAATCTCTTTTTTTCTTTGTTTATTATTCTTCAATCTACATTATCAAATCTTATCGATACTATTTTTACTTCTCTATCTTCCTTTATAAATCATCCTAATCTTTTCTCTTATAATGTTCATTTACAACTCCAAAATACTCTAATTCTTATGATTTCTATTGCTATTCTCTTTCTTTCCATTCTCGTTTGTACTCAATTTATTACATAATAGAATTATAGGTTTCTTTATTCTTCTTTTATCTTATAGCTCTCTCTATAATTAATCTTTATTCATCCTATTGTCTTTTTTATTCAGCAGCTTCCTTTATTATTTTATTGTCTAATTCGTATTTCTCTCTTTCTTTTTATTAGTAGATTTAATTATATTTCTCTAATAATCCTTCATTTTAATGATAATTATGTTTTAACTTATTCAAAAACTAGTATAAATATAGATAATACATTTCGTCTTTACTCTTCTTCTTATTATAATTTATTAACTTCTTCTTACATACTCTGTTTCTCAAATAACTTAATTTTATTTTATTCAATTCTTTTCTTATCTTCCATATCTTTATATGATTAATTTAACTCATAAATAATTTTATTTTTTTTATATTATTTCTCAATAAGTTCTTCCTTAAAATTTTATTAATTTTTAATCATTTATTCGTTAATCTATTATTTCTCATTTTAATTATATTGTTTCTATAATATTTTCTTTATTTCTTATTATTCCAAACTATATTTTGCAAATTCTGCCTCCTTTTATTTCAATTAATTCAATTTCTGAATTTATTCAAAATCTTGCCTTTATAAACTTTATTGTATTTAATCAGCATATTAAAAATTATCCAAACTATCTGAATTCTTTTTATTTCTTTCTTACATTGCAGTTTGTAATTCCTATCTTTAAATATATTCTATATTATTTTACCTGTATTGTAATTTACGTTGATAATTTTCATATTTTAGTACTTATTATTGCTGATCTGATTGAGAATTTTACTATTAAATTAATCTGCTCCATTCTCCAGTTGGATCTATCAAATTTTAATATATATTATTACTATTACTGCTATATTTATTCATTAAATAAAATTATATTGTCAAAATTTGACTTATTATTTATAAGATCATGAATGTTCAATATGAATATGAATTTATTTACTAATAAGATTTAAAAAAAATGAATTATAATATCATTCAGAAGTCTTAAAATATTCACTAAAACTTGAATGTTTTCGTATAGACATTGTGAGTTCATAAGTTTAAATTTTAGATTCTAAAATTCTATATTCCTCACAAACCTTTTAATGAGAATCAAAAAGCAAGTTATATTGCTCTCCAAATTCAAGTATTTTCATTTATTATTCTTAAACCAATTATTTAAGTTGTTCATTTTCATAAACCAATTTCTAATTCATAAGGGCTTCACTCTTCAATTCGCAATTTTCATTTAGCAATATTAACATTCTTTTCTCTAGTTATAAAATTTCAGGATAATTATTATTTACATTCCTACATTAACTTTGCTCTAATTTATTGATTTCTATTTAGCTAATATAACATATCTACTTTATTCTAGTTCACTTATATAATCATATAGGTTTGTACTATCTTTTTTCTTTACTACAGTGTTAGATTGGTAATTTTTGAATTAATTTTCATTTTTTTAAAAGGGACTACATTTAACTCCTGAGTTTGTTTATACTTTTACTAATCTCTCTGGAGTAGCAAAATTACATTATGAAGTTCTAACAGTATGGAAAGATTAACAAGGCGATCTGTAAGCTTTCATAACTATTTATTAAAATTATTCAAATTCCAATTAAGCAACCGATTATTATAAAATAAAACTTAGATATATTATTATATTATTGATATTTGCTTTAAGAATTTGAATAAGAATGAGAAGAAATTATTTGATTCTCATATTATTTCAATGTTTAGAAGACTGAAGGAGTTTTAAAAAGCATTAAAAAAAAACAAATAAAAATTAATACAATTACATAACATCCTTGGGAGGAAAATGAAGATGTAACGCCAAATAAAGACAAGTTTAAGAAAAATTTTATAAATATAAGTTAGAAGTAAAGATATTTTAACAAAATAACATGAGATGTTAAATCATCACTTCAATTAGTTTAGAAGAGATTTGTTATTTATGACTTTAGCAACTAGAGCCCAAGCATTTTGGAGGAACTCTTCAGTTTTTGCTATTTCTTCTCCTAACTTTCTTAATTCTTCCCTCTTCTTCTGCTCTTCTTAATTCTTCTTTCGGAACATTTATTTCCAAGAGCAGGGTTTCTTTGTGATTGATTTGGATGCAGATGCTAGACTTTTCTCTTCACTCATTATTTTTAATTTTTTAACTAATTTAGACTCTATGTTAGTTAACTATTTAAAACGGATATAGCAAAAACGATCTCTTAAATATAAATAGTTCTCCTATGATTGAGAGACATATTTATTATATTTTATCAGATTTATAGTCATAATTCTAGAATAATGTTGGATCCAGAATCATCTTGATGTATAAATATTTGATTAGATTTGGAAGATGAGTACTACTATTAATTAATTAGTTCAATGAAATTATATTATTTATGTATTTTTATATATATATTTATATAATTAAATTATTACTTAATATGAAAAAGTTTAGAGAATTAAAAAAGACCGGGGATGGAACATTTGGAGTTGTGATTAAGGCTGAAAACATGCAAAGTCATGATTTGGTAGCCATCAAAAAGATGAAACAAAAGTATCATAATTTTGAAGAATGTACTAACTTAAGAGAAGTTAAGGCTTTAATGAAACTTTAAAATCATCCAAATATTGTCAAACTTAAAGAATGTATGAATTGAATCAAATTAGTATTTTTGGACAATGACACTCTATGTCTGGTCTTTGAATTTGTAGACAAAAGCATTTATCAAATGTACATACAGCAAAAAGAAATGGTAACCAAATATAAGATAGAGCTTAGGGTAAAACAATTCCAGAAGACCAAATCAAATCACTTATTTACCAAGTTGCCAATGGACTAAGTTACATGCATAAACATGGTTATTTTCATCGAGATTTGAAGCCAGAAAATTTATTGGTGTCTAACAATGGTGTTGTTAAAATTATTGATCTTGGATGTGCAAGAGAGATTAGATCAAGACCACCATATACTGATTATATTGCTACTAGATGGTATAGGGTATATTATCTTTATTAATTCAATTCTAGGCTCCAGAAATATTATTAAAATAAGCCAATTACAATAGTCCAGTTGATATATTTGCTCTCGGTTGTATTATGGCTGAATTATTTTTAAATAGACCTCTATTTTAAGGTAATTCTGAATTAGAATAATTTAATAAGATTCTTTCCACTCTTGGGTAATTTAATAAAATATCTTAATTATTTTAGTACTTTCACTTAATTAGAATGGCCTGAAGGAAGTAGATTAGTCTCTCAAATGGGATTAGCATTGGCGTAATTTTAACCTCTTTAATTATAATAATTGATACCGAATGCTAGTACAGAGGCCTTAAATTTATTAACTTAAATGATTCGATGGGATCCTAATAAAAGAATCACAGCCACTCAAATGTTAACTCATCCATTTTTCTATAATATTGAGAAGATTGCACCTCCTATCATTTTTGAAGAATAGATCAAATCTAAAGATGAATTAAAATTTCCAGAGATGGAGAAAAAATCTAAATCATATAGTCAAAAAGAAGAACCTTAGAATCAATTCAAATAAAAATAATTTGTATAACAATAACCATAAGAAGATGATAGTAATGATCTGGATGATATTTTGGATTTTATTACAACTGAAAATAAACCACTTCCTTCCAAATAATCTACTTAATCTTCTAAAAGTTTAGAATATGGTGAATATATTCCATCTATTCCTTAAAATAGACAACCAAGGAATTTATAATCAAGTCAATTATAAGAATAATAAAAGAAGGATAATAATAATTCGATATATGATTTTAGCCATTTACAAAGTTTCAAACCTGCAAAAATGCCTAATACAAATTCTAAATATTGATCAGTTATTCTAGATTTTTTTGCTTAAATTATTTAATGTTTCAATAAATAAAATTAATAACAATTATCATTCATTTATAATTCTAAATTTTCTTTGTATTAACAATTTCTCCATCTTTAGAAAACAATATCAATAAAAATTATTTATTTACTTCTGAAGATATTCTTATTTTTCTATATAATTAAAACCATTGACAATCAATACAATAATCAACTAAATATAATGAATGTTTATGCTCCAAATCTTATTTATCATAAAATACTAGAGGCACTCCAAATATTCTACCTGATTCAATTATATATTGATTACAATATTTAGAATATATTTTTAATTCTAATTAATCAACATATTTATTAGAAATCAATAGTTTTGCCAATTATCCTAAAGTTATTTCTTATGTATAAATTGTAAAATTTATCAATCTTAAATATTCTTAAGAATAATTTCGTTTTTGTTTATTTAATTCTACAAATTAGAACTATTATTCCATTAAACTCTTATCTATTTATACAATTTAAGGCTTATCAAATTCCTCACTATTTATATTTATTAATTCATTATAAAAATCTAACTCTAATAAAATGATTTGGTCTTCTGGAAATTCAGTGATAAATTTATTAAAGGTCCAAACTGCATCTTAATTAAAAAAGAAAGAAAAATTAGCATAATATTTCATATTATATATATATATATTAATATTGTATTATATTTTGAGTTTAAAAAATAGGATTGTAGGATATATAATATTTAGTAAGTAAATTTATGATAATCAATTACTTAAAAAAAATTATTTTAAGTATCTAGAAACATTATGTTTTAAAATTGATACTTAAAAATCCTTATCTTATAATCTTTATTTCAGACTCATTTAGAAAATAGTTTCATTGGTTAAGTAGTTTAATTTATCAATAATTTATGGGTTTAGTTAGGATTTTTAATTAACATTTTCAATAAATTATTTAATTTTACTATAATTCTATCCCAAATCAAACACAGTATTGGTTTTAGGAATTTCAAATTTTAATTCTTACTAAAAAACTGAATTCTAATTACTTTTTCCTTCTTCAACTTTTATTAAATCTTCTAATTTATTTTATTACTAAATTTTTTTTAATTCCTTTAACTTTCTTTTTTCTTACTTACCTAAACTAACTCCATCGAATTTTAACTTTTATAAAATTAATTATAAGCTCATATTAATCCCTCTAGCTATGTTTTCAGGAGCTTTTTCATCAGGATTATTCTCTTAGGAAATTGTCTATTAAACATTATAACAGCCAGTTTAAAGTTCTTCCAATTATGTTTAGATTTCTTATTACAATCTTCTTTTTAGTTATTTTACTTCCTTTCTACTCAGATCTTTTTCTTCTGTATACATCTAAAATAATTTAATAAGTTTATAAACTTTTGAATGTTTAATATTAATGAATTCTTAGTTCGGTCGGCCCAAAGGATCTATTACAATTATTTTAATGTGTGAGTCAATTTCAACTCTTTCTCTTCTGCTGGTCTTCTTTTCTCTTCTACCTTCTTACTCATACGTCTGTAAAATTGCCTTACAAGTGCAGGCCTTGGTTTTAAACATCTCAGCTACCTATAAATATTAAAAAATTCAATTACATTGCATAAGGGGAGTTTCTCAACTGTCAGAGCATGAAGTATTAGAGATCGAGTTTCTTGGGATATTTTTTAATAAGGTCTTTTTGGTTTATTAGTTTCAAATGTCGATTAAATGGACTAATTTGGGAATTGTTCAACATGTTGTTCCATGGGAAATGAGAAATTTTAATATACTAATTATTTATTCGGAATCTTTTTTTCCAAACCATATAAATTTTTTTCTAATTTAGATTTGATGATTGATAAAAAATTATAATGTTTTATGAATTTATTTGAGAATTTAAAATTATTTATAATTTTCTTTTGAATTTATTATATTATTTTTATTAGAACACTATCCTTATATAAACTGAAACATTATAGATGAAAAAATATTAAAATATTTTTTCATTTACTATTTAAAATTATCAACTTATTCGGTTAAAAAAATTGTAATTTATATATAGAAAAGAACATCTTCCAATTAATAAAGTAATTAAAAAAATGCTCAAACAAATATTTATAATTAAATTAATATTAAAAATAGAAGGAAGGCATAATATTTGTTAGATAAAATGAATATTTAAAAAAGAGTTTAAAATTAAAATTTATACTCAGTTGATTCTTCCCTTAATGTAGTTGGAAGCTCCTTCTAATTTTGTAGCAAGGATTGATTCAACTTATCTAATTATACTAATTTCAGTAGTTCTTTATTCGGTATCTCTTGCATATAAAGATCTCCAATTATCACATTAAGCTTCTTTCATTTTCTTTCCATTAGTAGCAGATTCTAATTCTCTTCCTGCATCATACTTTCTCTTTTTAGCAGCAGCCAACATATGTTCAACTTATACAATCTTAGTTTCAGCCTCAGCCTTAGCAGATTAAATAGCTTCTCTCTATTCTTAAATTGAATAGATTTATGCTTCAAAATTGAGTTATGATTGAATCTCTTCTTCTCTATCATCAATTAAAGCTTATTCTAATGAAGCTCTCAATTCACCAATTTTAGCTTAAACACTTTATAATTTTTCTGCTGAAAATGTTGAAGCCAACTAAACAAGAGCAAGAATAGGATTATCTCCACCTACTCTTTCTAATTCGGCAAGTACAACTTCAGCATCAGCTTCAGGTTGAATAGCACTTAATTTTGCAGCAATAACATCAAGAGCTTCAACTACTTTAGGTGTTTAAATTTCTCTTTCTTAATAAGCAGCATGATCTTCAGCTCTTTATTCTCTCAATTATTCTTCTTATTGATTGAGGATATTTAATTAAATTACTTAATTATCTATTTCTTATTATAAAAGTTCAATTTCAGAAGTATATTTATTAATATCCATAGTAGCTTCAGTGATTTCATTTGAAGCAAAATCAATTCTTCTATTGTATCCATAAATTTCAGCTTCACAATCAGCCTCTTAAGCAACATGTACTAATTCAGCATCTTATTATTAAAGAACCAAGTTTTCTCTTAAATCTTAAAGCATCTTTGCAATATCAGAGAGTGGTGATTGATTTCTCATTTAGATTGCAATTGTATCAAGAATCTTTTTTCCTAAAGGATGATCTTCAAGATTTTCAAGTTAAGCAAATACTGCAGCATGAGGATCTGAAGCATGTTTAATCATAACTGCTTGTGTGAATGCGATCAAAGCTAAACAGATTACAAACTTCATTTTTAATAGTGATAATCAAGAAATTTCGTTTTTTTCTTCAAAGCAATCTGTTAGTTTACTGTTTAAGTTTTATTATTTTAATATATGGAATGACCTTTCAATAAGAATAATTCTATAATTTTTCCAAAAGCAAATGAATTTAACATAGCCTTTATTTTGCTCAAATTATTTAATAAAAACATATAATTAAAATTCTAGAAAAAAATAAATACATTCAAATTAATTTACAATAAATATTATATCAAAAACAACATTAACAATAAAAAGGACATAAATTACTATTACCTTACTTTCCTATTTAAAATTTTTCATTACTATATACTTTATAACCTTCCTATGGGTAATGTATTTTGCTTTATTATTCGTTAAAATTTTAGATTTTTTTTATTTTTCTGATGGTTTTACTATTATTAAGATTTTCTGATTTTCTCTATTTCTACTTATTTTTTAAGTCATTTTAGATTTAATCACATTTATTCATCGTCTAATGATCTTGGTTTTTATTTGTTTAAAATATCATTAATGTCCTTATTGGAAATTGAGTTTTGTTCTTTTTTTTTTACCCATAAAATAATATTAATTAATTATAATTGGGGAATATTGTATGTTTATATTATACAATTAATATGATTAAGCTCATCATTCTGTTTAAGCAGCTCCCTTTTGAACTGAGAAATATTTAACTTTGATATCTTATTCCTCTTAGACAGCAGCTTTAGTAGCATCGTTTAAGGAAGCAGCAACTTTGTTGTAAGCAGCTCTTGAAGCCTTCTTGAGTGCCTTATTCTATAAAAGATATGAAAATAAATAAATACCTTCTTAATTTTCTTTGTTCCCTTGGTATTGGCTTTGATAGCAGCAGCGGCAGCAACTCTTTGTTTTTTAGCATATGGGTTCAATCTGTCCATAGCCTTGGTGTTTTTCAATGGGTTTTTCTTTTAAACTTCATGAAGAACTTTGGTTGTCTTGGCTGGTTAGACCTTTTCTTAGACTTAGTTAGAATTGATGATTCTAGCCAAATCTGGATTGGTGATGAGTGGTCTCAACAATTGATATCCATCCTTGATAATTGATGAATATCTGTATGTTCCAAATAATTTATCGAGGTGAGCAAAGGCGCTTTAAGTCCAAATGACGAATCTTCCCAATTAACCTCCTGGAGCAAGTTAGAGGAGATTTAATCTTGTGACATTGACAACTTCAACTCCTGGAACATCTAATGGATTTATTAATATATATGATTACTTCTGAAAGCTTTCAATAATTTAGCATTCTCATTGAAGTAGACAACCAATGGTCCCTTTCTAACTCTGTATTTCTTTCCTCTTTATTTGCTGATTCCAGCTCTAACAACTTTAGTGGAAACAACTTTTTAAACATCTTCAAAAGCACCGAATCTCTTCAAGAAATTGAGAGCATCAGTAGTCTTTTCATATGATTCAATCTTGTCTTCAACAACAAGTGGAATTTATGGGACTTAACTGATTCTATGTCCTCTAGCCAAAACTAATGGAACAATTCCTGTAGCGGCAACAGCTGTAGCAGCTGCATGTCTCTTTTATTTGATGTTGACTCTTCTATGCCATCTTCTCCATACTTTGATTGGTAAACTCATTCTTCCCTTTCTACATTAGTTACCAAAGGCAGCTTGACCAGATCTATGTGTTCCTGATCCAGATACTCTTGGAATACGAGCTACGGCTCTACCAGTACCCCAGGATTCAGCACTGTGTTACATACCGGCTTATGGGTTGACAGCATGAGCTATAATAGAGGTTTATAATTAATCAAATACCTTGTCTTCTGTTCTTAGCAATGTTAGTATGAACAAATGAGACGATATCTGGTCTAATTGGTGTTTAAAACACAGCTGGGAGTGGGATGTGTTTTGCTGTGACCTTAGATGAGTCATCGGCTGAAAAAACTGATACTAAAGGAACGGATGTCATTTCTTAAGATATTTTTTTAAATAAAAAATTTTGGTTTTTAAATTCTTGCCATTAATTAATATATGATAAAAGACTAATGTATATATATTTCATATCATCATTTACTTTAACATAATACAATGATTGAAATTCAATAAATCTTTTGAATTATAACATTCCTAATGTAAAATATATTGTCATTAGAAATATAATTAAACAAGAATTCAAATATTTAAAAAAAAGAATTACTATTAATTATCACATTCAAACTCAATATCTTACAATAAATAAGATTAAATAATAAAGTATTTTATGATTAAATTCATCCAATATTATTTTTTGATTATATTTCATTTATTAAAAATGAATATCATAATTAATCATTATATTGGCTACATGGCCCTGTAGGAAGTTTAAAAAACTCTTTCTCCATCTTCTTCAAAATGATGCATTCTCAAATCTTTCTATAATTATGGGTCCAACTTATTTGGAGGACCTTATTTAGTGCCATATTATGAATTGTGAGTATTATATGTGCCTAACTAACTGCCATAAACAAAATGTTATCTTCTTAAGTCTTTGAGTTGTTCTTCACTTAAAGTGTTACGATGTGGAGTAATTTGAGTAATTTTTTAAGGATATTCTATAGGATCAGTTCCTAATTAAAAATGATGTTATCTTAAATCTCTAATTTGATTTTTGTCCAATTTAAACTAATCAACCTTTTCTGGTATTTAATAACTAAAATATTAATTGATAATTACTTTCTATTGTTTTCAGTATTGTAATCTACTTATTCATCTCCAAATTTAACAGCTGAGATTCTAGGATCTTTAGCTAATTCAGGTTTTTAAGTATTTGGATTTGGATAATTAGTATTATAACTCGTTCGATAATATCGATCATTCAAAAATCCATGTGTACCTATAGTCAATGAACAAGTTGGTAAGTTTGGTTAAGATACAGCAATAGCTGTTTTTTAAAACATAGATTATTTTGTTGTTTATGGCATATCTGATTTTTGATAAGCAAAATCAAAATGTGCTGTTCTTAAATCTAATAAAACATCTTTATTAACTCTAATAACTTCTTTATTTTATTATCCTTAGAAAGCATCTTTATTTTGTGAAGTTTTGACTGAAGGATCTTCACCTAAGACAAGATGAGACTCTTTTAAAAATTTCTCTAGATTTCCTTTATCATTTGTTTTTGAATTCTATTATCCATCATGATATCGAGTGTAATGAGTAGTATAATCTATTGGATTCTAAAATCATTAATAAATGATACATTTCCAATTTATATATTAGTCTTACGAATATCAGGGGCATGATATTCTTCTTTTTCAACTTTATATTCTTTATTTGTATCTTGATATGTAGTTGTAAAGTATGTTTTCAGATCTCCAAAATCATGATGATGTTTACGAATATTTACTTATTGTTTTTTTTGAATATCTAATGGTTAATTCTTATATTATGAATATTCAGTCTCACTTGGAACACTGTGAAATCCCAATTTAAAATGATGATTACGTAAATCTTTTTAAGTTTCTTCAGACAGTTGTGCTTTTTATGATTCTTTAGGATTAAATGATAATTTTGCAATAGATTAATAATTAACATTATCCTCTCCTAATTCAAAATGAGCTTTTCGAGGATTTGCAATATATGCTTCAAAATGTTTTGCTTCTTCAGTTGCTGGTAATTCCTTATCTGGTTTTTTTGCAATATAATCATCTAAGTAATTTGTACTACCAGAAGCTATAATGAAAGGTAATTGATTATACATTTATCAAACCCAACTGAAAAATGAGCCATACGAAAATCATTCATTAATTTTTTTGTGTCACTACTCATTAATATTAGACAATAATTATTATATATTAAATTTATATTTGTTGTTTTATATTGTCTCATTAAGTTTGTCCAACAAGTGCTTCAGCAGCTTAAGGTACATTATCTACTGAAACTTATTATTCTTAACTTTATGTATCATTTTATTAAATTTATGGAGTTTCAGATAATTATTAATCTTATTATTATTATTATTATTCTTATTATTAAGCATCAACTTCTACTTATTATTATTATTCTTATACTTACTCTGTTTATTACACTTATTATTCTTATACTTAATCAATATTAACTTATTGTTCTTCTTAAACTTATGGTACTTCAATTTATTCTTATGTTTCTTAGATCACTTATGGTTATGGTGCAGTAGTTATTTCATCTTTATTATTTAAAATATATATATAATACTACTTGATGCATTATCTGATCCAGTCAATGATTATGATGGTTTTGCAATGAATACATCCTTTTATGTATCAGCCATAACAAGTGGTTCTGTTAAACATTTTTCACTTGTCAAAAAAGCCAATTATTCATTTTTAATAGAATCTAATGTTGTAAATTATTATCTAAAATTATTAAAGATAATGTTACCCAATTGGAACATATATGGAGAAGACTGGAATTTAGAAGTTCATAGCATCTTCAGCTTTACATACTTTTCCAGATGTGCCTTTGAAATCGCATGAAGAGTAAAGTACAACACAATCTCCAGTGGCTGGTAAATCTTTTTCATATTAAGCAGCCAAAAAGACTTAAGATTAATCAGCACTATTTAAGGATGATTAATTTTCATCTTCATAATTGAATCCAGATTCATATTGTTTGGCAGGTTCTGAGTTTCTTGCTAATTCCTCCTCTGTAAACAATGAAGATTATTGGGCAAAGATTGTGATTTGCATGTATGGTTTTTCCTCATCTTCCAATAATACAGCTGGTTCGTCTAAAAACTTGACTGCTTTGATAGCAACAATGAGCAATAAAATGTGAGATGCACGCATATTTATATATATATAATATTAAAAACGAATTACATAATTTATAATAATTCAATTTGAACCATTTTCTTTTTATCATATAATTATATATATAAATATAAATAAATATCTAATTTTTAATGAGTTTTTTTTAATGTGCAATTTCAGATTGATGACATTAACTATAAAAAATAGATTTTTTCTTTAATTTAGACAATCTTGATTACAATATTTATTCAATTTTTGGATTACTCATTTTTTTATATACTCTCACTTTCAAAGTCTATTAATTAGAATAAATAAATCTATAGACATTAAAAATTTATTATTTAAACTTAAAATTACAATAGATATTTATTTATCATTTCTTCTACTACTCCAAACCCTATTTGATACGAGGTACCAATTCCTCTATTATAAAATGATAAGAATTTTATACCTCTAACTTATCTTGCCTTCTCTCTTATTTATTACATATTCTTGCTCTTAGCATTTGCTCTAATCTTCTTAAACATAGGTGCATATTTAAACACATCTGGAATCACAACAAATCTAATCTAACTGCCTCTCAAATAAACTTATTCTAATGACATAGGTCTTCCATCTCTAGTAACCATCTATACCTCATCTAATCTGACATTCATTGTATCCTATTAATCATATTTAAAGTTACTTCTGCTTCTGCCATATATCCAGTGAACATCTCACCTGTTTTAAGTTCAACTGTTACTATATGATGAACTGCTTCATGCATAATTTTAAGAGGGACACCTAAAGACATTTTTTTAATTATAAAATATTTAATATTAGTATAAATATACTTATATATATATAAATAAATAAATAAATAAAAAGATTTTAAAGAAATGGACAATAAGAAACCACTATATGAGAGATTTGGAGGTGATCAACAAGTGTCTGAATTGATAGATTAATTCTATTATAAAGTCTTATTTGATAAGTTGTTAAGAGACAAGTTTTTGAAAGCTGATATGAGTCGTGTTAGATATCAATAGAAGAGATTCTTCTCTCAAATGATGGGTGACAAGAATACTTAATACACTGGCAGGTATATATAATCTTATAAATCATTAGAGATCTAGTTGAAGTTCATAAAGACTTAAATATTACAAATTAGCAATTTGATAAATTTAAAGTTCATCTCAAAAATATCGCTCAGGATATGGAAGTAAGTGGAGCTGATTTAGAAGAATTACTCGATCACGTTGAAAAATACAGAGATTAAATAGTATTTAGTAAAGCAGCATGATTTAAACATAACAAGTATAAGTATAAATAAGCCAATTCATAATTCTACTTTATTATATATATATATTCATTAATAATATTAGTGACTAAGTTTTGAAGGTTTTAACTTAATTGAATTGAATTTTTATAATCTATCTTTTAAGTTAACACTTGTGAACTCCTTTTCTACTCTATCATCAATCGATGTATTAGATGGAACCTGATATAGAATACTAACAAATAACAATTCTTAGTATACCTATGAGTAATATCAAACGAATTTTCAATTATTGTTGAAAGAGACTTTCCTTTTATAATATTTGTGTGGAACTTTTCCTTTTGTTTAGTACCCATCTTAATAAACTAATGATGTTGTATAGCCTATTCAGCAGATAATCTCTAATTAGGATCAGAAATCAGAAGACCCTTCAACAAATTTATCCTGAAGATGACACATTCCTACATAGTTACTTCCTTCTATAAATAATATTACAATACTAAATTTTATAGTCAATAAGAACTGCCTCATTCTTCTATAGTATCTCTTCTTATGTAGATCCACTAAAAGGGATTTTTCCAAAATATAGTACAGAATACAAACAACCTAAACTGAAAATATCTGCTTTTGGAGTGTACAGTTTTGTTTTAAAGATCTCAGGTGCAATAAATCCTTGTGTTCCACATTTCTTGTATTTGGTTTAAGAAATATAGATTTCTGAATAGCAGAAATTAGTCAATATGACAGAAGGCAATTGAATCTAAATTAGAATACTATATAGTTTGATGTCTCTATGAAACACTCATCTGGAATGCATATGAGAAATTGCCGTTAGAAGATTGAACATAATTTAAGCAACTAATCTCTCTTCAAAATTTTAAGAATTCTCTTTTATCCAATTTCTCATATCTAAACCCTGATAATGAAGTTACTTATTGAGATCTTATTTGGCTATTAAGTTCATTAAAAAATATTATCAAAGAAGAACTATGCTATTAAAATAATACTTCAATTTGCGAAGGTTACTTATTTCTTTACTTAAACATTACAATTAATAATTTGTTATGATTGTTTTATCAATTATTTTAACTAATTTATGATTATTATTATGAATGCAATTATAATAAAGTAGGTTAGTTAATTATATATATTATAATAAGTTTTGATAAATTATTAAATCATACCTAATAAGTTTAAGATTTACCAATAAATACAGTGTAACATTATCCAAATAAAGGATCTGTCATTTTAGATTTGTTAAATACTTTAAATTTTGATTTAATTTATCCAAAACACAATATCTTTTGAATAATAGAAACCATTTTCTAAATTCATCTACTAAATCAAAAATTAATATCTCTTATAATTTCTTTATTGTAGAGTAATGCTATATTTATAATTTGGGTAGAACTTATTCATAAAAGGTAAATTTTTTCAATCTACACTTGTATAAAGAAAATATGTTGATTTGATGAAATTCTTTTATATAATTTCTCTGGACATATTTCCAAATAGACAGGGATAAATTTGTTATATTATTTCATTAATACATTCCGTGGATAAAGCACAATTGAATTGTATAAGAGATGGAGGATGATTATGTTATTTCCACATTACTGGGTCTTCATTTTAATAAAAAATAGTTCTTCTAAATTATAACATTTATATTTATATAATATTTTATATTTGTATATTGATGATCAATAATTTCAACCTTTTTTGTTTTCCAAATTCTCGAATTTTACCCATGAAGATCCAGATTCAATACTTTCTAACTATAATGCAGATATTTAGATATAGTTTACTTCATCTGCTATTTCTTCTTCTGTATGTCCACTACGTAATACTGATGTCCAAAAGTTTAACCACTCTTCTTCAGATATTGTACCACTATTATCAGTATCTACTGATTTAAACAATTCTTCTGTATTCAATTTTGCAAAATTACTCTTCCTTCATTACCATTGACATTTATATATATACCAATATTTTATTGTTTCTGACTTCTCAATCGACTTTGATCCATCTACATCGAATCTTGCAAATAACTTTAATACTCTCTCTCTCATTTATGGAGATAACTGAATCATTTACAATTTTATACTTCTTTGCCTTAAGTTGGACCCATTCCTTATATTTTTTATAAATTTATTAATGAGTGACTAGGATTCTGGTTTTCATTTTCCAAAGCCAGTTCAAAATCAAATAGAAATCGCTAATAGAACATATAGTGAAATCTTAATGGAACAGATTGTAAACGATGATGACTTCTTGTATCAATCCATGATAGATGATGATCAATATTCTAGAGCAAAAGTAATTCCTACAATGACTAATTAAACCATTATATGCAGAAATACAATAGAAATGAAGAGATAATAACCAAATATATTTTAAAGATGTTTTGGAGGAAAGAAATCTTCAAATAAGGTTACAATGGCTTAGATCATTGATCTTAGATAAAAAGAGTTATTTAATGATTATGTATATGAGACTGAAAAAGAGGGATTTCTAAAAGATGTCTAAAAGTACATTCATAAAGTCAAAGTTCTTGAACCAGATTCTTAATTTTATATATTTTGGTAAGTGTTAAATAGTGTGTTAGTAATCATATTCTTCTTTTAAATACCTTTTGTTTTTGCATATCAACCTCTTATACTTGAGAATAAATCTATTGAATATTAAAACTATTAGATTTTTGAAACATATACATTAAATTTAGGATTAGTAATATTTATAATTGATATTGCTCTTACTTTTAATATTGCTTATTACAAATAAGGATATTTAGTTAGTGGTAGAAAACAAATTGCATTAAACTATTTAAGAACTTATCTTATCTTAGATTTGATACCATTATGTTGTTTAATTGAATATCGTACATTTCTTCATTATAATAGATATTTTGGATTTGAAATATTTTTATTCATTCTTAAAATTTATGAAGTCTTTAAAACTAGTAAAATGATATAAGAATATCTATAATTAGAACCATCAAAATTAGCAAAATATAGATTTTTAGTTGTTATGTTGACTATTACATGGTTATGTCATTTATTTGCTTGTGTATTTTTTTTTATTGGAAGAAGGGAATTAAATAAAGAAAATGACAGTGTATCTTGGTTAAGTGAAAGTGATTTAATAACTATGCATGGTGGATATATCACATTATAAAAACATATATTTGAATTACATTTATATTCATTTTATTGGGCAGTTACTACTATGATATCAGTTGGATATGGAGATGTTACTCCAAAAAATGCTTGGGAAGTTGTTGTTACTGTAGTTACATAATTTATATCTTGTATTGTTTTTGCTTATTCTGTTAATGCAATTTGGGAAATGATTAATTAATAGAATGAAAATAAATAGAAATTTCAGTATTTCTTAAAACATTATTTATTCTAGAAAATATGTTAATGCAATTGAAAGATTTATGAGAGAACACAATGTAGATAGAAAATTAAAAGCTAGAATTGAAGCCTATTTATATCATCTATGGGAAACAGAAAAAGCAAGAGATCATGAATTAGAATAAGCCATGATATTAAAATTAGCTCCTGCTCTTAAAGAAGAATTAATTTATTAAACTTTAGGCAAAATGTTCAATCATAATCAATTCTTTAGTTAATTTTAATAAGATCTATTAATTGAATTAGCATAAGATATTTAATAATAATATTATTCTTAAGAAGAAGTGATTTTTCAAGAGAGAGAAGAAATAGATGATTTTCCAGTCTTCTTTTTAACAAAGGGTTCTGTAGAAATATATTTAGATAGTGAAAAACGAATAAAATTACATATTATGAAATAAGGAATATTTGGAATAGTAGCATTTATTACTGGTTATAAAAGAACAGCTTCTGCTCGTTGTTTAACATATTCAGTTATATATAAATTATCTAGAATTCAATTTTTAAAAAGATTAGAGAAATATTCAATAGATAAATAGAAATTCTTTGAAATCAGACATCAAGTTTTATTTAATAATAATTATGTTAAATATTAATTAAAATGTTATATTTGTGAAAGTAAAAAACATTTAGCTATTAATTGTAAAAAGACTCTGTATATACCTGAAAAAATTTCAATTATTTTAGAGACTTACAATTTAAAGAATCCTAGAAATCCAACCTATTAAAGAAGAGTAGTTAAATAATAGTTTAAAGCTCTGTCTCATATAAGGGAAGTTTAAGTTAATGCTGTTGCTATTAAAAAGTACTTCTAAAATATCACATTTACTTAAAATTCAAGTGATGAAGATATAGAATATAGTTCAGATGTAGATGATTATGAAGAGGAAATGGAAGATATTAAAAAGATAGTTGAATAAGAGAAAGAAAAAGCATAATTAAGAAAAAGAGGATAATGGATAGCTGATGATGATTATGAAATGAAGATTGATGAATGTAAAGATCATCATAGTGTAGAATTATCTGATGGATTTAGAAAATCTTAACATTTAATTAAACATTCTGATGAAGAAATCAAAAAGAAATCAAATGATCATAAAAAAAAGAAATTCGAAAGTTTTGTTAAATTATAAAAATTTAGGAATGTTAGAACATCATCTATGTCTAGTTTAACTCCTATTTAAGAATAAATTAAGAAACCTTCTTTAGTAAAAAAAGAGAAAGATAAAAATCAAATAATACCAAATAATTATTTAGCATAAAGAAAGAAGAGTAAATTATTATTATAACATGAAATTTAATTATGTGATAAATCATAATAAATACATTAATCAAATGAAAAATTAGATAAAGTATAATCACCTGATCGATATATTTATAATGAATCTAAAAAAAGTGAACTTATAAGAAAAATGAAATTACTTTAAATAGCTTAACCTAAAAATAAAGAAATATAATCTATTATAGATGAAATTAAGTAACTAATTAATATATTATAATAGAATTTTTATATAACATAGTTAATAAGGTAGTGTTCTTACCAAAGAGACCAGCTCTGCTTTGAGGAATGAGAAGGTTGATAATAATATTTAATAATTTGATACTCATTCTGATGTTGATAGTTAATTTAGCATTGATCAAATGTCTAATTTTGATGCTTTCTTTGAAGAAGAGAATCCAGATAAAGTAATTAAGAAATTCAAAAGACAAGTTAAAGAAAAACTTAAATAAAGAAGAACTACAATGATGAGACAATTTGTTTGAAAATTAATATACATATTTATTAGTTTATTTTACAATTTATTCGATATTTTTATTATTAATTTATAAATAAAATTTAACGTATATATGACTTAATTAGAACCATTTGAGCATCATTATAGTATTTAATACTAAGAAGTATTTGGATGTTCTCATACAAATCGACATATTTATTCAGAAAAAATGATTTGTACAGATTGTGGCATATTTTTAAATAATGTAAAATTTCATCATTAATTTTTAGCCAAACACCAAAGTTTATAAAACACTTAAAATGAAATATAATGCATTTTTTAATCCAATCAAAATATTACAAGGAATTTTGAAAGAGGGATAACCAATTGGACCTATTAAATAAAGATAATAATTCATAGAATTCATTTTATAAGTGGCAGAAAGACTTAATCTATCAATCAATACATGTTTTTTAGCTATCAATTATATTGATGAATATTTTAATAAGGTTACAGTAAATGAAAATTAAATTTATTTATTTGTTTCTACAGCTCTTATGTTAGCTGCTAAAGCATAAGAACTTGATGAAAGAGTTCCATTTATAAGCAAACTTAAAAAATATGTCTCTATGACTAATCATCCTGAAATTAGTCAATTTAATACATAAGATTTTAAATATGCAGAGAGATTAATAATATAATAATTGCAATGGAAATTACAAAGAAATACTTTATTAGATAGAATAGAAACTTTATTATCTTTTGGTGTTATTGATGATGATGATAGTTTAGGTTAATAGTAATAAAAAGAAAATAAGGATTCAACTCATTAATAACATATTAAACTAAGAGATTTATAAGAAAATTAGATCTTATAATATGTTTAAGAAGTTGAAAGTAAATATGTTGAAATAGCTTTATAAATTATTAAAGGTATTATTAAATTATATTGATAGATGATTAACTATATTTCCAAACAGATTAAACTATCTTAGCTTTATCATGTGTTGCTTATCTAAGAAAAAAGGCTGGTCTTTTAAATATATGGTCTTAACAACTGTAAAGTCTGACCGGTTTTGGTGCATAAAAAATATCATCTTCAGTTTCTTAAATTATGACTCTTATTGCCAAAAGTAAGAGTTTCAAAACTATCACAAAATTGTAGGTTTAGCCTTCAGATATTTATTATGAATAAATCAACAATACTCCTACCAATACTCTTACTACTGTTAATTCGAATCATCTTATAAATAGATAATTTTAGTTTGAATAAAAAAGACAATCCTTTGCAGATGCTATGAATCAAAAAGTTAAATTACCTTTGTTTTCATCTTAATCAACAGCTCATATAAGTGATCTTAGTAAATAGCATATATACTATAATAATATGAATTTTACTACAAGTAAAAATTACTCATTTTTGAATGATAATTCTATAGGTCTTAATAATTATATCAATTCTCACAGTATTCATCAAAATGGAGAACTTGATAAAAAGTATGAATAAGTGCATAAAGTTGGAGCCAGTATGTTTAGATAAGTGTAGTGATAATCATATATTTACTAATAATTATAACATAAATATTATTATAATATTTATATATATATATATATTCAAATAAAAAGAATTTATATATTCTTAATTAATATACATTAACTAAGGAATCTTATATATTTAATAAAAGATTATTCTAATTAATTATTAGATACTTATTTATGTAAAATTATTTAATGAAAAACATACTGTTTATTGATTATATTTTGATTAATTTAATAAGAATATCACATAATATCAGAATCTATTGCTTTTTTTAATATTTTATATGTAATTATTTATTAAGATAATATTAACTTTCTAAAAATTTCTAATTTCTTAATTATTTTTATTTGTGATGTTGCGATTAAGTTTAAGCTTAATGCGAAGAAATGTTTTTAGATATCCTATGCCATTTATGGCTTTCTCGTCAGATAAAGAACCTCCTAAAGGTATTTTTGCTTGAGAAAGCTTATAGGGTTTTAAAAATTTTAGAGAAAATCGAAACTCCAATAGGAACAAAAGAAAGAAGAAAAGTAAGAGTAAAATTTAGAATAAGAAGAGAATAGAGAAAAAAATGAATAGGTAATTAAAGAGGAATAAGAGGATGAAGAATAGCAATAAAAAGGTATAGAGTGAAGTATATTAAAATTTAGTCGAAAAACCTCAGAAAAAGAAATATCAATTCACTTATGATCCAAAATCATTTAATTTGTAAGATGAAAATAAGAAGGAATAGAAATAAGAGAAATAAGAAAAATAAGAGTAATAATAAGAGAAATAAGATGTTAAGGAGGATGAATAAAAAGAATAGTAGCAATAATAATAATAATAATAATCTTAAAAGATATCTCCATTAGCTAATATTAATTTTGAAAAAGTTTATGAATACTTCAACAATCCTAAAAATCGAAATTATATTTATATGTTCTTAGGAGTTAGTGGTTTAGCTGCATTATATTAAATTACAAATTAAGAAGAAGAAATCACGTATACAGATTTTCTAAAAAACTATCTAGAGGTTAATTAAGTGAGTTCGATTACTATTTATAAGAATGAAACAAGTAGAGTGAATTAGGCATCTATTATGACATTAAGAGGACCATCAAAAAGATTAATGATTATGAATGTGGATAATTTTCTAGAAAATCTGGAAAGATTTTAGACTGAAAAAGGATTGAGTCCTGAATAATTCATACCTGTTAATTTTGAAGCATAATTAGATAAAGGTAAATTAATGGATAGAGTATTAAATGTTTTATATTTTGGTGTCACTGTTACATTAGTAATAGTTCTATTTTAATCACTTAAAAGTAGTATGGGAGGTATCAATAAAGGAAGTGGTGGAGCTGGAGGAAATGATGTATTTGGATTTGGTAAATCTAATGTAAAATAATTTGGATTTGAATAAAATGTAAAAGTAAAGTTTAAGGATGTTGCTGGATTAGATGAAGCTAAATTAGAAATCAAAGAATTTGTAGATTTTTTAAAGAAACCTCGTAAATATAAGGAAATGGGAGCAAAATTACCAAGAGGTGCATTATTAGCAGGTCCTCCAGGAACAGGTAAGACAATGGTGGCAAAGGCATGTGCTGGAGAAGCAGGAGTTCCATTTTTTTTTGTAAGTGGTTCAGATTTTGTTGAAATGTTTGTTGGAGTAGGAGCAAGTAGAGTTAGAGATTTATTTAAATAAGCAAAAGCTAAATCTCCAAGTATCATATTTATTGATGAAATTGATGCTGTTGGTAGAAAAAGAGATGCTAAAATTGGAGGTAATGATGAAAGAGATAATACATTGAATTAATTATTAGTAGAAATGGATGGATTTGGAACAGATACTAATGTTATTGTATTAGCAGCTACTAATAGAAAAGAATTACTTGATCCAGCATTAACAAGACCTGGTAGATTTGATAGATCAGTAGATATTACATTACCAGATATAGAAGGTAGAAAATAGATATTTATGGTTCATTTGACACCTTTAAAATTAGATCCATCAAAAACTATGGAAGAATATGCAAAAAGATTAGCTACTTTGACTCCAGGATTTAGTGGAGCTGAAATTGCTAATCTTTGTAATGAAGCAGCTATCATGGCAGCCAGAGCTAATAAAATTTATGTTGATTCTAATGATTTTGAAATGGCATCAGAAAGAGTAATGGCTGGTTTAGAAAAGAAACGAATAATAAGTGAAGAAGAAAGAAAAACAGTTGCATATCATGAATCTGGACATGCTGTTGTCAGTTGGTTTTTATAAGGAGGACATCCATTACTTAAACTAACTATTATTCCCAGAAGTAAAGGTTCTTTGGGATATGCATAATATTTACCAAATGAATCAAGTTTGGAATCTAAATAAGAATTATTGGATAGAATTTGTTGTATTTTGGGAGGAAGAATTTCAGAGGAAATATTTTTTAATTAAATCACAACTGGTGCTTATGATGATTTGAAGAAAGCTTATGAGGTAGCTCATAGTATTGTTACCAAATTTGGTATGAGTGAAAATATTGGTTATATTGGATTTTAAGAAGGTGAGTTCTAGAAACCTTATAGTGATAATACCAATAAGAATATAGATGATGAAATAAAGAAGATAATAGAGGATTAAACTTAGAGAACTAGAGCTTTATTGAGAGAGAAGAAAGATTTTGTTGATAAGTAATTATATTAAATAATAATAATAATAGATTGGCAACAAGTTTATTGGATAAGGAAACTCTGGATCTATAGAAAATAATAGAAGTATTAGGAGAGAGACCATTTCCTCCTCGATCTAATTATAAAGCATATTTAGAAATCAAAAAGGAAGACTAAAAATAAGGTTCTGAATGAATTATATATTTTATGTATATTTCTTAATAGAATTCATCAGATTTTCAATGCCGTACGGGTATATTATAATAATAAATATATAAATTTTGGGGATTTAAAACAGAAGTATCTTTTAAATAAATCATCATTAAAGCAGAAGATGTCAATGGTTAGATAAATTTATTATATAAAATAACCTTCGAAAAGTATATGAAAAGATCATAGAAGTAGAGAAAGTAATCTAGAAATTCTAAGAATTCTGATGATATTACTGAGCATCATTCAAAACTATTACTGGAACGTTTCCCATATTCTATAAAAGACCTTTAATTTAGAGAAGTTCCTACTTTGCATGTTAACTAAGACTTTTTTTTGGATCCTTTTAAGACAATAGATGATCTTTATGCCAAAGGGTATGAGAAATTTGGAATAGTTAAATTGCTTTTGCCTTCTGAGTTAATAGTACCAGAAAAAAAGTTCTTTAGTGATTTAGAGATGAAGTTAAAGGGAAAGAGAGTGGAAACACGAGTTTAGACTTTGAATTAACTATAAGCAGGGGAAGTAAGTGCGTTTTTTTAGATTAGATATTTGGTTCGAATATTGTTGGTTTCACTTTACAAGAGTATATGAGCTATGCCAACAAATTTGAATGTAGTTACAAGTTATAGGGAGCAAGGGAAGTTTCAAATCAAATCAGATAGAATGAGATAGAATTCTGGTCAATAGTTGACTTCCCAGATAGATATGATGAAGTGGAGGTAGAGTATGCAGCAGATTTATTGGCTACCAAATATGCCACAGGTTTCTAAGATGGTTAATTGGGAAATTTGAGTACTATTAACAAGAATTGCAATTCTATCTTCTAAGTTCTCTAAGAGAAGAATGAGATGAGTGGAATTTCAGTACCTTGGCTTTATTTGGGAATGAAGTATGCTAATTTCTGTTGGCATAAGGAAGACTTGAATTTAAATTCTTTAAACTACATGCATGCAGGAGCTCCAAAAACATGGTATGAATATATATATTGTAACATTAGGTATGCGATACCTCCATCACATAGTGAAAAGTTTTTACAATATTTCAATAAGAAGTATGAGAAAGAAAGAATACATAACCCTCGTCTTTTGTATGACATAGTATGTCAGATTTCACCTATTGAATTAGCTGAACAATAAATTTCAATTATCAGAACAGAATAGCATCCTGGTGAACTTATTATCACATTAGGTGCTACTTATCATGCTGGATTCTCACATGGTATTTTATTAAATATAAAATAATAGGATTCAATTGTAGTGAAGCTGTCAATGTTGCTCCAACATAATGGCTTGATGAATATGATCGTGCTTCAACTGAATATCGTATGGATGGTAACTATAAGAAAGTAATCTTTAATTTAAATATATATAAAGGTTAGTTTTCCATTGGAGTGGCTTTTAACTAAAGTTGTTCTTATGGCTGATCAAGTTAAATTTACTAAATAATCATGGATAAAGGTATATTAATTATATTGATTAATTTTTTATAGTTATCTGATAAGTTTAAAATGATGATCCAATCTGAAATTGATAATCGAAATAGCATTATAGCTCTTTATGAATAAGTTAAAATAGTTGAGTTTGCAAATAAATTAGAAAAATATGATAGAAATGTATGTAAAATCTGTTCTAATTATATGTTCTTTAGTTATATTTTCTGTGGAAAGTAAATTTTATTTTTGATTATCATAGATGTTTAAAAAAGGGATGCATTGCTCATCAAAGTGTTTGTGCATGTTCAAATCCTAAAATTTCCCTCTATATTCGATATAATAGTGAGGAATTATAAACAATGCTTACAACTTTAGAATCAAAGGCCAATTCTAAAACGATGTAGTGATTACAGAAAATACTAATTCATTTAAAAAAAATTCATTTATATAATACTAATTAATTAGTTGAAATTTATTTCATCACCCTAACACAAAACAAAAACAAAATTTTCTAATTTAACTTCATTTTACATAAAACTTATTAACTAATTACATCTTTTATTTCATAATATTTTGTTCCATTATTTAAATAATTCTGAAATATTGAATTTTATATAATATATTTAAATACCTGTTATACTATGTTTATAATAGAGAATTAGTTAACATTTATTCTTAATTAATCATTTGCTATCCAAAAATATCATATTATACAATAATTATATATAATATTGATAAATTTAATTATTTTGATGGATGCTTTTCTAGCACATAATCACGTCTTTATACTTACTGTTGCTGCTGTGAATATTCTATTATGTCTCATGCCTCCTTATAATCAAACTATTTCAAAATAATCCCATTTTATAGATGATAATGATGATAGCATTTAAGAAAGCACTACTAAAGTTTAAAGATAAAATCATAAATTCTAAACAGAGGAGGAAGAAGAAGAAGATTAATTTGATTGTCATAAAAGTAACTAAGTCCATGAGTCTAAAGAGTAAGATGATCTCTTTTTTAGAATTTATGATGATCTTAAAAAGTGATTAAATACTCATTTCATAACAGATTATATTTTAATTTCTATTAAACCAAGTATTCCTTAGAATGAGATTAAATTCTAAAATAAGAACTAAAATGATTAATGATAATTTTTGTGTACTCCATTTAATCAATCTGAATAAAAAAAACAAATGAAACTAACTAGAAAATAAATAAAATTTTATATTAGAAAATGTAAATGTAACTAAGTAAATTTAATATAAAATGCATAGTTAATCTCAACAGCATAAATCTTCTTGTTTCTTTTTTTCTTATTATTATTATTACTATTGTTATCTTGTTTATAATCTCAAATTTGAAGTTTTTTTAACTACAGCTTTTGAATTATGAATTTCTCTGTTTAATATGTTTTTTGTAATATGATTAAATGCTGCTTCAATATTGATTGATGATTTTGCACTTGTTTCATAGAAAGGAAATTAATATTATCTTGCTAATTAAAAAATATATATAATAAAATTACATAATTCTAATCCCTCTTCATATGAAACTTATCTTCTTTCTGTAATATCAGCTTTATTTCCAACTAACATTCTATTCACTGATTCAGATGCATACCTTATATAAATAATATATAATACTTATCAATTTCAGCAATCCAAGTTTTCACATTTTCAAATGACTCTCTGTCAGTAATATCATAAACGATAATAATACCTTAAGCACCTCTATAATAACTACAAGTTATAGTTCTGAATCGATCTTAACCTGCAGTGTCCCACTATTTTTATATTATTATATAATTAACAATTTGCAATTTAACATTATGTTCACCTATAGTAATAGTTTTAGTTTTAAAATCCACTCCAATTGTGTTGTAGAAATTATTGGTGAATTGATTTTCCTTAAACATTAACTGATATGTAATACAGAATATCTCATAAGCATACATGACTTGCCAACACCAGAATTTCCAATTAATAATACTTTGAAAAGGAAATGACTAAGGAATCAAAAAAACATTATTACTAATCAGAGTTAGAGTTCATTTTTATTTCAAAATTTATTTATTACTGTTAATAATTAAATAAATTACAAATATAAAATATTCTAAGAGAATATAACATATCCTATTAGATTTTAATTGAATTTAAAATAAATAAGATAAAAATTTACAATACAAAATGTATAAATGAATCATAAATCATCTCTTTTATCATCACTTACAGTTTCCCATTATGCATCATCTGTATTTACTTTTTCCCATTTAGTTCCATCTTAATCAACTGTAGGTTCAGATGAAGTTTCTGGTTCTTCTTCAATTTCAACTTCAAATTCTTTAATTGGTGCATCTCTATCAATACCCAAGGCTGAATTAAATAATTTATAGAATCTACTAGCAAATTTTTCAGGATTTGGGATAGAATATCCTAGATAAATATAAATGATAAATATTACCTGAATTGACTAAAGCAGCTTCATAGAGAACTCTAGCCATTTCTTCAGTTTCTTAATCTGGATCATCTTTAACTCTTTATAATAATTCTTATATAGCTTAATGATTTGGATTGATTTCAACTATCTTCTTACCAAATTGTTGAGAATTACTTCCCTTGCTTGAATAAGCTTAAGCTTTTGATATTCTTTCCATATTAGCTGAATATCCAGATTCTGAAGAAACAACAATGAGTGGGTCTTCAATCAATCTTTATGAAATGACTACTGAATCAACATTTTCTGATAATAACTTTCTCCACCAATCAGTCAAAGGTTAGAATACTTTCTTTAAAGCTTTTTATTTCTTTCTTTATTCATCATTATCTTCAGGTTATTTGAAGTCACCTTTTCCTACATTTACAAGTTTCTTTTGTTTATATTCATTCAAATGTTAAAATGTGAATTCATCAACTGGATCTTCCAACAATAATACTTCATATCCTTTTTTAATTAATCCTTGAATAATTGGAGATGCCAATAATTATTCTTTATTTTCACCAGCTAAATAATAGATTGAATCTTATCCAGGCTTGGATCTTTCAATATAGTCATCAAATGAAGTTAATTCAGTTGAATTCTTACTTGAATACCATCTAAAATAAAATATTAGGTATAATATTTAATATATGGATAATATTAGATTAGAAATATATTGAATCAGACGACTGTTTATATAGATCATATAATAAATAGAAATGATTCCATTTATTATCTATATGAATTTTATCATCATACCCAAAATATTTCATATAATAATTTAAATAATAATTATACCTTGTTAATTCAGCTAATTTCTATCTATTTGATGAATCTTCAATAACACCTAATTTGATATTCTTTCCATATTCTTTCCAAAATTCATTATATTCATCCATCTTCTTTTTTCTCTTTTCATCCTTCAATCTTTATTATTCTTCTGGAGTTGTTTCAGCCATATTATCATCTTCTTCTCCTTCTTCAGTATCATCTTCATCTTCTTCATCATAAGAAGCAGCATCTTAAAATAATTCTAATATCTTTTTAACAATCTTTCTACTGATAACCTTCAACATTTTAAGTTATTATAGTGTTTCTCTATTAACATTTAATGGTAATTCATCAGAATCAATAACACCTTTAACAAAACTTAGATATCTTGGAAGAATATCTTCAAATTCTTCACTAATCAAAACTCTTCTAACATACAATTTCAAATTTGTAGTTTATTTTCCATAATAATTATCAAACATATCACTTGGTGCTCTTTTTGGAACATAAATAAGAGATGTAAATTCAACTTCACCTTCAGCCTTAAAATGAACCCAATTGAATGGATCTTCACCTGAATTCTTTGATAATACTTTATAGAATTTCTTATAATCATCATCTGATATCTCTTCTTTAGGTCTCAACCAAATAGCTTTATTTTCATTTACTTGCATCCATTCAGATACCTTCTCTTTAATAGTTTTAGTAGCCTTCTTCTTTGTATCTGCATCATCATCATCATCTTTAACTTTGACTTCATCATCATCAGTTTAATCTTATTAATCTTATTAATCTTATTATTCTGGTTCTTCATCTACTTATTTTGTAACTTCTCTTGTTACCTTTAAGTAAATTGGGAAATTGATAAATTCAGAATACTTTTTAATTAATTCTCTAATTGTACTCTCTTCAGCAAATTCAACTGCATCCTATTTCAAATGAATAGTGACTTAAGTACCACGACCTAAAGTATTACCTCTTGGATCTTTAGATACAGCAAATGAATGAGCTGCTTAAGATTCCCAAATATATTAATCATCATCTGTATTTTTTGATGCAACAGTAACCTTCTATCCTGCCAAAAAGCATGAATAGAAACCAACACCAAATTGACCAATCAAATTTACATTTCCTCCTTTAATTGCCTCAATAAATTGAGTTGTTCCTGATTTTGCAATTGTACCCAAATTAGAGATTAAATCATTCTTTGTCATACCAATACCACTATCTGTTACTGTAACTGACTTTTCTTCTGTATTTATTTCAATTCTAATTGCTAATTCTGTCTTATCTCCCAAAATNTTATTATCTATATGAATTTTATCATCATACCCAAAATATTTCATATAATAATTTAAATAATAATTATACCTTGTTAATTCAGCTAATTTCTATCTATTTGATGAATCTTCAATAACACCTAATTTGATATTCTTTCCATATTCTTTCCAAAATTCATTATATTCATCCATCTTCTTTTTTCTCTTTTCATCCTTCAATCTTTATTATTCTTCTGGAGTTGTTTCAGCCATATTATCATCTTCTTCTCCTTCTTCAGTATCATCTTCATCTTCTTCATCATAAGAAGCAGCATCTTAAAATAATTCTAATATTTTCTTAACAATCTTTCTACTGATAACCTTCAACATTTTAAGTTATTATAGTGTTTCTCTATTAACATTTAATGGTAATTCATCAGAATCAATAACACCTTTAACAAAACTTAGATATCTTGGAAGAATATCTTCAAATTCTTCACTAATCAAAACTCTTCTAACATACAATTTCAAATTTGTAGTTTATTTTCCATAATAATTATCAAACATATCACTTGGTGCTCTTTTTGGAACATAAATAAGAGATGTAAATTCAACTTCACCTTCAGCCTTAAAATGAACCCAATTGAATGGATCTTCACCTGAATTCTTTGATAATACTTTATAGAATTTCTTATAATCATCATCTGATATCTCTTCTTTAGGTCTCAACCAAATAGCTTTATTTTCATTTACTTGCATCCATTCAGATACCTTCTCTTTAATAGTTTTAGTAGCCTTCTTCTTTGTATCTGCATCATCATCATCATCTTTAACTTTGACTTCATCATCATCAGTTTAATCTTATTAATCTTATTAATCTTATTATTCTGGTTCTTCATCTACTTATTTTGTAACTTCTCTTGTTACCTTTAAGTAAATTGGGAAATTGATAAATTCAGAATACTTTTTAATTAATTCTCTAATTGTACTCTCTTCAGCAAATTCAACTGCATCCTATTTCAAATGAATAGTGACTTAAGTACCACGACCTAAAGTATTACCTCTTGGATCTTTAGATACAGCAAATGAATGAGCTGCTTAAGATTCCCAAATATATTAATCATCATCTGTATTTTTTGATGCAACAGTAACCTTCTATCCTGCCAAAAAGCATGAATAGAAACCAACACCAAATTGACCAATCAAATTTACATTTCCTCCTTTAATTGCCTCAATAAATTGAGTTGTTCCTGATTTTGCAATTGTACCCAAATTAGAGATTAAATCATTCTTTGTCATACCAATACCACTATCTGTTACTGTAACTGACTTTTCTTCTGTATTTATTTCAATTCTAATTGCTAATTCTGTCTTATCTCCCAAAATNTTATCATCATACCCAAAATATTTCATATAATAATTTAAATAATAATTATACCTTGTTAATTCAGCTAATTTCTATCTATTTGATGAATCTTCAATAACACCTAATTTGATATTCTTTCCATATTCTTTCCAAAATTCATTATATTCATCCATCTTCTTTTTTCTCTTTTCATCCTTCAATCTTTATTATTCTTCTGGAGTTGTTTCAGCCATATTATCATCTTCTTCTCCTTCTTCAGTATCATCTTCATCTTCTTCATCATAAGAAGCAGCATCTTAAAATAATTCTAATATTTTCTTAACAATCTTTCTACTGATAACCTTCAACATTTTAAGTTATTATAGTGTTTCTCTATTAACATTTAATGGTAATTCATCAGAATCAATAACACCTTTAACAAAACTTAGATATCTTGGAAGAATATCTTCAAATTCTTCACTAATCAAAACTCTTCTAACATACAATTTCAAATTTGTAGTTTATTTTCCATAATAATTATCAAACATATCACTTGGTGCTCTTTTTGGAACATAAATAAGAGATGTAAATTCAACTTCACCTTCAGCCTTAAAATGAACCCAATTGAATGGATCTTCACCTGAATTCTTTGATAATACTTTATAGAATTTCTTATAATCATCATCTGATATCTCTTCTTTAGGTCTCAACCAAATAGCTTTATTTTCATTTACTTGCATCCATTCAGATACCTTCTCTTTAATAGTTTTAGTAGCCTTCTTCTTTGTATCTGCATCATCATCATCATCTTTAACTTTGACTTCATCATCATCAGTTTAATCTGTTTAATCTTATTAATCTTATTATTCTGGTTCTTCATCTACTTATTTTGTAACTTCTCTTGTTACCTTTAAGTAAATTGGGAAATTGATAAATTCAGAATACTTTTTAATCAATTCTTTTATTGTACTCTCTTCAGCAAATTCTACTGCATCCTATTTCAAATGAATAGTGACTTAAGTACCACGACCTAAAGTATTACCTCTTGGATCTTTAGATACAGCAAATGAATGAGCTGCTTAAGATTCCCAAATGTATTAATCATCATCTGTATTTTTTGATGCAACTGTAACCTTCTATCCTGCCAAAAAGCATGAATAGAAACCAACACCAAATTGACCAATCAAATTTACATTACCACCTTTAATTGCCTCAATAAATTGAGTTGTTCCTGATTTTGCTATAGTACCCAAATTAGAGATTAAATCATTCTTTGTCATACCAATACCACTATCTGTTACTGTAACTGACTTTTCTTCTGTATTTATTTCAATTCTAATTGCTAATTCTGTCTTATCTCCCAAAATTTCTGGATTCTTAACACTTAAAAAACGAATTTTATCTAGAGCATCGGCAGCATTTGAGATTAATTCCCTAAGAAAGATTTCTTTTTGAGTATAGAGAGAATTAATAAGAATATCCATCAATCTACCTGTTTCAGCTTAGAATTCATGGGTTTCTTAAGATTGTTCTAATAACTTTCTTTATTCATCAGTCAAATCTTATGTCATCACTTATACTCCTGAGAGCATAAAGAGCAACAGTAAGGCAAAGGCCTTCTATTTACTATTCATTAAAAATATTTATGATTTGTATTCACCATAGCTTAAATAATATATATCCAAAAACACGTGTTATCATATTTTCTAGAAATTAATTAAAAAAACCCCTTTTTTATATACATTTTCAAATCTATATGAATATTCCTGGTCATTCTCATTAAATTAAACAAAAATTATTCAATCTTTATCAAAATTATGCTTTTTCTTCACATTTTATACTCTTAATTAAAATGGAATTTGTTAAATAAAATTAATTAATTCTCATATATATGATTTGTAAAAAAAGAAATATTATATTCATAAATTAATAATCCAAATATAAATGATATCCTTATTAAAAATATTAACAAATAAGTATATAAAGAATTATATTCTATAATATTATTCTTTAATTTTCTATTATTTTATTTTATATTTCTCATTTATCATTTAGTTTTATCATAATTTACATTAATAATAATATTATTATCACAATATTAATATGACAATCTAAAAGTTATTATTATTTTATTTCTATCATTTATTTTTTATAATTATTTTATTTTTTAATAGAAAATCATATGTAATTAAAAGTGATAAGAAAAGAAAGAATAAGTTTATTAATAAAAATTAGATGTATCCTTTTAGAGCAAATAAATCAAATTCTTAAGAATCTTTTTTTGTATTGCTAGTTGATGGAACAACTTCAATGAATGCACATTATCCAATATTTTTGAAATGTTTTCATAAAGTATTCAATAGTATCAAACATAAATTGGCTTTTCAATTTGGTATATCATAAGATAGAACTGATTCTGTTTTATATGATATTAATAAATACTTAGATCATAGGGAAAGCAATTTCAATAAAGTTTTTAAGTAATTATTTGAAATTTTGATTACTTAACATATAGATAAAAAATATTTGACAATATGTTTTATTTCAGATGGAGTTGAACCTTTTATTTTTGATGATTTTCTTCCATTAGTCAAACAAATAACTTCAGTATTCTAAATCTAATTTGCTAGCATTGCTGTTGGCAAAAATTTCCCAACATTGATAAGCAATTAATTAAGAGAAAGATTGCATAATAATGGAAATTTAGATTTTCCATTTATCTATTAAGTTATGGATCAGGGTTAAATCAGATAAGAATTAGATAACTATAATAATGTTATAATCAATCCTTAGGATGAAAATAAAATTATTTAAGAGTTTACAGATGCATTTGAGAGTTTAAAGTAATAATTGATTGTATATACTGGAAATATTGAATTGAATGAAATAGTATATAAATCATTCATATAAAATGAAGATTAAGCAACAAATATTGTTTAATGTAATTAAGTATTTTTATCAACTAATCCTACTGTTGAAACTAAAAATAATTAAGTAATTTAATGTTCTTAAGATGTTGAAGATTTTACTTAAATTTAGAAAGGAAGTATTTAATAACTATTAATACATTTGTAAGCCAATAATAAAATTGAGGATAGTTAAAAGGAATTTAAGAAACTTTTAGATATTTCTACAAAAAGTTAACGACTGTTAGTTTAAATAAATTAATAAAAAAATCCAATAAAAGATTAACAATAAATTAATAATCATCCAATTCTAAATGTAATGAATGAATTAATGAATTAATTTGTATAAACTAATTATGTAGCCTCTCTTAAAAATAATGAAAATGAATATGCATAACTATAAGCAAATCTTGAAAAAAATCCTGAAAAATGCATTAAAAAAAGTGTAGAATATTCTAAGAGTTTTCCTTAAAGTATTTTTATAATTATATAAATTAGTTTCTCAGTGTTAAAATATAATTTAAGATCAACCATAATTATAGATAAAGGATATTGAAATCTAACCTATTTAACATATTCAACTAGAATAAAAAGTCTAAAAAAAATAAAATATTCAACATCATTAGTAAAATATCAATGAAGTTAAACTGAATTCTAAATTAATTATATTGATTGATTCTTTTAAAATATCAGAATTATAGGCAGAGGATATAATAAATTAAAAAAAAACTATTTTTGATAAATAAGAAGAAGAAAATGTATTAACTCTTTGGTGGGCAGATACTATTTAATAAATCCCAAAATTTAATAGTGAAGGCTAATAAATACCTTTAACACAAGCAATCTAATAAATACTTAGTATAATAGAATAAGATTAATCAGGTATCAAAAATTTTATTATTTGGTTAATTATATCAGGATAACATAAAGTAGACTTTTTATCTTTAAAACAATAATAACAATAAATATAATAATAAAATAAATAGATAGCTTTTACAACCTTAATAATTGAAAATAATTAATAAAATGATGATATAAAAATGGCTTAATTAAAATTATCTCTTGAATTAAGAAGATAACTTCATACAAATTATTAAACTCATTCTCTTTAAGTATCTGCTAGAGTTAAGACATAAGAATTTCATTCATATTTAAATCAATATTTTAGAATGGTTAAGGATTATTAAAACAAATTTTATAGAATTTAAAAAAAAGGATGTTATCTTAGAGGTATCACTCTACAAAAAAATGCAATGCATTTATTAAAATAATTTATAAATGATATAGAACATTTTAGACAATAATTAAATGAAGATATGGAATTTATATAAATTCTTAAATAAATAAAACAAAAATATTATAAAATGATGAATAATTTTAAAGAACAAGAGGTTCCAAATGAAAAATATTGTTTAGCAAAACTCAATACAATTTTTGAATTAATTGATAGAATCAATTTAAATAATCATTGTGATTTCTTAGATGAAATATTTAAAATAAAATTAGGATTTTATGATAGGAATTAGAAAGTAGTTGATATTAAATAATTGAATAAGGCAAGAAATATAATGTAGAATAACAATTAGTCATAATCATCATTAATTACAAGGTCAGCTCTTGCTTTAATATTTATTTACTTATTTTCATGGATAATAAGAAATTATTTATGAAACCTTAGATTGATTGATAAGTTTTAATCATGTTATAAATTTTAATAGAAATAATATATATATTATAAATTTGAACAATCAAATAAAATTATTTATATTAGTGTTGTCTGCTTAGACTATTATAGATGATGTATAAAATGATCTAAAAATTTATCAAAAATATATATACCTTATATCATTCAATCTTACTATTTTCATACTTCAGTTGGACTACTTTCATTTATTTCTTTATTTCCTAAATATAAATAACTTAATTCTGTAATACAAGTTCATCTATAGAATAAAATAGATTAAGGGTTTTAAATTGAATTTCTAAGTTCTATTTTATAAAAATACAATTTTAATTTATATTTAATTAATAACCTATCAAATTTATATTATTATTATTATTCTATTAAAAGTAATTATTTATTTTTTGAACTCTCAATCAAGATAAACTCTAAATTATATAATCCTTTCTTTAAATGTAAGAAATTATTAGAATGCTAGTCTTGTGTATTTCTTAAATTTTATGATAATGCTAAATTTTTTATATTTTCAAGAAAATTTATTTTAAAAATAAATTAAATTTTAATCATAACTTTCTCTTTTAGAGTTCTAATAAAATAAAAACAACAAAGATTTGAAATAGGTAACTTTAATCAACTCCTTCAACGAATTTTGAAATTTCTTTTGAAATGATAGGTTAGGTATTTGGTATTATTTAATTTTGGAAATCTGTTGTTTGTTGATTGATATTTTATTCTTTTGATGGTTTCTCAATTTTAGTTTCTTATATTGATAATTCTTGAAATGGATTAATTGATTGAGTTTCTACTTAATTAATTAATTTAGTTTCAAATTAATTATTAATTATTAGTTTATGTTGGAACAATTTTGTCCAATTGATTCTGTCTTTCTCATGATATAAAAGCATTTATTCGATTAAATTTGGAATTGAATCATCAAGCTTAAACTAAAGAGTATATATGAATATAAAACTTCAGGTAAATCTCTACTAACTTTAATGGGTTTATATTTCAAGAGAAACAACTCATGTTTAAGTCGTTACAAATCTTTAGCATCAAATGGAAATGAATCGAAGATTAATTAATAAAATATAATCCCCAACTATTGAAATACTAATTAATTTTACAGAGTAGATATCAGCTGAATAGGAATATTAATAATCCCAAAATATTTAAGGAGCAGAATATCTAGGAGTTCCTAATTTTGTATAGATACCAAATTGATCAGCTATTCTTGCCAATCCAAAATCTGCTATCTTAAGATTATTAATATATTATACTTTGTAAGTGTTATTTACATAAAGTATATTTTATGGTTTTAGATCTCTATGTATAATTTTTTGTTCTAAAAGTAATTTATATCCATTAGTTATTTATTTAATGATTTCTAATGCTTCTGCAGGTGTAAATCTTTGTTATTACCTTCTTCTTTTTCTGATTAAGTCTGATAGATCACCTTCACACCTTTCTAAGATTAAGATGACATGTTCATCATGAAGTAAAACATCTATAACATTAACTATATTTGGATTTCCTTTAGCTACTATCTTTAATTTAGACATTAATTCAAATTCTCTTTTTGATTTTTCATCTTATAAGAAACAAGTAATCTTAATTATAAAATTCTATTACTTTTTTTGCACATATTTTTTTATCTGGATATTCATTTAATAAATCTTAACATTCATAAATAACACCATACTATCCTCTTCCAATTTCTTTTTTTAAATAAATTTCATATCTATTTTCTAAAAGTATAATTTCTTCATTTTTAATCATCTTTTTTTTATATATATATTTTATTAAATTAAATTGATGATACAAATATATAAAGTTTATTCATAAAATTTTATACATAATTTATCTAGCAATATATTAAGCAAATCTATTTTTATGACCCCTTATCTTCTCTAATACTCTAGAATATATATTGTAATTATTAATCAACTTTGTTACTTTTGAGATATTATAATGGGGGTAATAATAATCATATTCTTCTACTTTATCAATGTTTGTTTCTGCATTAAATATCTAAGCCTAATTATCCTCCTAATTATCTTAAACATTATTCCCAGAAGGCATAAGTAAACTTCTATGACTTACTTACCTCATGATTCTATTTTTTATTACATATCTTTAATCATTTTAATTTAAAGAAGCCTATTATGAATGTTAAACAATTGTCTAATCAGGATATGATGCTTCATCTTCCTCATTTCTTTGTATACCTAATCTAATGAGAAGTTTGCTGTCAACTACAGCTAGAGATTTATTTAAATCCAAAATTTAATCTAAGGCTCTCTCCTTTATTAATTAGCAATTGAATCTTCTTTTCTTTCTCTATCTAATATGCATTTATCTTTCATGATTAATACTGCTATTATAAATTGAGATAACTTTATTTTTATTTTTTCTAAAGAAAACAAGTGGACAATGTTTAAATTAATGATGACTAGAACATGCCTCACAAATTATCTAATTGTTATTGTCTCCAAATTATGTTCTATCCAAAATAAGTCTATATTTTTCATACTATCTAGTATCTTTCTATAAAATATTCAAAAAATCAGTTTAATTGATATAAGCTACTTATACAAAAGTTTAGGCAACCATATCAAATTACATATAATCTTAAAAGAAGAATTCTCTTTCACATACTAATTTACCACTTACATATCTCTTTATTGTTCTATCTAATAATACTGATTTGATTCTTCCTGATAATACTATATAGAGTTTATCAGGATGATCATCTTTCTTAATAATAAATTCTTCAGGAGCATATGTTCTTTCATGAACACATTAACATAATTTCTTAAGTATTTCATCTGATAGATTTGAACCTAATAATTTTGAATTTTTTAAATAACTGTAATACATTGCTATTTAAACTTCTTATTTTAATTTTGGATTTAATTAACCCATTAATTCATCTAAATCTAATTCTTCTTCTTATTTAAATTATAAATAATATTCAATATACTTTCTAACTCTAAATTGTAATTATGTATTTAATCCTCTCTATTTTATGTGATTACTTACTAATCTAAGTTTAGCATTATTAAGATTTTATTATTCAGCTAATTTATAGAAGATACTTTGAATCATTCCTAAAGCATAACCAAATGTACCAACTACTAAAAATGTTAAAAAAGTGACTAAGATTTTTTCAGGAGTAGTAACAGGTACTATGTCACCATATCCCACAGTCATTGAAGTTATTGTTACCCAATATAATGAAGTAAAGTATTTTACATATGCATCTGCTTCATATATTCCTTATTAATGTAACCAAGTGTGTGAATATCCATTATCTACTTCAAGAATTGCAAAATAATGAAATAAACATGCACAAAAATGAGATATCAACAAAAGAGAATAAATTAAACAGAATAGAGAATATATTACTGCTGTCTTTTCTTTGAAATTAGAGATCTCCTCTATGACTACCATAGTCCTTCTTACTTTAGTCATTCGTATCAACATAAGATAATTGGCAAATGAGTAGCCAAACCATGAAAGAATGAATGGTAACACAACTGTCAGATCTATAATGAACTCTCCTTTCACATAATGCCAAAATATATCACGTTTTGATGTATGTAATATTCCTCTTACATAATAGCCTTTAAAAAAATTCAAGACTAATTCAACCAAAAATATGCAACTTGGAAGAGTACTAAATAAAAGGTAAGCATTTCCTATTTCTTCTTTACTCAAGTCAAATGACAACTATAATGGAACATAGAGTATATTCATAATGGTTACAAACATTAAGATAACATCCCAAACAAATAAGAACTTATCAGCAGGTAATAAAACAGTTTGATTACTTTTTAGAAATGACCATGTTCTCCACCAAATAGCATTAGCTAGTTTTCCTTCATACTTCATTTAACCAAACTATTTCATATTAAAATAACATATACTCTTGTTGGCTTTTTTTCTAACAGTCGACTATAAAGGTAATATTAAAATGAACTAGTTCGATCCCTTATCAAATAAAATATATTCTTATTCAATATCTTAAATCTATAAATAGGTGAATAATGTTTCATTTTAGTGATAAAAATGGCTATTTTTTGAATGATCTTTAAAGGCTTCAATTTCCATACACTAATTATTTTATCAATTTACTCACTATTCTCGAACTGTTAGATTTCTTTTTCAACATTATTCATGGCTTCTAATTCAATCCTCTTATCTTCTTAATGTTTTGCTTCTCTTATAGCAAACTATAACAAGAATCTCGGCTTATTCATATGTAATGATTTAGATTTATAAATTGCTTATAATAAATTAACCATTCTTATCACAGATTATGTTGTCGAAAATTAATAAAATGTCATCTACTATAAATAATGGTTATAAGTTCAACTTTTTTATAAATGTTTTATCAATAAAACAAGTACATTTCAATACTCATTATACTGATATTTTAAGAATTTGTAGATATGAAACAAGATTTCTTATTAATTTAGACATCTTTCTTAACAAAATAATTGGAATGTCTAAATTATCAATGTGTGTTTCGGTTAAAAATTGATTATAAATTATAAAGGATTGTTTATTATATTGAAAATTTTATTTCTATTGATAAAACTTCTTAAAATTTGATATATAATTTCTTTATAAATGAAAGGATTAATATATCTATAAATCATTATTAGATATATAAGCAATCGATAAACTATTTCATTTTTTAGAACAAAATTATAATTAATTCATTTATGGAAGAAGAATAATAAATCTTGAAATATGGAGATAATATTATTCTAAGATGCATGGTAGATAATAAGATATATTATCTACTTGCTAGAAATGAACAATATCTTATGGAAACAAGATTGTAATTAGGTAATTCTTGTACATTTAATATGTATAATTTCCCTCAACATATGGTATTTACTGTGTTCCCAAAACTTTTGTATGAAGCTTAAAAAAAATATAATTCTGATAAGTAGTTTGGAGCTTCTTTAGATTTTTAGAAACAACTACTTTATACAAGAATGGAAACTGAAAAAAAATATAATCAAAATCTATTGAAGTAAACTAAAGGACAAAAAATTATGTATGGAGATACAATAATGCTCTATTAGCCATTGAGTTAAGTATTTTTGTTAAGAGCAGAAAACAATAATTCAAATTCAAATATAGGAACCATTTTGAGTTCTTCAATGTATTTTACAGTTCAACCTGATCCCTTAGCATTAGATATAAAATAAGGATGTCCAGTTCATTCTTTTGATCAATTTTTACTTGTTTAAAGTGACACTATTTTAAAATTTGATACTTTATAAGAAATATATCGATTACCTGAAGTTGTAAAATCTCAAAATCTTGATCACAATAATGAATTTCTAACTATTCCAGCAATGATTGAAAATTAATATCAATTTAAATTTTACAAAGCCCAATACAAATAATTTGCTACAGATTCAAAAGAATCAATAAGCCATAACACACTTTAAGCAATAGTATTAAAAAGAGATAAAGATAAAAGTCATTTATTTTATGGTTAATATGTAAGAATAATACATATGTAATAAAAAATAAAAAAAGAGAGATAGGAATCAAGAATTAGATCAATAAAAATTGATGATGCTTAAGATAATTAAATAAATAAAGGTTATTTAACATCATCAATTAATGCTGTTGGATGTTATCCATCAGTTTATTTATAGATAAATGATATATAGAATTCTGATTTAATTGAAAAAGCAGCATCTATTTTTTAGATCTTACCAGAAAATGATTAAAAATATAGTGATGAAATTTAATTTCATGTTGGTAATAAACCAAATTTAGTTGGTTATACTACTTTCTTACTTAGACATATGTTAACAGGAGAATTCTTAAGAGTAAATCCATTTGATAATAAATTACAATTATCTAAAGAAATTATTAATAAATATAGAAATATAAATACTACATCATCTAAAAAATTAGATGCATTAAAATAAACTGAACCTAAATCAACAACATAAAAAAACTTACCAGGTATTAAATTATATAGAAATCTAATGAATCATAATAATAATAATTAAAATAATATTTAAACTCAATAAGATGAACGTATTGCTACTTAATATTAATAAACATAAGGTAATTAGGAAGAAATTGATTAAGATTCATGCTTAGCTGATCATTAATTACTTTTTGTAACTAAATTAGGCAATAATCCAATATTCTATAAAGATTAATTACCTTTCACAATTGATACAACCTTTAATATTGCTACAAAAGATGGTAAAAGTCCAATTGAAGTTGACAACTAAGAAGAAGGTGGATATCAAGTTAAATTAATTACAAAATTAGGAATGTTTAATTAATATGGAGAAGAAAACTTAGAGTAAAAATTATATAAATAATTACATGATGAATGGGTTACTTTGTTTCCTGATTTAGATTCATTCATAAAAAAGAATAAATATCAATTAACATAATAAGAAAAAGAAGTACTTGAATTTATTGAAATTGAAAAAAGAAAACAAGCAAAAAATAAAGTAGATATGAGACATTATAAATCTGATGATGAAACTTTTAAACCTACATTTATTAACTTAAATCCTCTTAATACTAAATATTTAGATGTATTAGCAAGTGAAGAATTTTCAGGTTCCAATTTTAAATTTGAAGTTGTAGATTAAAATGAAATTGAAGAATTAAGTGAAGTTTTAGATTTAATGTTTCCTATTATTGCTTTAGCTAAAAATTCTATGTAATTATCTACTCTTAAATTTAAATTCAAAGATCTTAAATTTAAGGATTCTAAAGAATAAAAAGATCTTGCATCACAATTTCTTAGATGTCAAGCCTAAACTATTTAAAATGTAAATTAAGCAGTCAAGTCTCTAATTAAAATTATGTTGTGGCTAACTGCTACTCATGAAACATTAGCCTAAGAAAATTTAATCTCTGAACCTTTAGTAAGGAGATAATGTATCGCTAGAGAAATTGGTTGTATAGATTATGTGAATAAAATTATCTATGAATTGAATATTAATGGATTATTATATGAGGATAAAGATTTTATTAAATCAGATGAAGTATAAGAGGAATTATAAGATGAAGAAATTTTTTAATAAGATATCAACCAATTAATTGATGCACTTTCCTCATTTTTATAATTAGTATGTAAGAATTCTAATGATAATTCCTTATATGTTGTATAATGGTATTGTCTCTATAAACATATACTCCTTAGAGGATAAGTGAATGATTTAATGAGATTAGACATCTTGATTACATAATTATTCTAATAGTCTGATGTTATGGTTTCATTTGAATTTGAAGTCACACAATTATCAAAGGAAACAAAATTTACAAATTATAATAAACATGCATTCAATTTATTAATTGCCTTTTGTCTCTTCACTGAATTTAGAAAAAAAGAAGGTATTGAAGGAATTATTGATCATATCTTTAAAGAAAATAAGGATTCAATTTTCTCATAATTTATATTTGATGGTAATATTCAAAGGATTTTAAGGGAGAAGCCTTAAGATTTTTCAAGAACAATTCGAAAATCTATAGATTCTAATAATCTAGCTTCTAGCCCAAATATGATTGATGGTTTGAGTCCCCAAAACAGATAACCTTAACATGATTATATAATTTCTTGTGTAAGATTGGCTTCAGAAATATCTAAATCATCTCCAGCTTTGACTTTAAAGTAAATTAAAACTTTATTCCCTTTCTACATAGTTGCCTAAATAATTCAAGATAATAGTATTTCATCATTAACAAAATCATATTTTTTAGAGTTATTTTAAAATTCATATATGGCTAAACACTTAAAACCATTACCAATGGCCTAATTTCCTTAATATTTAAAGATGGTTGTTAAATAAAATAAAGGAAAAGGATTCTTAGCACTTTTTAAAAAAGAAGAGTATGAAATTATACTCTATGCATTTGCACAAAAAAAGATTTCTGATGTATATTAGAAAGTGGCAAAAAAATATTTAGTTGAAAGTGATAAGACAGTGGATTTTTGGTTGTATTTATCAGAATTCATTTCAAATTTCTGGATAAACAAATCAATTTATGAAATAAAAGGTAATGATCATGTTTATATCAAATAATTGATTTTAACATTTACAGAATTTTTAAAGAAAGGATTATTTATTGAATATCTTAGTAATGCTCATAATTTTTATAATATGTATCATTAATTCATTGAATTTTTAAAGAATTCTGTTGTATCAGCTACTCTAGAAGAGAAATACATTAAACATTAATTATAAGGAAATAAGAAATCAAAAGAATAAAAACCTTTAGAAGTGAAAGATTATTTGTTTGAGAGCACAGTAACAAAAAGGGCAGTATCTAGAACAACTTATGCAAAAAGTATGATTTGGCTTGATGAATTGATAGAGATTCTAATTTTATTAGAATAATTTTAATAATCAAGAATGGCAGATTAATTTATTATTACAGAAGATAATTAAACAATATTTGATGATCTTCAATATTTATAGAAGTTTGCTAAAGAAAAAAAATATGCAGAAGTAGTTTAAAGATTGAGATAAGCCAAAAGAGCTAGTTATCACACTAGAGTATAACAATCACAAAGTTAACTAAATTAAAAGGATATATTTACAACATAAGAATTGACAACAATATTAAGAGAGTGTTCATATGCTCGTAAGACAGTGATCTTAGAATATATGGGAGGTATAAAATAGACAGATATATCTTTGGTTTACTTTTTAATTGAATTACTAACATTAAATTAAATAAGATTATCAGCTAAAGTTACTGAATTATTATGGCTTATTTATTCATCAAGAAGTAATTTTCTTTAAACATTAAATTAAACAATATTAATTGAGGCATTTGATTAAGGAGAATTAGAATTATAAGTAAATTAAAATATATTTACAGATTTTTCTAATATTTATTGGAAATTACATTTTGCAATAATAGATTTAAAATCATCTCTAGAAAAAGATTCTAGTAAACATTATGAAACAATAAATGATGCTTTATCAGATATGTTAGTAATATTCTTTCCTGATTATGCAGCTAAATCTGATATGTAAATGTTTATGGAAATTAATTAATTGGAAAATGAAGAGAAACATTATTAAGCATAAGAAGAAAAGATGGTTAAAAGCAAAGTAAGATAAGAAGTAGCTGTTATAGAATAATTTGTATCAAAAGCAGAACTTGATTTAGTTGATATTTCAGCATAAAGTCCAATGAGGGATAAACATGAAGAATAATTATAATCATTAAAATCTGCTACAATGGATTAATAATAAAAATATGTATGGAAAATCAATAATTCATTATCAATTGATGTATTGACTATATTTTATAGATAAAAATTATTAAGATATTTAGGATTTCATGATTTAATGTAAAAATTAATTGAAAATTTAATATAAGAAACAAGTACTCTATTTAGAGAAAAAGATGTACTTGTAAGTAATGCAAATAAAAAAGGATGGGAAATAAAAAGTGATATTTTAGAAAAGAGTATTTTATTTTTAATTTATTTTGTAATAAGAAATGAAGAAAATTAAGAAATGATATTAAATTTAAGTAAAAAAAAAGATTCATTTTTACATGAAATGTCTAATGTAAAGAGAAAGTAATTATAAACCTTAATATATATATTATTTGCTGAATTGTTTAGAGATAATTATAATATTTTATTCTCATTAGATAAATACAATGATGAAAATTCAATTTTAGCCAAATTATTTTCTATATTTGGTAATAATTTTGCAAATAAAAATTATGAAGCAGCTATTTATTTTCTTTAATTTTTGTAAATCTTATTAAAAGTAAAAGAAAGTGATGTTGTATAAAATAATTATGCTATTATTCATTTGTTTTAATCTACTAAATAATTAACAACTTTTGCTAAAGATATTGGTACTCTAATTTAAACACTTTATCTCTTTAGATTAGAATAATTCTTTACTGCTAGTCATGCACCTGTTCCTCAAACATAACATAATTAATAAAAACATGCATAATTTAATGGATCTATTGAAATGCCAATAGAAGTTTTATTCATGACAGAACTCTTAAGATTAATGAGAGTTATTTGTTCCAAAAGATCCATTTTAATTAATGAATTTGTTAAAAAACTCTTTCCAGTCAATAGAGTAGCTGAAATGTTGAAATAATTAGATGAATGGTATCCATTAAAATTAGAATTAATACTCTATTTTTAAAGTGTATTTTTAGATAATTTATAATTTTTAACATTTGAAGAAAAATAAGATGTTGTTAAAACTACTACTGAAGTAATATTTAAATAAATGACTGTAAGTTTTGTTGACAATTAGAATCTAAAGAAAATGGGAAGTGCAAAATTAGTAAATAGTGTTGTATTCAATATTTTTGGTATAAGAAATTACTACACTAGTTAAGAATTTATTATGTCTATTACTCATGAAAAAGCTAGTTTTATATATATAATTTTTGGAGTTTTAGAAGTTACAAAAGACTTTGTAAAAAAAGTATGTCCAAAATATTTTTATAAAGATGAATAAGAATACTTTGAAGATGCTGTTTAGAATGAAATTATTTTTATGGCATAAACTATATATGAAACTATTTAAAGAGTTTAAGATTTCACTACTGAAGTTCCTAATGGAGGTCATGGTTGTAAAATGAAAAATTCTAATTTTAAAAGAAGAAGTGGATAAAAACCAACTAAATTATTTAATTTAACTCATAAATTATTATCTAGTAATTAAGATGAATAGAATTAAGAATTAAGTTTTTTGGCTAAAGAAGAAAATGAAGTAGATAAGGACAATATTAGAAGAATAATTGATACAATATCATTCTTTTAGTAATCAGAAATTGCCTTTTAGTTATTGAGAAATGATTTATAAATAGGAGAATAAGGGATTTTAGATAAATGGACAAATTCTATAAAATCATAAAGAACAAAATTAATAGATGAACATCTTGTAGCCTCAGAAAGAGAAAATGAAATTTAATAATTAGTAAATTTAATTGTTACATTAAAAAGGGATGATACAATAAAATTTAAGAGAATGGTAACTGCACTTATATAAATGTTATCTGAAACTTCAGTATCTCCATCTATAAAATTAAAATCTATTAATATTGTAAGAAAATTATCAAATTATAAAGAAGATTTATAAATAACTAAATCAATTCTTAAAGATTTGGGAGAACTTGGATTTACAGATTTTCTATGTGATTTAATTAAATAAGAAGTTGATTCAGAATAAAAACTAGAATACATTAAAGCATTTGTAGATTATATAGATGATTCATCAAGAGAAATTTAGAATTCTTTTTTATTATATTTACAAAGAGATCTTTAAAATACATTTATAATTAATTTATAGAATTTCATAACAGATATGTTCTAAGATGTGAAAATGGCAGAGATATCAAAAATAGAAAGAAAAAATAGAAATATAAATAAGATTTTAAATAATAAGATAAATGGATGTATTTTGATTTTTGAAATGTTTAGATTAGGTTGTGAAGATCATTTTAGTGATATGTAAAACTTTTTAAGGATTTAACCTAATAGTAAATAACCAATTAATTTTATTATGTTTACAGCAGAATTATTTGAAAAATATGTTGAAATAATGAATGAACATAATGCAGCATTAGGTTAAAAACTATTAGATTTTTTAATTGAATGTGTTTAAGGTCCTTGTTTAGAGAATTAAACAGAATTATGTTAATCAACTAAAATATTAGAAGTTCTTGAATAAATTATAGTTTAATAAAGAGTTGAAAAAAAAAATGAATTTAAAAGAATAGACATAGTATTTTCAAGTTTAAGAAGTAAAGTATTTTTATTATAATTATCATTAATGGAAGGTAATAGTGAATAAGAAATTGCAAGGAAGATATCTCATTATTTTAATCCTTAGATTTTCTTTGAGAGAGCAGAATAAGTTTATTGGAAAATCATTAAAAAGATAAGAAATACATAAATATAAATAAATTTAGAAGTAAAAGTATTGGATAGAGTGAAAACAGAAGCAGAAGAAGCTATTAATCATCATGGTGTCATTTAGACAAAGGACACAAAAGAAACTTTGCCTAATTAAAATTAATTCATGGAATTCTTCTCTGAAAATCTTCATAATAATCGTTCATAGCAACATTTGAAAATTTCATAATAATCTTTTGTAAATGCAATATAAGAAGAAGAGATGGAGGAAATGGTTGGTGAAACATTTATGATGTATTTATTACTGAAGAAATTGAGCAAATATATTCCAAGGATCAAAGATCATGAAAGTAATCCAAAATTGAGAAGAGCTTTAAATTATTATAAAAATGAGACTGCTTCTATTGAAATTGTTAATATGAATGGAAAATTAGAGAAAATATATTTTTAAGTTCCTACTCTAATGAAATATTTAACAGAAGAAACTAAACTATAATTTATGGAAGAAGTAGAAAGAGATTCTATAAATGATAAAATTAATGGATTATTAGATAATATGGATTATTTTTATATGGAAATGGTACATTTTATGAAATTAAGAAAAATTGGAATTAGATTTAACAATAATTTTATTGTTTATTTAAGAAATATCTGTATAATTTTAGCACTTTTATTGAATATTCTAATTACAATAAATGATACTGAAGAAAAATTAGCTAATTTTGCTAAAGCTATAGCTATAGTAGATTGTATTTTATATGGATTGATCATGCTCATTTGGATATTTATAAGAATGTAATTAGAGTATGATCGAATCTATAAATAGGTTTCAGATTTAATATAATTAAATTATAATAAGAAATCAAATTAAGGATAGTCTTAGTAGGTTAATCAAAAAACTGTTATATATCCTTTCTAGATTACATTATTACAAACATTTTATATAATCAAAAGAATGTTATTTAGTAGTTATACTTTTTATTGGTTTTTATTACTTGTTATCAATTTATTAGGTCTCTTATATAATAAATTATTTTATGGATTTCTATTATTAGATATTATAGATCATTCATAAGTGTTACGAAATGTTATCAAAAGTATTTCACTAAATTATAAACAATTGTTGATGACTGCTTTATTGGGAGTATTAATAATGTATTTAAATTTTATATTATATTTAGGTATTTGTATTCTTTGGTAGCATATTAAAGTAATGATTTTAAATAATAATTAAAAGCAGATAATGTTAATATTGAAGATGAAGAATCTTTAGATGCAACAGTTTGTTATTCTGCTTTTTAATGTCTAGTTTTTGTAATTCATTAAGGTTTAAGAGCAGGTGGAGGTATAGGAGATGTTTTAGAGGCTCCACCAACTCATTCAAACTTAAATTATTATTCATAAAGAGTTCTTTATGATGTAAGCTTTTTTATTCTAATAAATATCATTTGGCTTAATATCATCTTTGGTATCATTATTGATACTTTTGCTGAATTAAGAGATTAAAAGAATCAGAAAGGTAATAATAATGAATTATGTAAGATTTTGATTCTTAGAACAGATGTTATATATGTGATTTAACAAGAACAGTATTTGAGAAAGAAGGTATATCCTTTGATAATCATGTTCACAAATATCATAATCCTTGGAATTACTTAGCTTATTTAATATATTTAAAAGTAAAACAGAAAACTGAACATACAGGAACAGAATCATATGTCTATAGCAAATTTTTATAAAGTGATATTAGTTGGTTACCAATATAAAAAGCTATTGATTTGGAATTAATAATAGAATAATAACCAAAATAAAATATTGATATCAATTATGAAGAACATAATTAAAAATCCCTTCATTGATTAAAAATTAATTTAGTTAAAAATATATTTATATCAATTTCATTGAACAGGACATTATTATGTTCTTCCTTTATATCTTTCATTTTCTAGACATTCAAAACAAATTGCAAAATCACATTCAGTACAATCTCCACCTCCTGGTGTTTTCATTTATGAAGAATTCTTATCACATACAGTACAAATCAAACCAAATATTTTTTTTGTTATTTTATGTCTTGCAGGACAGAGAACAGTATTTTCATGTGGATTTTTTGTTAATTCAGGTTCTTGACATTTTAAACATACAAAAAAACAACATAAAGGACAACAATATCTACAATTTACCTAAGTTTTTTAACATTTAAAACATTTCTTTGTTCTATCTTCTCCATTAGGATTCATCCAATATTATAACATATGATTTTTACTACATTAAAATTATCTTGATTCTACTAATTTACCTTATGTTAAAAATGGTCCTTATTATTATTATTATTATTATTATTATTGTTGTGCATCTATAACTTATTTAAATTATTATTCTTAATTTTTTAATAATTATGTTAAATCTGTCAATTATTTTTTCATTTCATTATTTTCTTATGTTATTCCTTTAATTTATTATTTTACACTTTATAATTCATTAGATTCTTTGCTTGCATGAGTTTTTAATTCTTTTATTGAAAATTCTGATGTTTCTTTAAATTCATAGAATTTTTCTGTTATCTTTTCCAATTGTTATTTGAGTTCCTAAAAACAATTATGACTTTAATATTTAACCAATTTGATATCTTCCTTACAAATATTACATTATTTTGTTGCAAACTATTAACAAGTTTATTCCTTAAAAATAGATATTAATAAATTACATGTTATTTTTATTTTGATTAAGGTCCACTCCAACCACAAAGACATTTAACATTCTTAAATTAACATTCTTTAGCATGTTGAAGTACATCATTCATTAATATAGGAGCTTTACAACCCTAAAATTCATTTACACATTAAAATGTCATTTTTGAGAGTTCTTCTCTAATCAACCTATGAGCTTGTTTAACTTTAAAGTTCCCTTTACAATCAGGACATCTAATAATATTCAATTATAATTATACTAATCTTTTTTCCTTTACCAAAATTTTGCACAATCTTCGCAATATAGTTATTCACATAATGAACATTCAACAGCATTTATGGCAACATATGTACAAATTTTACAACATAAATTTTGACTAATTTCTTTAGTTGGTATAAAATATTATCTTATTTCTTCCATCTTTAATATATTATTTAATAGAAACTTAATAATATAGCTATAAATAACCTTAAAAATATATTATTTATGATATTTAATATATATATATATATCAAAAATGTCTTAAGAATAGATAGCAATTTTCATGAATAATAAATAAGAATATCTTAATGATATAAATTAATAAATACTTAATAACTTATTATTATGTGGAATCTATAATGATTTCTTTAAAATAATAAAATTTGATTATAATAAATTATAGAATAATTATTATTAAATATAAAACTTAATGAATATATCTGAAGAAGATCCTTTTAAAGAGTTAATCTTAAAATAATAAGAAATAATTGATTAGTAAGACCTTTAGATTCATTTAAAAAATCAAGAAATATTTACACTTTATTAACAGATTTAAGAATGTCAGAATAGACTAGTTGAGACTTAAGAATTGGTTTTATAAATGGCTACTCAAGTAGATGATATCAAAGAATCCAACATAGAAAAGTAGGAAAAATATAGAAAGGAATTTCTTTCATTTCCAAAAAGATTAAAAGGAAATAAAAAGTTTATAAGCATCATTTGAATGTTTATTTTTGTTCATTCTTAATTCTAGCTTTAAATTATTAATAAATTAGTATTAATTATTAATTAAATGTCAAAATTAGATGATTTCTGGTTGAGAGATAGAATGTATGATTTGTTGGGTGTTTATGATAATATCACACATGATTTTATTAAAGAATGTGCAAAAAGCTCAACAAGTGCAGAGGAATTGAAAAAGAAATTGATTGAATCTAGTTTTCCTGCTGATGATTAATTTTGCATAGAATTACTAGCTAGATTTGCAGGAATTAAACCTCCAAAGCTTTCAGAATATGAATTATGGGAAAAGGAATAACAAGAGAAAAAGTAAAAAGAGTATGAATTAGTAGAAGCAAATAATGCTTAATAAAAATAAATTCATAATCCTAATGAGAATAAGGAAGAGGATAGAAAAGCTAAGGAAGAATTACATTAAAAATTATTAAAAAAGAAGCCATTGGATAAACAATAAGAAGAATTATTAAAGAAGATTGAATTAGAGAAAGTTAAAGAAGAGTCTAGGATGAAGTATTTAAAAGAAAGAGAAATGAAATAATTGAAATTGAAATAAATGATTTAAAAAGATGAAGAATAAATCTTTGATGAAGCAGAATTGACCAAAAAAGAAAGAGAAGAGAGAGAATTAAATAAAACAATATTAAAAGCAGCAGAATCTTAAAAAGATAATGATATAGTAGTTGAATATTATAAATAACCAGATTTATATGAAGAAGATGGTAAAATATTGAAAGATAAAACTGATGTATTAAAGAAGAAAGCTACAGACATAAAACCTGAAATGCCTGAAGAAGAATAATGGTAATAACACATATCTACACGAGCTAATTAACATGTAAGAACATAGGATGAAATTGAATAAAAGAGAATTAAAAAATATGAATTATTATATGAAAATGCAATAGACTTTGTTTAATTAGAGGTAATCAAAGAATTAGGGAAAGTCTAAATGAAAAAATAAAAAAAATTGAAAGAAAAAAAAAAAGAAAAAAAAAAAAAGAAGAAGTAAGATAAGAAAAAGAAGAAACATCGAAGTTCTAGTAGCAGCAGTAGTTCAAGTAGTAGTAGTAGTAGTAGTTCAAGTGAAGATGAGTAACCTAAGCCTTCATATCCAATGGAACCTTAGAAACCTTAAAAAAGTGCTATGTAGATTGTCAAAGAAGGTTTACCAATCTTTAAATTTAGAACTTAATTATTATCATTAATAAGAGATAATAAAGTTATTGTTATGGTAGGAGAAACAGGTTCTGGTAAGACCACATAATTGGCATAATATTTACATGAAGTTGGTTATACTAAAACAGGTAAGATTGGATGTACTTAGCCAAGGAGAGTGGCTGCTATGTCAGTGGCATCTAGAGTAGCATTAGAAATGGGTGTTAAATTAGGACATGAAGTTGGATATTCAATAAGATTTGAAGATTGTAGTAATGATTCTACTATTATCAAATACATGACAGATGGTATGTTATTGAGGGAATTTATGATTGATCCATTATTATAGAATTATAGTGTTATAATAATAGATGAAGCACATGAAAGAACCTTACATACTGATATATTATTAAGTTTAATAAAAGATATTAGTAGAGCTAGAGATAATTTAAAAGTTATTATTTCTTCAGCTACACTTGATGCATAGAAATTTAGTCAATATTTTGATGATGCTCCAATAATTCAAATACCAGGAAGAAGATATTAAGTAGATATCTATTATACACAATAACCAGAAGGTAATTATGTAGAAGCAGCTATTGTTACTGTTCTTCAAATTCATGTAACATAAGGTGTTGGTGATATATTAGTTTTTTTAACTGGACAAGATGAAATTGAAGATGCTGAAGAAATGCTTAAAACAAGAACTAAAGGATTTTCTAAAAAAATACCTGAATTGATTATTTGTCCTGTTTATGCTGCTTTACCCAGTGAATAATAAATCAAAATATTTGAACCTACTCCAAAAGGTTGTAGAAAAGTAGTCTTGGCTACTAATATAGCAGAAACTAGTATTACTATTGACAATATTATTTATGTTGTTGATTGTGGATTTGTTAAGTAAACCTCTTTTAGTCCTTCCACAGGTATTGAATCATTATAGGTTGTACCTTGTTCTAAAGCTAATGCTAATTAAAGAGCAGGAAGAGCAGGTCGTATTGCACCAGGAAAGTGTTTTAGATTGTATACAGCATGGTCATATAATAATGAATTAGAGGATTCACCTATTCCTGAAATCTAAAGAACAAATCTTGGTAATGTTGTTTTATTGCTCAAAACAATGGGAATTAATAATTTGGTTAATTTTGATTATATGGATGCTCCTCCTCATGAAATGTTATTAAGAGCATTGGAATAATTATATTCATTGGGAGCATTGAATAATGATGGAGAATTAACTAAATTAGGAAGAAGAATGGCTGAATTTCCATTAGATCCTATGCTTTCAAAAATGGTTGTTACATCTGAACATTTTAAATGTGTAGATTAAATTATCACTATTTCTGCCATGTTATCTGTTGGAAATACAATCTTTTATCGTCCTAAAGAAAAATAAGTACATGCTGATACAGCAAAAAAGAATTTTTATAGACCAGGAGGAGATCATATGACTTTATTGAATATATACAATTAATGGAAGGATTGTAATTATACTAAAGAATTCTGTTATGAAAGCTTTATTTAATATAAAGCAATGAAAAGGGCATAAGATATTAAAGAGTAATTGACTTCATTATGTGAGAGAGTAGAGATTGATGTTAAGGATGAATCTCTGTCTGTTTATGAAGATAGTAGTATAAATATCAGAAAATGTATTACATCTGGGTTTTTTTATAATTCAGCAAAAAAATAAAAGAGTGGTACTTATAGAACACTTAAGAATAGTCATGAAATATAAATTCATCCTTCATCTCTTTTATTTTAAGAAAAACCAGAATGGGTTATATATCATGAATTAGTATTAACTACAAAAGAATATATGAGAAATGTATGTGAAATAAAACCAGAATGGTTGTATGAAATAGCACCTCATTATTTTACAGAAGATTTTATTAAATCAAATTAAAAAACATTACCTAAAGCAAAAATTGATTATAATAAATTTTGATAATTATATCCTCATTTTTATTTAACTTTTTTGTCTTTTTTAACTCTCTTTACTGGACCTTATGTATGCTATTGTACAAATCTTAAACCTATTAAAAATAAATAGTGATATAAACCTAAAAATAGAATGACACTAAAAAGTGAAATCAAACCAACAAAGATAATCATTTATGTTGTATTTGATAGTTTTGATAAATCAACTCCAAATAATTTATAACCTTATGGTTATTATCTTCTTCTTGGATCTACTTCTTCATCATCATCATCATCATCATAACCTTATTCTTATTTATATTTTTTTTATTATTCTTACATGTTTTTATCAAATTGCTAGATTAATTAAAATGAATACTTCAATTTCTTTTGATAATATCTTTTCTTAATCTGTTAATGTGTAATCATCTTCTAAACTCAAATCAGTCATCATGAAAACATCTTAGAAATCTTAATATTTAAATGTTTATTATCTCAATTAATTAAAAAGATCAGCCAATTATTAATATTAGATTTTTTGTATGCATTACATCACTAATTAAGCTTATAATTTTTCATATGCATTTCTTTTATCTAAATCATTTGAAATCGATTTAAATAACTACATTAATTCTTGACTTCTTTCCTAAAGGTGATATTTTGTTAAAATAATGCATCCATATTGTTATTGTTAATAATAATTTTGTTATTCTATCAATTAATCATTTATTAATACAATCCTATTATTAGAATATAGATTCTTAATCTTCTTCACTTAATTCATCTTCCTGGGTTCTAAATTGTGCAATACTTAAGGCTATTAACAGTAATTTCCACATTAAAAATTAATATGTGATATTAAATTTTATACAGAATTCTTAAAATAAATTAATTATATTAAAGTTATCATAATAATTATTGTAATAGTTCTTTAATATCTTCCTTTACTCTTTTACCAAATTAAGGGCATTCTTCAATATGTTTTTGTATCATGCAAAATAAGAATTTACTATCTATCTTTTTCTTTTATATCAATCTTTCAAGTTATTATAATAATTTTCTAAATGTTTATTAATTATTTATACTCATTAAATTATTTTTAAATATCTTATGTTGATTATCTACTCTTCATTTTCTCTTTTATATTTTTTTATTCTATATAATCTTATGATATAGATGAAATCTATCTTACTTGTTTCTCAGGCTTATCTAAACATTCTTTAACTAAAAACATTTAAACTTAATCATTTTATTATTTCTATTTTGAAATTTCTTCAAATAACATACTATTTTAATTTCTATTCTCATTTTCTCTTTTTATAATCTAAGAATTTCTCAATTATGACATTATATTTTTAAATTCATTTCTTTGATTATCTGAAGAAGATTTAACACTCATTTTTGTATTTTGAAATTTAATCTCATCTTTTAATTGTAAATCATCTATTTAATGTTTTCCTATAAATATATCAGAATATTTAGTTGGTTCTTAAGTCTTAGTATTTGAAGTATATTTTTTATATTTGCTTAATAATTCTTTCTCTTAATTGTTTAATAATTCCATTTTTTGAATTGTTATTTAATTTAATTTATCATTATAAAATAATCGATATATCTACATATAATATATATTATTCATGTAAGTGATCTATTAAAAGTTGTTAATTTCTCTACACCTTTAATTAATTCAATTTATTGATTGGGTGTTAATTATTAAGTAAATTGATTGACATTCTCTTCCACTTCTTATTGTATTTATTTCAATTTTTTCATTTCTGTATTAAACTTTAATAATAATCTAATTATAAAAAGATGATAATACTATTATGAAGTCTTTCTATGATTTAATAATTTATCAATAATTGGAAGTACTTTATAAATTAAATTCTCATCATCTAATTTAGTTTATTTTTTAACAATTTCCACATAGTTATTGAATTCATCATCATCTAAAAATGATAATAAATACAATTATACAATTTTTAACATCATTATTATAACTAATCAATTGCAACCCATAATTTCCTTTTAAGAAATTTCTTTGAATATTTTTAACTGCATATTTAAGATAGTCTCTTCTTTTAATTCCACATGTACCATATCTCATCTAATAATTAATTATTATAAATACTAAATATGAATCTAATATTAGCTAAGCTTAATCAGATTTTTTGCATTCTGTAATTTAATCAATTGCATTTGAATTAGCAATTATCATACTATTTAAAATTGGATGGGATGAAAGTAATTAAGTCAAATACTCAAATGATTATCTTGTTGTTTTTTTATATTCCTATATTTTTTAATCTAAATCAGAAACCTAATATAATAAAGATTAAAATGTTACTTTTTTCTCTAATAACTTCAAATACACCTTCTTTCTTAAACGTGAATTCTTAGCACTTTATCTTAATCGTTTATTTTTTGATTCAACAGTTAATAAATCATTAGCAGATCCTAAGAGTCCAGCTAAACCAAATTTCTATTCTTTTGATATTTCTTCTGATGAACTTTCTCCTTGTAAATCTTCTTACAATTCTTCATCTAAGAGTTTTTCACCTTCTACACTAAGCAAAGATGTAATTTTTTTAATGTATGCGTTCTTAACATTACCTTTAATCTCTTATAATAAAGGGGCTTGTTCTTTTAAACTAGCATTAGATTGAATTCTTTAAATTGTTGATTTAGTTTTCTTAATCTTTTTACTCTCATGAGTGATTTATTAATTTATATAAGGATTCTGCAGAACACTCTAAGTGAATAAGCTTTAAAAATTCAGCATTCTCTATTATTCATGTAATTGTTAGAGTAGACGAGCATTTTATACTAACAATTAATCTTAAGTAAGGGCTTACTGTAGATAAGGAATGGTTGATTAATTATTTAAGGTTTGTATAAATTAATCTAATTCTTCTTGTGGTTATTACATATATATATTTATTATTTATCATAGACAGGTTCATTATATTCTTAGATTCTTTGTCATTATTAATAAATAATATTACATTTAATAGCGAAATAGTATGAACTATTAATTTTGTAGCTTTGTATTGTGATTTTCATTAATGATAAGAATTAATTTAAATAAGAAATGAGTTATGAATATGAGATTATAGATGATCTATAAAGTACTTGGTAGATTAATGTTAAATTGTAAATATTGTAATTAAATAAATAGAATAAAATGAGTTATGATTCACTTGAAACAATAGTAGAAACTAAACACAATAAAAGATCAAAGTTTTTTGTAACGAGTGTATGTAAGGATAGAGTACAAAAGGGAGATGACAAGCATTACAACTATAATTATCAAGTAAGACGTGGGTACAAAGTCAAACTGTGCCATCAATCTAACTGCTGCCTCATTAATAAATTAGTTTACTAAAACTGTAATTTGTATTACTAGTCAAGTTGTATTAAGTATTCATATACAAATGCTCATAAATTGTGAACTCTTCTATCTCCTTTCCATCTAAAAACAATTACACATCAAGCAACAGAATATCAATTTTCGAAAACATTTGTATACTTATTGGGGGATCCCATGTTTACTCCATCTTAAATATTCCACCTCTTTCAGATACATCTAATTCTATAAAATCAGCCTATAATATGATAGATGGAATTATAAGGGCCAAAAAGAAGAATGCTATGAGCTATTATGTTTACAATATACACAGTAATATATGCAAAATTATACGTCTCCGAAATATCTAGAAATACTCTTATAAACTCTCTACAAATGGATCTTATCTAATTTACTCTTTCTCATGTAAGAAGTACTTCTATTTGATTGGTTGAAATTCATTTCCCATTACCCCTTAATGTTCTTTCATTAATTATTATAATTTAATTATATAAATGTGTCCAATCAATCAATAACAAATTGGTTATAATTACTCAAGACAAATTATTTAATTTTATTTACAATCTTTTCAATAAAGAACCATTAATAACATTAATCCATTTTCAAATATCTATAATTAAAATATTAAATTCTCTCAAATTTTTAAATCAAATATAGAAAAAATGATTTAAAATTTGATGAATAAAAATAAATTATTGAATAAATAGACAATCTAAATATAATAAATAGTTTATTTATATTAAAGAATTCAGAAATAAAATTAAATAATCCAAAGATGAGAATAGATATCAAAAAAAGTAAAGACTTTTAATTAAAATCAATACTAATTTAAAAAGGATTATTTAAAAATTATAGAATACAATTCTTTATATGAATTTTATATTTGCACAGTGTAAACTTTTCAATTTCAATGATAAAATTGAAAATGTCAAAATTGAACTTATGTTTTTTTCTTTATCTTTTTATTAATCTAATTATTTTATTATATTATTTTTTTTTATTTCTTTTAAGATTATCTTCTATTTTCACATTCTGTACATTAACAATGTGATGTACACTTTTTCCCCCTAATAAAACATTCACAATAACCTTTTATACATTTTGTTTTCTTGCATTTACATCCCCATACTTATTTTGTATCAAAAGAATCTAAATCATGATGTGATGCTCTTTATTCTTTCATCTTAATTTATTCAACTGCCTTTAATACATCTTCCTCATGTTGTCCATCATTATAACAATCATTACACTTACATTCACTTATACATTGACGTTTATTATGAAAACATGAACAATATAATTATAAACAATGTGTTTTTGTACAATTACAAGGTTTCATTTCAACTTATTCCACAGGAGAATTATCAACATTATAATTTATTTTATTAATTTTTCTTCTTGTTTGAATCTATTATATAATTGGTATTTCCTATATATCCAATTATTTTATTTCTTATCCATCTTATTCTACTTACTTTTTCTATTTCTTTTATGGTGAATATTTAATGGGACTTTATGCTTCTATTGACATTTACTTTTTGTATTAAATTTGATTTTCTTCAAGGGACATATGTGAACTATTCAAATTATTCTAATCAATACACAAATAGGGTTAATCTTGGTACAGGAATATCTTCTATTTATTCAGCTGATGACAATTAACTTTATGTTTATCCTAGTAAGTATTCTTATTTCATATCCTCCCTTTATTAATTATCTTTGGGTATAAATAAATCTTCATCTTTTTACAAATCATTAGATGAAGAAATATACATACCACTTCTACTATCTTTATTAATCATTCTTAAATTTAAATAAAAAATATATTTTTTAAACAATTTTTCATTTTTGTATAGAATATGTTAAAAATATATTCAATTTTTATGTTATTCAATTCTACAACTCTACTCTAAAATTTTTATTCTTAAATTCTTAAATTCTATTATATTCTTATTTTCAAAATTTAAATACTTTCAATATTATATAAAAAACTAACGTATTTTTATTTAAGGTTATCTAATTTATAATTATTCTATTATGAATATAAATGAACATTTCCATAAAAAATATACTAAATATAATTATCTTAAATTTAATCAATAGTAAATTTACAATCTAATTCTACTCTTCAATTATAAATATTAATAAGATTATTTAATTAAAATAAGAGAATAAAATCAAGTTTTTATTTTAATAGAAATTGTTTTTATGCCTTAAAAATGAAACTTAACAAAAATAACTTAATTAATTGAAAAATATCAAATATATGATAATAAAATTTAAATGAAAAAAAAAAGAAATACTTAATCTAAGTACTAAAATTTAAGTAATATTATTTAGAATAATAAGAAAAATTTAATTTAAATTTTAATATTATCCTTTAATAGAGAATAAATGATAACAAATTTAAAGTAAAAATTTTTTAATCATAGAATTTATTACTAAAACGGAATGATTTTAATAATTTTATTTGATAAAATCTTATAATTGATAGATTAAAATCATAATTCCATTACTGTATTAATTCATTCTAGATTATTTTTTTAGATCAATTAATAATGTTATTTTTTAAGTGTATCTTATTGTAGTTTATAATTTGATTAAAACTTTTGGATATGGAAATTAAATTTTATAGAAAACTAAAAAAAAATATTATTAATTAACACATATGCAATAAGTGGAAACTTAATATTGTTATTATAGCAATTTCAATTTATTTGAAAGCACATCTCAATTAATAAAGAAAGATAAGTTTATTAAATCATTATTGCAAACTTTAGGAGAGGAATGGCGTATTTATGCAGGACAAGCAATCACTATAGAATTGGATGGATAAATAAATTATATGGCATGGTAATTTTGTTTTGAAAATTTACTTTTTGCTTGGTTAGAGAATGAAGATTCATAATATTTAGAATTTTACAATTAATCAATTTAGCGCATAAGTCCTTATAATATTGGTATCAAAGAAATAAATTTATATTAGATGTTGTTTATTTTAGACCTGTATTTGATGGTTTCTTTTATTCTGCTTAATAATTATGGTAAAAGATGAGATTGAGTAGACCACCTTCATAAGAATCTTTTAAATCTTTAGATTAAATAAAATAAGAGGAAATTAAACCAATGTCTAATATTCTAAAACCATTGGTAATTGTAAGTGAAAGGATTATTAATTATTTTCGTAAAGAAGAATAAACTTAAACATAAAGAATAGAGTATCCATAATAATAATAATAATAATAATAATAATAATAATAATAATCAAGTTGGAAGTAAATTTCAAAATTAACAGAAGATTCTTTACCACTTGATTTAGTGGAGAATGCATATATTTATGTAAATTAATTTATTTAGAAAACTTACAAGAATTGTTAAGTAGCTAAATCATTTATTGTTAATATAATAGAGTTAAATCATGAAGTATTAAGCAAATTTTAGATTTCAAATTAGTAAATAAAAATTAGAATAATGTAACCATCTTGTTTAATGTATGATAATTTATTATCAATTTGGACATTAGCTAATGCAGGAGTTTAACCTTAATATTTTGATTTAATTGGTAGGGCAAAATCTTTATTGGGAAATAATTGGAAAGATAATTATTAATAACCTATAGAAATATTTTTTTAGTTAATGGCTAAATTATATGGAAATATAATTTTAAATCCATAAATAAAATCAGAAGATTAATTAAATCATTTATTATAAAATATGAGAATATAAATGGCTTAATTATGGGAATAAGAAATAGTTTAATCAACATTAGAAAAATAATGATTAATATTATATTATATTGTGTATAAAATATAAAATATTAAATATAATTGATATTATGATTGATCCTTAATTGATGGAGAAATGGAAAACAGAGCTTTTTTAAGATCAAGCTCTTAATAAACTTTTTGATTAACATTTAACATTAGAAGAATTTGTCTTATTAATTCTAAAGAATTGTATTATTATAATTCATTATTAAAATAGATAATATGGTTTAATTGGGAGACATATTTTAAAAATTGACTTCAATTAATTAATCTATTTCAATGTAATTAGATCATTATATAAAGAATAATTATGAATTGTTGATTGAAGATCTAAAAGATGTAAGATTTAAAAATATTACTAGAAATCTTAATAATGTGATAATGAAGTAATTATTGAAGCCTTAGAAAAGATTAAATTTATATAATAAAGACTTTAAGAAAATTATGTTAATAAATACAATAAAATAATGAAATTATTACCAATAAAATAAAATAGTGAATTAGCTTTGTAAATGTGTAAATAACTTCAAAAGTTTAGTGTTCAATTAAAATTATTGAGATCATTAGCTTAATAACAAAATAATAATATTAATATAACAGATGCATAAAGAGTTGCTAATGCTTTATTTGAAATAGATAGATTATAAATTAAACAATTTCAATTTTATAAGAATAATCATACTTATATTAAATAAGTTGAAGAAAGTTTATAAATAAAAGTAACTAGAAAATTTGAAGATTCACTCTCAGCAAAGAGTGTGCCAGATTTAACTTAATGTTTAGGAATATTTTATAGTCTTGGTAGATTATCTGAAATACTTGAACTGAAATGTAATTAAGTATTAAAATAAATAAGTGAACAATATAAAATATTATTCTCAAATTCTAAATCCTTTTTACCTGATTATAGAAATCAAATTAAAAATGAATTAAATTAGATGATTTTAATTTGGTTAATATATTAAGCTATGAATTAAAGTAATATATATTATGATTTTAGCTGATTAATATCATTTAATTACATATTAAGAAGAACTTAAAGATTAATTTCCACATTTATTTTTAATGGTATGGAAAAAATATACAGATGTACTTTAATAATCAATCTAAATTATTATTGATAATAAATAGAAATACGAGTCTACTTATAATAATTTAGTACATTTTTATCCCATTATTAAAGATATCTATTATGATTAATTAATTATGTTTAGTGAATAAATAGTAAGAATTTATATTCATTTTATTTAGCTTATATTTCCATCATCTATATTATTAAGTCTAAATTAAAATGAAATTTAAGAATAATTAATGTCTTCTTTAAATATTTTAAGACCATTACATTAAATGTAGTTTATATTATTGTTGAAAGAACAAATCACAAATCTTGCAAATGATGTATATGTTTAAGAAAAAGGTTAAACATATGTTGAAAAAGTAAATTTTTATAATTTATATTTTAGGCTTTGAATACTTTAACTTCATTTATTGATTTTGTTAAATTAGAATTTGAATAAATTAAATATGATGGGCAATCATTTAAATTTATGACTTAAAAGTTACTTCATGAATATAATTCATTAATTGAATCTTTTTAAGGTATGACTTATACTAATGAATGTTTAAATGTCNCAATAAAATAATGAAATTATTACCAATAAAATAAAATAGTGAATTAGCTTTGTAAATGTGTAAATAACTTCAAAAGTTTAGTGTTCAATTAAAATTATTGAGATCATTAGCTTAATAACAAAATAATAATATTAATATAACAGATGCATAAAGAGTTGCTAATGCTTTATTTGAAATAGATAGATTATAAATTAAACAATTTCAATTTTATAAGAATAATCATACTTATATTAAATAAGTTGAAGAAAGTTTATAAATAAAAGTAACTAGAAAATTTGAAGATTCACTCTCAGCAAAGAGTGTGCCAGATTTAACTTAATGTTTAGGAATATTTTATAGTCTTGGTAGATTATCTGAAATACTTGAACTGAAATGTAATTAAGTATTAAAATAAATAAGTGAACAATATAAAATATTATTCTCAAATTCTAAATCCTTTTTACCTGATTATAGAAATCAAATTAAAAATGAATTAAATTAGATGATTTTAATTTGGTTAATATATTAAGCTATGAATTAAAGTAATATATATTATGATTTTAGCTGATTAATATCATTTAATTACATATTAAGAAGAACTTAAAGATTAATTTCCACATTTATTTTTAATGGTATGGAAAAAATATACAGATGTACTTTAATAATCAATCTAAATTATTATTGATAATAAATAGAAATACGAGTCTACTTATAATAATTTAGTACATTTTTATCCCATTATTAAAGATATCTATTATGATTAATTAATTATGTTTAGTGAATAAATAGTAAGAATTTATATTCATTTTATTTAGCTTATATTTCCATCATCTATATTATTAAGTCTAAATTAAAATGAAATTTAAGAATAATTAATGTCTTCTTTAAATATTTTAAGACCATTACATTAAATGTAGTTTATATTATTGTTGAAAGAACAAATCACAAATCTTGCAAATGATGTATATGTTTAAGAAAAAGGTTAAACATATGTTGAAAAAGTAAATTTTTATAATTTATATTTTAGGCTTTGAATACTTTAACTTCATTTATTGATTTTGTTAAATTAGAATTTGAATAAATTAAATATGATGGGCAATCATTTAAATTTATGACTTAAAAGTTACTTCATGAATATAATTCATTAATTGAATCTTTTTAAGGTATGACTTATACTAATGAATGTTTAAATGTCTTATCTGTATCTATGCCATATTTTTGGAAATAACTTTTAGATCATCCTTTAAATCATGAACTTGAAATATCAGAATTATTGATTAAAAAAGATGGATTTAAGTAAATAGATTCAAATTTATAAATCTTATTTGATTAATATTTACAAAGACGTAAAATTACATAAGATTTGATTAATGCCTTATTAAAAAATTGATTTTAATGTATAATACAAATTTAATTATTATTATTAAAACATGTTAAGGACTATCCAATCTTTTTCTTTAGATGGTGAAGCAAAATTATCCTTTTTACCTAAAAACAAAACAAATTATTATCTAAAATCTTTAATAAAAAATAGAAAATTGAGACCAAAAAGTCAAGAAGCAGACGATTCTAATTAATAAATTATTAATCAAAAGATAGGTCCATCAAGAAGAAAAAGTTGTTATTGTAATTTATGTGGTTTCACTAGTAAAAAATAATAAACATTTATGGATTTTTAGTTAATCAAAAATTCCACTTTGATCAAAAAACCACCTATTCATAATGATAGAAGAAGTACTTTAAATCTACAAAGTACAAGTAAGAAATTATCATATATAATAAGATAGAAGTGTTTTTTATAGAAGGAACACTTAAAAAAAAGAGGAAAGAACAGAACTTCCAAAATCACCAGTCTATGATCTAGGTGATTCAAAAAATACTGATTGGTATGTTCGCTAAATTGTTAAAAGAAATTCTAGAATTAATGTTCAAAAATTCGTTGATAATTCATTCTCTAAGAACTCATAATAATAATCATAATCAAACAAAAAATTAAATATTGATGATTTGATGAATGTAAAAAGTCAATAAACTATACATCTTCCTTATAGTATAAGTATTTTATATAATAATAATGTAATAAGATAGTCCTAGTGTTAGAATTCGAACTATTGGGGCCTTTGACTAAGATAACACAATAACATCTCCAAAATGTAAAGATCTTCCTAAGTTATCTCCGTATTTAAGCTTTCGCTAACTTAATACAAATCTTCTTGCTCCTATCAAATACAAATCTAACATATCAATGTCAAGAAAAGTCTAAAAAAAAATATTATCATATTCCAAAACTTGAATAGTTAATTTGTAACTTAATTATTTTGTTTCTGTTATAAATATTTGATTTTATCTTTTTAAATATCTTATATAAAATATAAAAAAGAGCTGAAATTTATTACAATTTATCTATTAACAAAACAGTAAATTGTTTTTATCCTTATATTTTTGGATTAAAAGATTTAACATTTATTATATCTAAATTATATCATAATATTATATATATCTATAATATGATAATACATAGAATTACTAAATACTTTAATATTATTTAAAGGAACATCATAAAGAAAATTAGAGATTATATTCTGTATTCAAAAATATTATATTAAAAGATAATACTTTTTTTGTTAAATTAAACATCAGATAATTGAATTAATGATTAATTTATACTTCAATTATAATTAATAGATAGGCTATTTATGTTCTATATTCTTTATGATATTTTTTAATAATAATCATATGATATTATATTTACATTAAATAATCTTTATCAGATCAGATTTTTTCAATAATAATTTAATCTAACATGTCTTTATGTGTATCTATGGTATAAAATTCATCTATTTTTTTATCTGGCATAATCTAAGAATAAGTCTTTGCTTAAAATGTTGAAACTATATATTTTATTATTATTATTGATACTTTTTTCTTATATGTTTCTTATTCTTGATGAAAGCATACATTAATAATTGGACAAAGTTTATAGATGCATTAATTTATATTATAAAGCTTCATCTACATCCATATTTGGTTATTTTTCATAATATTTAATCATTTTATCTACAGTATTAGTCAATAGTTCTAGTTATTCATGTTATTATAATATTAATTGTTCTTAATATTTTTAAGGAACAGAAAACTATTAATTAATTCTTACAGTTCCAGATAATTAATCATATGATTCTTTCATTGTTTATTAAGCTTTTTAAAAATCATTGCATTAAGCCTCTTCTTTTTTTAAGACTTCTAATCCATCCTCTGTTATTTTTTATACTAATCCAACAGTAGAAATATATTCATTTAAATTTTTAGACAAATCTTTTTAACCAGCTAAAATTTATTCAGAAGTGTCAAACACAGATTTTGTATCCATTTAAAAGATAATTTATGAAATAGGTTAAATCATTTATTGCCATTATTAATTTTAGGCTGGTTGATTAGCAAAGCTTTTTTCTGTTTCACTTATCTTTTGAGTCACTAAATTATATTTTTCTTTAAAGGCATTTGAATCATTAATAAAAGATTGAATCTAATTTTGCTGTTGATATTATAATCCATTTTATATAAAACCTGGTTATTGTTATTAAGGGTTTGTAGAAAATAAATTGGTTTATTAACCTAAAACAGGTTATGTAGTACTAAATAAATTAGAAGTTGCTTATGGCTGACCAAATATACCCTAAGTTTAAGGTGGCTATCCCAATATTGGATTTTATCCAAATCCCCCTATTATATAACATATTTAAATATACCTATGATTGGTTGAGTTTAAGTGTTTGGCTATCCAAATAACATATTATTTTGTTGTGTTGGTTATGGATTACCAAAAATGTTATTTGTTTATGGTTATGCAGATGCACCTGAGAATAACATATTTGGTTGAGGAGGTTTATTTCCAAATAAATTTTGTTATGGTGGATTCGTACTCATTATAATAATTACTTAATTATTAGTTTAAAAATTTGAAAAATTCTAATAGTAATAATAATGAATAACACTCAATTTTAATGATAGTTTAGATATGTAATGTAGTCTTTTGGATAAAGATAACAATAAGATAAATAAAAATTTGTAATCTCTTCAAATGGAATAAATTTAAAGACTAGTTATATTAACCCATATAAATTAAATGAACTTCTGCAAATAGAGAAAGTATGNATAAGTCTTTGCTTAAAATGTTGAAACTATATATTTTATTATTATTATTGATACTTTTTTCTTATATGTTTCTTATTCTTGATGAAAGCATACATTAATAATTGGACAAAGTTTATAGATGCATTAATTTATATTATAAAGCTTCATCTACATCCATATTTGGTTATTTTTCATAATATTTAATCATTTTATCTACAGTATTAGTCAATAGTTCTAGTTATTCATGTTATTATAATATTAATTGTTCTTAATATTTTTAAGGAACAGAAAACTATTAATTAATTCTTACAGTTCCAGATAATTAATCATATGATTCTTTCATTGTTTATTAAGCTTTTTAAAAATCATTGCATTAAGCCTCTTCTTTTTTTAAGACTTCTAATCCATCCTCTGTTATTTTTTATACTAATCCAACAGTAGAAATATATTCATTTAAATTTTTAGACAAATCTTTTTAACCAGCTAAAATTTATTCAGAAGTGTCAAACACAGATTTTGTATCCATTTAAAAGATAATTTATGAAATAGGTTAAATCATTTATTGCCATTATTAATTTTAGGCTGGTTGATTAGCAAAGCTTTTTTCTGTTTCACTTATCTTTTGAGTCACTAAATTATATTTTTCTTTAAAGGCATTTGAATCATTAATAAAAGATTGAATCTAATTTTGCTGTTGATATTATAATCCATTTTATATAAAACCTGGTTATTGTTATTAAGGGTTTGTAGAAAATAAATTGGTTTATTAACCTAAAACAGGTTATGTAGTACTAAATAAATTAGAAGTTGCTTATGGCTGACCAAATATACCCTAAGTTTAAGGTGGCTATCCCAATATTGGATTTTATCCAAATCCCCCTATTATATAACATATTTAAATATACCTATGATTGGTTGAGTTTAAGTGTTTGGCTATCCAAATAACATATTATTTTGTTGTGTTGGTTATGGATTACCAAAAATGTTATTTGTTTATGGTTATGCAGATGCACCTGAGAATAACATATTTGGTTGAGGAGGTTTATTTCCAAATAAATTTTGTTATGGTGGATTCGTACTCATTATAATAATTACTTAATTATTAGTTTAAAAATTTGAAAAATTCTAATAGTAATAATAATGAATAACACTCAATTTTAATGATAGTTTAGATATGTAATGTAGTCTTTTGGATAAAGATAACAATAAGATAAATAAAAATTTGTAATCTCTTCAAATGGAATAAATTTAAAGACTAGTTATATTAACCCATATAAATTAAATGAACTTCTGCAAATAGAGAAAGTATGATCTTCATAATTGTAATTATATTACCAAGATCTACATATATATTATATTAACAATCATCTTTTGTTTTAATGAACTCATATACTTATAACATAGAAATAAAATTTGCTAAAAAAGATTGGCACAAACAGATTTATTTTTATGATAAATTATCTCTATAGCTACAATATTTTATTTATTGTATTAATTATTTTACATATATTATCTATCATTGCATAATTAAAATGTTCACCGTAAGATTACTCTACTTATAGAAATTTGTCTTCTTTATTTTTAAATGAAATTAATTAATTTAATTATATATTAATTATCAAGTGTCAATTGATTTATTCCTATTTGATTTCTGATTAAATGTTATTTTTAGCTTCATTCAATTTATTCTATAATAATGATTGATCAAGATCACTTAATTTTTACTCAATAGATGCCCATTATGGTAAATTAAAATAAATAAGATCAGATGTGATCCATTGACGCTTCAAATCATCATCCTTTTTCTTTAAACATTACTATAATAAAGCTTATTATGATGAAGGTGATTTTCCTCTTTTGGGACTATTCTTAATTATAGATTTTGATGTATTTAATTTTGATTACACTTTCTTTTTTTTCTTAGGTTATTGTTCTTCATCACTTGTATTCTACAATTCTAATCTTGCCTTATATTTATGTTTTTCACAAAAAAATTTAAATTGATTCTCAATCAATTTACCTTATCATAAAATTCATATTTTACCTGTTTAGGAACTCTTCATTAGACAGGTAAAATGAAATGATTAAGGACATACTGCACAACAAATAGTAGCTCCTGATCTACTACATAAAAAACATTTCTAAATATTTATATAGTATATATTACAGTTTTCTTAGATTTTTCAACTTCTTCATCAATATTTTTAGGATCACATTATTCTAAATTACTAAAAAATACTAAATTTTAACTCCATAATCCACACATCTCATGTAATTAATATTTTTCACTAGAATTACTATTTGAAGGTATTAATAAAAGAGGTCCCAAATTTTAATCATTAGCTTCTAAACTACAAAATACACAATTTCCTTCATTTTATTTTGGATAAATTAATTTTTAATATTAAAATTTTTATAATCTTCCAAATGTTATTGTTGATTCCTTTATTTCTTATTTCTATTTTAAAATTGGTTTTATTGTTTCTGTCTATTATTCCAATTAATTACCATTAGAATTTTAAACTTAAGTTGTAACCTTTTATTAATTATTTTATGTGTTTTAATTTTATTAAGACTAAAATTATCCAAAATTTTAGAATTGCTATAATTGCAATTAAGATTGTGTTTAACTTTATCCTAAAATAGGTTAATTCTATATAAAAGAATTTTAAATTGATTAACCTGTATTTCTTGTTTATTTGAATAATGGAAAATATTTTTGTTCATGTTGAACTTATTTTGGAGGGACTTTTTATTCAATGTTTTTATTAATTTATTCTTATTGATTTAATTCTTCAATTACATAAGTTTATGGATTAGAGGGAATCATCTCTTTTAAATCTCTTAATTATTTATCTACATCCTTATGAAATTTATTAAAATATTCCAAAATCTTCATTTAATTATATGATTATTTATCTAATTGTTTCATACTATTAGAATCTTCAGTGATATTATTCAAATGAAATCTTCGCTCCATTTTTTCTTATTATTTCCTTTTCAAATAATTTGTAAATTTTTGAAGTGTAGCCTTAGTTAATGCCAATAATTGATCAGCATCTGAAATAGCTTAATCAAGTTCTTCAGCGGCTTATTCTAAATATAAATTCATTTAATAATATATATTAATTTTATCAAAAAATAAACATGACTTTGAATTGATATTATTAATTTTTAATGTTGTGTTATTTTTATTTGTTTTTTAACTTTTTTTTTTAAATCAAGTGATAAATACAAAAATTACTATTTCACCTCCATATTTTAACCTAAATTGTTGATAATGATTATTTTATCTATTAATATTCATTAAATACACTACATACATTTTTTCAAATACTTAAAATATTTGTTAGTGTAATTTTCATAATTCTCTAAAATAAACTTTAAATATTCTATAAATTTCCTTAAATATCATCCTGTTATTTATTACAACCTTTTATTAGAGAAGTTTTGATCTGCAACTATACAAATTTATTAAAATAAAATAAACTTTAAGAATCTTTAATATTAATATAGACATCTTATCTTTCAACGATATCAGATGATAAATTTTATGAATTATATGTTTTTACATCTTCTTCGATTGAAATTTAAATGCATTTTCTATTCAATGTTTAACGAATTAAAAATAATATTTTAAGTAAATTTAGATATTCACACAAATATTATCATCAAAAGACTTCATATCATTTTAAATTCTTAATTCTCTACACTTGGCTGAAATTAAATAATAAATTCCTTTGAAGATACTATCCTACTTGAAAGAGTGGAAATAATTTTGTATTTTAGTATTTTATTTTCTAATATTTAGGTATATCTGCATTTTTTGTGCTTCATCTTTATATTTTTTATGTTTCCTTTACGCATATGGAATATTATAGTCTTAGCAGTCGCATATTTGATACTCAATTTTTTAGCAGCCTATTATAATGTCAATTCAGTATAATACATCTTTGATTTTAAAACCTTCCTTGAATACCAGCTATGCAAGTTATTCCTTTGAATTAGATGGTACTTTGATATAAGTTCTTTTATATTCCTAAAAGGCTCCAGGGACTAAATTATTTCGAGGCCTAAGCTCTTTTTTTTCTTAAGGCTTCTCAATTTCTGAACTTTCATAATTTGACTACTCATTTTCATTGAGACATTTAAAAATGTTCATTATAAATAATAATTTTGATCCCATCAACATTGTTTTGAATATAAAGAGCGATTTTAATGCGTCATAATTAATTATATATGAGTAAATTATATAAAAATATGTAAGGAATTTGCATAATATTAATAATGAAATCGCTATATTAATATAAATTAATAATAAATTAAATCCTGATCAAATTTAAAGTAATTTTATCCAAATTTAAAGAAAAATACAAACCTTTTATTAATTTATCAAAAAAATGAAGTTAAAATAATTATTAACAATTTAAGAAATATTATAAATAGTTACATTAATAAAATGTTTAAGATTCATATTAGAATCTAATTAAATATATGATTTGCGATAAAAATAAAAATATTTAAAAATTCTAACCTTAAAATCAAAATCATTCAATCTATATATAAAGAGTTAATATTAGATACTGCAACTTATTGAAAACAAAGTAAAAAATTTCCAATTTAATTGTTAATCATGAATTAATAAAATTTTATTTATGCTTATAATTTATTATTACTAGTTGCAAGTAATAATATTATTTTAATAATTTATATTATATATATATAAAGCTATTAAAAACATGTATTTCTAATTTAAATGAAATGAGTAGATTTCAAATTTCTTAATTTAATATATTAATTAATTAATTAAAAAAAGTTTTTATTATTAATTAAGTGATATAGATTTATATGAATAGTTGGTAATTATAAATTTAATGATTTGATAAATTTAAAATATAATGATTTTTCTTTGATTTAATTTATTATTTTGAAAGATTTTCAGATAAAGAGTAGAGTTATTATTTTTAAGAAAGGAAAGTATGAAGTTAGAAGAATAATATAGTGAACAAGACGATAAAGAAAGTTACATAATTGAGAATGGAAATATAAAATTAATAATAATATAAATCAATTTAGTTTAAAGAATCAAATTATTATGGACATGGATTTGCTCAGTTTTACCTGTATTAGACCTCATACTTTTTTTTCTAAAACATATTACTTGAAAGTAACGGATGATGAAGTTTTGATATCAGCTGTAACCTTATGATTCTAATATTCAGTTTAGCAATTATTAGAACCCCAAATATCGTATAGAACTTAAATTAACAACATAAATTTTATGGAAAATGGGAAAACAATCATTAAAAGCATTTGGAATAGTTTACCAGAATAAAATTAAATATTTTGAAGCATAGTAAATACATCTTGAAACTTTGAAAAATGTTATTGGTGGTAAAGTGATTTATAGAAATATGGCATCATTTTATGAACCAGTTAAATTAATAGGAGAGGGATTGTCAGCAAAAGTAAATTAATTTATTAAAATTAGGTATTTTAAAGCATAGATAAGTAAAGTAAAAAAGCAGTTGCTGTGAAAATGATAAAATAAGAATTTGGAAGAGAAGACCAAGCATTGGTAAATAAATTAAATTAATTTTCATTTAAGGACATAGTCAAAACAGAAGTATCAATCTTAAAGTAGCTAAACCATTAAAATATAATAAAAGTACTTGAAGTTTATGAAAATGATTAAACATTTTGGATAGTTTAAGAATTTGTAGCTGGAACTCCATTAAGTGAAACATTGAAACAAAAACTACCCAGTGAATAGATAAAAACTATAATGATTGTATAATATATATAATATATTAATAGGGACTATTGAATACAATAAGTTATTTACAATCTTAAAAAATTGTTCATAGAGATATAAAACCAGAAAATATTATTATATAGAAAGACAATTCTATAAAAGTAATAGATTTTGGATTTGCAGCAAATCTTAAGTTTGGATCAGTCAGCAGTGTATGTGGTACTCCAGGATATTATGCTCCTGAAGTATTAAGATAGAAAGAATCAAGTTATAATTCAGACATGTTTAGTGTTGGTGTTGTTTTATTTAATTTGTAAAGAATTCTCAAAAACTATTAGAATAACAAATCAACCAATGCTTAAATCTAAAATGTATAATGCATAGCAATTTGTAGCTGATGAAGAAGCAGCAGATCTTCTAAAGAAAATGTTAGAAGTGGATCCTAATAAAAGAATTACTGCTACATAAGCATTGGAGCATCCTTATTTTAAAGATAAAATGGAAAAAACTAGTTATGAAAAATAGGATAGTCATTATCCTTCAGAAAATAAAATTATATAATAATAATAATACTAATAATAGTAGTTAAATAATCAATAATATTAGTAAAAGAAAAGTAATAAAAGTTTAGATGCTAAAACTACAAATATTATTGATTAATGAATTTATAAATTATCATTTCTACTATTTCTTTTGCAATATTTTATTGTCATTTAATAATTTTCAGTTTAAATAAATTCTCTTTAATTTAATTATTGAACTTATGGATTTTCTTATTTATTCATCATCTATTCAAAATGTATAACAATCTAATCAATCCATAAGAATCTAAACAATAAGAAATAATTAGAGATCTAACAGTTTGAATTTTAGAAATATAAATGTTATCATTAAAGAATTGAATAAAACTCACACAAGAAGAAAAAGTTGTTATTGTACTGAATGTGGATGCTTAGGAAGATTCTAATTTGAGAATATGAATACAAGATTGTTATTTGAAAACAAATAAAAAAGAGAAATTGTAAATACAAAAAGTGCTTTAACATTAACGCTACCAAGTATAAACTTACTCCTATATCTAAAGAATAAGAGATCTTCTTTTAAAGAAAGAGAACAGTTAAAAAAACAGATAAAAAAACAACGATTATTGATAGTAACACTACTGGTGATAAAATCGATGAATAAAAGACATAATATTTCAATTTCAATATACAATCAAGATCTTCAATTCTCTCTAATATTATTGGAAAAAGAGAGTTATAGATTAAATAAATAAATAAAATCAATAGACCATAGTGTTTAATTAGATTAGAATAGAAAATGAAATGTCTTATTCCAATTACATAGAAACATATTGAATTATCTTTCCCTGTTTAATATTGTTGTAGTCGAATCAAAACTGAAAATCAAAGTTATCATCATCAACTTTAAAGTCCAATAAATAGAACAACAACTAAATCTAATTATAAGAATTCGCCTTATTATTATACTTATAGATAAACATTAACACCAAAAGTTAAATTTAGAAATGAATAGAAAAAAAGGAAATCATCTATTCATTAATGATTAAATTTTGATCAAATTTTTATAATAATTTTTTATTTATTTTAGATTCTTTAAATTAAGATAAGATATTATAATTAGTTTATTAAGATTCTATAAATTTATATATAACTCTTACAATTAATAATACTATAAATCCATTAATATGCATTAAACACTAAATATATATATAGTAAATGTATCAACAACAAGAGTAATATTTGTTATCAAATATATCACATTATTCTTTTATTTAATCTTTTGGTGGTGGTATCCAATGAGATTATATACCTTTATGAAAAAATGTTAATTTTATATTTTATATGTATCCATAATTGTATGGATGATAATATCTAGGATAAAAATTTAAATATGAAATCTTTTCTCTTTTTGTATGTTCCCAAGTTGTCTTACCAGTCAATATCAACATAGTATGATATAATAGCAAAACACCTGTAAATATTCCAAATCCAAATGATGTTGCTGCAATTAATAAAATAATAAAGTATTAATATTTGTATTCATCATTTCCAAATTCTTCATCATAAGTAGAATAATAAGCAAATTGTTTATTAAATTAAAATAATCCATCAAAACATAGTAAACATTAAAAGAACAAAAATAACCAATACATACGATGATTTAATTCACCTACACATCCACCTATCCAAAAACAATGATGATCATATTTAGGTATACATTTCTAACATTTAGAACAATGTTTTGTTCTGTAAGATTATATAATTTTACATTCTTAACATTCATTTCTATCAGGTGTTAAAGATTCAAATTATTCATCATCTCCCCTTTAATTAGAAAAAGATAATTAAGATAATTCATGATCTTCTTATTCTACAACTGGCTCACCTGTTGAATCACTACATTATAGATAAAAATATCCAGCAGCAATAGTCTCAATCAATAATCGAATTCCAATTAATATTGTTAATTCATTTTCAAATATTGTAAGTGTAAGCATCCCTATCAATTCTGCTGAGAATAGAAACCTTTTACATGTATTCCCTAAATTATATACTTATGGTGGTACTGCCATATATTTAATTATTTAATAATGACATAAGAACCTAATCCATTTAGTAATAATATACAAATATAATCAAGAACATGTGACATTCATGGATACTAATTGTGCAGCCAAAGCAGGAATGGTCACTGTAGCTGGAGGTGCAATGGGTTTTTTAATGGCTTTATTTATGAATGCAGTAGAAATGAGAGACATGGATTATGGTAGAACCAAATAATCAACTCGATATGTTTTGAGAGTAATATAATTATAAATATACTAGAGAGATATAAATAAAATGTTTGGAATGGCAAAAGGATTTGCTATTTTTGGTGCTTTTTATTCTATATTTGAATGTCAATTAGAAAAATTAAGAATTAGAGATGATGCAACAAATTCATTTCTTTCTTGCATGNTATAAATCCATTAATATGCATTAAACACTAAATATATATATAGTAAATGTATCAACAACAAGAGTAATATTTGTTATCAAATATATCACATTATTCTTTTATTTAATCTTTTGGTGGTGGTATCCAATGAGATTATATACCTTTATGAAAAAATGTTAATTTTATATTTTATATGTATCCATAATTGTATGGATGATAATATCTAGGATAAAAATTTAAATATGAAATCTTTTCTCTTTTTGTATGTTCCCAAGTTGTCTTACCAGTCAATATCAACATAGTATGATATAATAGCAAAACACCTGTAAATATTCCAAATCCAAATGATGTTGCTGCAATTAATAAAATAATAAAGTATTAATATTTGTATTCATCATTTCCAAATTCTTCATCATAAGTAGAATAATAAGCAAATTGTTTATTAAATTAAAATAATCCATCAAAACATAGTAAACATTAAAAGAACAAAAATAACCAATACATACGATGATTTAATTCACCTACACATCCACCTATCCAAAAACAATGATGATCATATTTAGGTATACATTTCTAACATTTAGAACAATGTTTTGTTCTGTAAGATTATATAATTTTACATTCTTAACATTCATTTCTATCAGGTGTTAAAGATTCAAATTATTCATCATCTCCCCTTTAATTAGAAAAAGATAATTAAGATAATTCATGATCTTCTTATTCTACAACTGGCTCACCTGTTGAATCACTACATTATAGATAAAAATATCCAGCAGCAATAGTCTCAATCAATAATCGAATTCCAATTAATATTGTTAATTCATTTTCAAATATTGTAAGTGTAAGCATCCCTATCAATTCTGCTGAGAATAGAAACCTTTTACATGTATTCCCTAAATTATATACTTATGGTGGTACTGCCATATATTTAATTATTTAATAATGACATAAGAACCTAATCCATTTAGTAATAATATACAAATATAATCAAGAACATGTGACATTCATGGATACTAATTGTGCAGCCAAAGCAGGAATGGTCACTGTAGCTGGAGGTGCAATGGGTTTTTTAATGGCTTTATTTATGAATGCAGTAGAAATGAGAGACATGGATTATGGTAGAACCAAATAATCAACTCGATATGTTTTGAGAGTAATATAATTATAAATATACTAGAGAGATATAAATAAAATGTTTGGAATGGCAAAAGGATTTGCTATTTTTGGTGCTTTTTATTCTATATTTGAATGTCAATTAGAAAAATTAAGAATTAGAGATGATGCAACAAATTCATTTCTTTCTTGCATGTTTTCATCTATGGTACTAGCTGCTGAATCAGTTGGATGGAAGGGTTTAATGATGTCAGGATTAGGAGGAGGTATGTTTGGAGGGGTTATGTATTATGTTTAGATTAAGTTTATGAATCACTGATATATTTTATTATTAAAATGAAAAAATAATTTCAATTCTAAAAGAAACATAAAGAATGGCAATAAGAATTTTAAGATGTGGATGATTAAGCAATATTAGAAAAAGTTCAGTTGCCTCCCTCTGAAGATGAAGAATAACCAGTTTAATTAGAATAATAAATACAATAAAAGAAATAAGAAGAAGAAAATGAGATTGAAATTGTAGAAGAAAAGGAAGAAATTATTGAATAATCTAATTAAAAATAAAAAAAAATTGAATGGTTAGATTCTGATATTGAAGGAGTTGATGATATAGATGATGAAGAAGAATTGATAGAAGATGCTAATGAAATTGATCATGATCAAAAAACTATATTTGTCTAAGGACTTCCATTAAAAATAAGTGATAAAGAAATTGTTGAATTCTTTTCATAATATGGAACAATTGTGTCTATTGAAATTCCTCGTAATGAAGGATCTTAATTTACTAAAAGGAGAGCATTTATTGAATATAATACCATTAGTGAAGCATAAAGTGTAACAATGCTTGATTTAGAATTGAAAGGATGTTAACTTAAAATCAGAATAGGTATTTAATAAAAAGAGTTAAATAATAATAAATAAAATAGTAGAAGTAGAAGTAGAAGTTAATCAAAATGAAATAAACTGATTCAATAATTTATACAATTTATATATTTCTTTTAATTTATAGTGTATCATATAAATTTAAATTAAAATAACATGGATTTCTTAGGAATCAAAAACAATAAATTCATTAAGAATAAAGAACTTAATAGGTAATAAGAGGAAATGTTCTTGATAGAAGATAATTTATAATAAGATGATAATGAAACAAATATCATTGTTCCAGAATCTCTAGAATTTAAATTCATTTAAACAATTAAACAGAAAAGAACTTGTTGAATGTCTAAAGAGCTAATTGAGTTTATTTGTGTATTATTTTGTACTTCAACACTAATATATATACATAAATCATTCTACTTAATTCATTACTCATATATACAAGACCAAATATGTCGTTTTGTAATTTGATAAAATAACAACCGACAAGCAAAAGCAGACTAATTTTTATTATCCCAAATATATAGATATAATACTTTATTATATATGTTTCAATAAATGTTGTTTGAAATATTCATATTTTGGACACTCGAAAGAGATTTGTAGAGAAAATAATTATAAATAAATGGAAGTTGAATATTAAAAAATAAGTTGCTAATTAAAAATCAAATATATTTATTCACATCATTTTTATGATAGATTACATAAAGTTTTATAATGTTATTTAATGATCATTCATAAATATTAGTGGTTTACTCTTACAACACTCTTTTAAAATTTATTAAAGTTTTTCCATCATTTTTTTATTAAAAAAGCAATGTCCCCCAAAAGCATCATTAATAAACTCTCTTATCATATATTGCATATATATATTTGAGGTTATAATAGAGATGGTTTAATTATATGATCAAGCGACTCAATTTTTATTTTTGACAAGAAAAGATTTTAAATAATCTAAAAATAACTCTTATTCATCATTATTCACAGTTGCACTTATTAATTAAATATCTCTAAAAATAATCAAAAAAAGACCTTATTTATTAAAATCTTAATATTTTTATCATCATATGATTAATTATTTTCATTAATCACACATTGATACAAACCTAAAAGAATGCCTGTAGGGAAAACTTTAATAGAATATAATAAGTAACATACTTCTGGTTACTTTTAGTTTCTCCAAGATAACTCGTTCTCTTGCAGTTGAATAATTAATAGTAAACTCTCTTATATTGAGTTTTAATTCTAAATTTTAATTCACTCTTTAAATCTTTGATTTATCCTAGTATACTGACAGCAAATGTGAAATTTTAAAGGGAGATCTTAAGCACAAAACCAATTAGAATGTGTAATACGATTGATTACTAAATCTAGTAACTAGAATATTGGGCTCAATGGAGATTAATGATTAAATCAAAGATTTATGGCAAAAAAGACATTTTACTAATGTTCATATTGGATTAAATTAAATGAGAGTCTCAAATTTTAATTTTTATGTGCTTAATTTAGATGGTGTAGAATATCGGAAGGTTATTTCTTTGCTTTTTATGTTAGTATCCATTTTAATAAGAATTTTTGATATAATTTTTGAACTCTATATAAATATCTAAATATAAATAAAATCATAATTTCTCATTTTGCAACAAATACTTAATTGGTAAACCTTCTTCTGAAATTAAGAATTTACAGAAGTCTTAGTTAATTTTTCTGCCATTAGCCAGCTTCTCATCATACAATTACGGAGTTTATCTCTTTAAAAATTTGTATAATGGGTGAGTAAATTAACCATTAAATTCCACTTTCTAAAAAACTTTAAATCCTTATAATTTATCTGCTATCTACTAATAAGTGAATTTGTGATCACATTAAGGAAAGAGAAGTACTTAATAGGGTAGAGATTTCAAATAGTTTAATTGTTCATTCAATTCAGGAGAATCGATGGCAACATTAACTATTACAACTTTTTAACCTTTATATTGAGAGAGTGATTCTTCAGATTTATTTATATTGATGACATTGATTTCATGAATGGATTTAAATGGAGTTTCAACAGGAGAATCTAAAAACCATAATTTTCGTATTCCTGAATTTCCCATAATTAATTTATTAATTTTTATATTTTTCCCGTTATTTATTATTCTTCTATATAATATATATAAATTCGTTAAAGATGGACGAAAAACTACATGAATTGTTTCAAAAAACTTTGATATAAAACTCAAATTTGAATATTCAAAAAATAGTATAAGGATAAGTTAGATTGATACAATAGAATACTCAACCATTAGGTTAAAAAAATGAGACAATTTCAATAAAAGATGTTCAAAAGAAGTTAGAAGCAATTGAAAAGAATCTAATGATCCAGGATTCAGCAAGAAAAAGAAGAACATCTCGTTATCATTCTAAAAAATGTAGTGTTAAAATGAGTACTCAAAATAAATCAAATTCTCCGTCTCCATATTAATTAGATTTTGAAGATGCTTAAGATTATTATGTTGATATTTTAAGTAAAGAGAATGTGAGATTATAAGTAAAACTAAATTAATTATATAGGAACGTTTAGAATAATTGAAATAATAGAATGATGTAGATAATTCAGAGGATTTGAATAGAGAAAGAGAGAATCTTTAAAAAATGAAGTAAGAATATCAAAGTAAAGATAATGAATTGAAGATATTAAATAATAAATTAGATCTCTTGGAAATTGATTTAAATAAAAAACATTCTTAATTATTATTATAATCTAAGAAATTAGAAGCTTAATAATAGAATCTGCAAAAGAATGTATAATAAAAATATATTAATCATTATTAGGAATAATAAATTAAAGAAAAGAGAGATTGTATAGATACATTACAATAATAAATCAATTTAAATATATCATAAATAATCTCACTTAATAAGTATTAATTATTTTATTATTTTTTAGAATTGAATTATAATAAAAATTACCATAAAAATTAGGAGTCTAATTAGATGTTATTGAATAACTTATGTTATCAACTTTTAAAGAAAGATAAGTAGCATAATAAGAATATTTATGTTTAAGATAATTGAAGAATGTTATTAAAGACCAATAAAAAGAATATTTAAAGAAGATCTAAATCTGAATAACTTATCAATCATCATGATCCACATGAACTTATTAAATACTTTTAAAGTACTAAACAAAATTAATTGGAGAGAACTTCTATTCTTCCCTTTTAACTTATTTTAGTTATTATCTTAAGGTTTGTTTTTTTCCACCAATAGTATTTCCTAAGAGATTTGTTATTTAACTGGATAGATGTGGTAATTCAACTCTTGGATCATAAGGTGGTTCATCTCCATCAGTAAATGAATCTTCTAATTTTTATTTCAAAGACTTAAAATCATTAATCATACACTTATCTACTCCTCTTATATCTGGATCATTTGGTGGCAATGCTTATTTCATATCATTTCCTATAACCAAGTAAACATATAATAAAAATCCATCTAATTTTGATGTTAGATCTTTAGCTCTTCTATCATCTATATCCATAGGTTTATCTCCTCTTATAATAGATAATTTTTCAGCAAGTCTGCCTATACTTTCTATAAATTCATGAAAATTCATCTAATAATGTTTACTAGAATAGAGTTCATCTTTTTAAGTTATCATAGATTGTAAATATATTAAATAGCATTCTCTTTCACTTAAATCATCACAAATTAATTTTGATTATACAATCCAATCTTTAAAATCTTAGACAGAAATATAATCATATTTGCATACTTATTTATCTTTCTTACTTAATTTACATATATATTTAAAAAGAGATTTCAACATAGCCAATCTATCATTGAGTATGATATCGCATTTTTAATTCCATAATCTACTCTTTCTCCACATCTAAGCCTAATCAAATTTAGCAAAGTAATCTTAAGCTTATTTTGTGACTAAAGTTATAGCCTCAGTCATAGTAGTACATATTCCTTATCTGAGATATTTATCATTACACATTCTTATCATTATTTCCAATAATTAACAACGTACTAATCCTTTATCAAATGCTTATGGAAATTGAACATCCTTTGCTGCAGTTGTTGATGTAAAACTAATATCAATATCATTTGTCTTATATCCATCCATCAATGAAGTCTATACTAAAAAGTCAATATAGTCTTAAATCATTATGCATGGTATTGGGCTTGCTAATGAACCAGATGCATGATATTTATATATATGGAATAATTGACGATATAAAATCTTTAAATTCTCTTTAATTTCCAATAATTCTGTATCTTTTACTAAACGAGTAACTTTTGAATTCTAAAAATCAAATTCAAAGCATTCATCAATTAATTATGGTGTATCTGGTTAAAAATGTTTAAATATTGAACTCTCTACTGACCATCTATGTTTTTTTATATTCAAATAAGGAGAAAAATCAAATTTAGCCATTGGTTCTCTAGGTTTACATTATACCATTGGCATATATTTATCAAATAATTGTTATTTATTGGTTGTTTTTAAAACATTAACTTAATCCATTACATTCCCATCAACCAATATTTCATCATTGTACAAAAAAGGAATAGATTATATTTACATATTCTTAATATTTTAATCCATAGCTGGTTATTGAACTCCAAGTATTGGATTAGTAAAGAAGTAATGTATTTCTTTATTTGGAGGACACATTTTAATAAAAAAGAATTCATTATTAAGAAATGTCATTAATAAAGGTCGATAATCTTCAAAATCAAAATGAATAAAGATAGGTTCATTATATAAACTTCCAGATTTATGGGCTATCCATTCAAATTTAATTTCTTACCATCCTTCACATATCCAACATGTATCCAATTTATTTATTTCATTTACTTTCTAAACATTCAATTTAGTTGATCTAATTTTCCTTGATCTACTAAAAGGCATTACAAGTGATTCTTCTCTTCTTATATGAGTTTATTCAACTTTAGCTTCCTCTAATAATTTGAAATATTATGGTTATTTATATAGTTAAATTAATTTATCTTTTAATTATGAATGATATACAATATTATTAATTAAAAATCCATTAGCATTAACACATAATTCAGCTTAATTACCTTCAAAATGAAAACCATAAATAGTTTCATTTTTTTATAGTGCCTCTGCAATGATTTAAGCTTATGGATATGTAAATTTATTAAAAGAAAGATCTACATGTAATAATTCATTATAAGGTCTTGATACAGCTTTATTAATTGATTAAGCACATTCAACAGATGCAATATTATTATGAGACAAATCTAATATTTTAACACTAGTATTTTTGTACATAGCTTTCCAAATTGTAGTACCAGCACTTGCATTAAAGTAATTGTAACCAAGATAAAATTCTAAAAGACGTTGAGTCTATTTTAAAAGATTCGAAATTGATGTACTTGAACATTCTGTGATTTAATTATTATTAAGATTAAGTGATTATAATGTATTATTATTGAGAAGATGTTTCATTATTATTTGTGTTCCCAAATCACGAATATTATTACATTCAAGATTTAATTTATATATTTGATTTTTTCCTACGAATGACATCAAAATTTCCATATGCATATAATTTAATTTACAATTTTATAATTCTAAATCTTTCAATGTAATTGGAAATGTAAGTAGTATATCTCTTAATTATTTCGGAGTAAATTAATTATGATTTAATTACATGGCTTGAATTTATCTACTTTATTAAGTAAGCATTGCATTTGAAAATGCATTACCATCTTCACTATTTTTTATTGATCTGCTAGCATTAGCAGTTACTAAAGATCGAGTATTTTGAATCAAACCAAAAGTTTTAGGGACTCTTTCAGGTTATGAGAAGTTTAAACTTAAGTATAGATTATGTGGTTGCTATTTATATAATTTAGAATAATCTTCAAATTTCTAGGAATAACGAACAGTCTTCAAAAAATCTTGAGTATTGATAACTGATAGTTGCTTGCTTAAGATGATTAATGAAAAAATACTTGCCTAGTTTCATCTTATAAAAGTAATTAGTTCTATCATTTGTGGGACTTACCATACTTGGGTTAGTCTTCATCTTTAATGTTAAAGGGGATTTGATTTCTTTTTTGGTTATATCTTCATTATTGATTTATTAAATGGCATTGTGTTCCTTTTCTAAGAAACCTTACCAATCATTAATTTCCATTTTTAACAATTAGTCTTATGCCTCAAAACTCTCATTCTATTCTTACACACATTGGAATCTCTTCTAAAACAGTTATTTCTTATTTTTCTACTAAGCATTTCGTTCATTGGTTAAATCAGTAAACAATTCTGAAACATCACTCTTTTACAAGAAAACTAATCTACGATATGCAGAGGAACTCGAAGTACCCAAGGTTGTTAGTTCAGAATAATCATCCTTCATGTTATTATTATATATAAATAAATATATATATAATCAAAAGTCATGCTTATTCCATCTCATTTTGTAACATTTCCTCCTCTCTTTACTTAAAGTATTAAACAACATTAGTCAATAAGAAATTTTATTTTAATTGCTTCTGTTGTTACATCTACTTTATAACTGTGAAAAAAGATAAGGCTTTCTTTAATTTCATTCCTGTTTAAATTGTTTAGACTGGAACTTATTTCAATTATTCCTCTAATGATACAGCTTCTACTGCTGGATTATATGGTTTATCTTCTTCTTCACTTCCCATTTCTTCTATTTATTGTTATAAAGTCTTTTATTTTCTAGTCATACACTTATCAAAATCAGTAAAATCTTCAGATTCTTTTAATTACTATTTTATAGCATCTCCAGCCCTTAAATAAATAAGAAGTAAAAAGGCATCAATTTTCTTATGAAGTGGTTCTTGTCTTCTATCATCAATACTCAAAATATCCTTAGTTCTGATTAATGATAATTTCTCAGCACATCTACATAAAGCTTCATTAAATTCATAGAATTCCATTTAAAAATGTCTCAAACTATATAACTCATCTACTTGGGTTTGCATAGATAACAAATAAGCCAAATAAGCATCTCTCTCTACAAAGATATCACAATACAAATCACATCTAAGCATTAAATCTCTAAAATCCTTAAATTGAATCCAAGTGTGTTTATAGAATTTCTACTTAGGATTCAATTTTGATGTAAATTTAAATAATAATTTAAGCATGGGTAATCGATCCTCTATTAATATTACATTTTTTTACTTATCAATATATCACATTGCTCATTCCATAATCTCATATCTCTCCAATCTTAAGCTTTATCTATTTCCTGTAATCTGGCCTTAACCAAATCATCCTCAAATAATTTCAAGACACTTAATTTCATTGATTTACATATTCCTGTTCGAGTATATTTATCGAGTGCAATTCTTACGAGTACTTCCATAAATTGGTATCTTACTAATGCCTTTTCATAAACATTTGGATATTGAATATCCTTAACATTTGATGTCGATATGAAATTCAAATCGATATCTCCAGGTCTGAATTTGTCAGTCAACACTGCAGTCTAACCAATAAAATCGAAAAAAGCATTTGATGAAATACAGGGAATCTATTCATATAAATCAACTATTTTACACTCGCTCCAATTAGAGTAGAAGCATAGAATTTATAACTAGCAAAGATATATGGATAATATTCCCTTAAGATTTCCTTTACTTCCATCAACTCTTAAGGATCACGTACTATCCTGTTTATTTTTGAAGTCTGAAAATCATATTCAAAACATTCATCAATTAATTCATCATTATCTGGTTGGTAATTTTTGAATATTGAAATTTCATAACTCCAAAATGCTTATTTTTTATTCATGTATTAAGTTAAATCATATGTTCTCTCTTCCTCTCTGGGTTTACTGAATATTTTAGGAATATATTTATCAACCACAGTATGTTTTCCTTCAGTGAATACTTCATTCACAAAAGTCATTTTGTTACCTTCAATTAAAATATCTCCATTATAAAGAAATTCTTGTAATCCTTAAGCAATTGGATCATTTTAAGGAGTTTGCATAATCATTTAATTTTTTGCAGTGGTTTAGATTCCAAGAATTGGATTACTGAAGAAATACAGAATCCTTTAATTGGGTGGACACATTCTATATAAATGATATTCTCCTTAATGAGGGTTCATTAAAACAGGACGATAACCATCAAAATTGACATGCAAAAAGATGGGATCATTATTCATACCTCCAGATTTACCTGGACTCCAAGTAAATTTGACTTCTTCCCATCCTTCACAAATCCAACAAGAATCTCTTTATTTATCAAATTATTGATTTTATTTAACTGGTTTCATTCCCCATATTCTTCTAAATCGATGAACCTAATGAATTTCTTCTTTTTTATGAATACTCTTTTTTGGTTAAACAGGAATGTCATCATCTAATAATTTAAGAGAAGTCTATGGATTTTTTCTGCATTCTTCAATTTTTTTCTATCTTGTTAATTCTTCTGCTTATGTGTCTCTGAGATGACCAGTAGCATCAACTGCGAATTTGGGACAATTTCCTTCATAATGAAATCCATAAATATTTTGATTTATATTCAGAGCCTTCATAATTTCGATAGAAGAGGGTTCATCGAATCCATTATGTGATACATCTATATGCATTAATTCAGGATATGGTTTAGCAATGACTTTGGCCATCTATTGAGCACACTCAAATGAAGCTGTACGATTGTATGATATATCAAAAACCTTTACACTTGAATTCTTGTAAAGAGCTTTCCATATATTAATACCTCCTTTACTATTAATAGAATTGAAGTGTAAATATAATTCAAAAAGTACATTTGATTTCTTCAAATAATTTGATAAATCATTAGTACAATTATCTAAATTTAGAATAATCATATAATTACCTGTCAGATTGTTACGACTTAAATTTAACAAAGTTAAGTAATCATTATCTTACAATGCAACAAAAAGATAATTGGCACCTAGATCTCCAATTTTATTGTTTTCCAAGGAGAGTTTCTTTACTCTTGATTTTTACATATACTTAGCCAAAGTTTCACAGGCTTTTGAATCCAATCCATTATTATTGAGATCCAAATCTTGAATTTATTAAGGGAAATTTTCAACTAAACTCTTTATTTTTGGTGATGTTAATTGATTATGACTGAGTTTCAATTGAGTAATTGATTTACATTAAGGAGATTAGAGAGCTTCTGTGAATACCCTAATTTTAGACTCATTCCTAAGCATTCCTTGTGATTCTGCAGTTTAAATGGAATAATTGGAATTTATTAAACCAAGGCCAGATTGAAAGATATTGTAGACTGAGACTCAATATAAAATTAATACCTTAAGAACTCTTATTTAATTACAAATAGATGTTGGGTTGTTGTTTATAGAATTAAGCATATTCTTCAAGTCTCTTAAAATTTTTGGCAGTACTCCTAAAGTCTTTTTGATTAATCTTCTGTAGGTTTTTACTATTCATGTAGGATAAAAGTAACTTACTTTCCTAATCTATAATTTTTTAGAAATTTTCCTCGATCTGATAAATCATCATAAGGTTGATCCTAACGATCCTCATATAGATAAGGCTATTATCTTTTGAGATCTTCAAGTTTTGTAGGAGCTATTAGCGTAGCACCTCTTCTCTATGGTCTTTGAGTTTAATTTGGTTAATGATGTTTACGATTAAATGGACGCACTGTACTGCTTTCTTCTTTGACTGTAAGTCTTTATGATAAGACTTAGGCTTCTTCGTTTAGTTGATCTATGAGTTTCTGATCTTCTTGATAAAGATCCTACATAGTCTCCATCCTTAGGTTCTAATGCATCTCCTTCAGTTCTTCGTTGTCATTGGTACGAATAGTATGCATTTACATCCTCTATCGTATAGGTATCTCTGTAATACGAGTACATGAATTCATATTGGTGGATGGCATTCGCATTTTCACAATATCAAGTTGTGATTTAACAAGGGGAGACTTTTGATTTAGGCTAGTCCACGTACTTCTTTAACTTGATTGCCGCACTAGATAAGGGCTATGTCGTAGTACCGATCTTCTATATTTCTGGGACCTTGTTTTCTGATCCCTATTGTTCTTCTTGTTCTTATTGCTTGCGAACTTCTCTTAATTTCTCCAACAATTTGGCTGGAGTGTTATAGATCTTGAGTTTCTCAAACAACATAATTTTATTAATGAAGTAAATTGGTCATTATACATACGATGAAATAAATTGTCTCGGATAAGGAGCGTATGGTAAAGTGTATGAAGGATTAAACACTCTCAATAATGAAACAGTTGCCATCAAGAAATTAGACTTGATCCTTTTCGAAAAGGATAAGTACTTACGAAAACAAATAGGTAAATTATCTATTGAAAATCATCAAAGTGTAGGAAATAGAAATCATGAGTAAACTGAATCACAAGAATATAGTGAAATTTGTTGAACTCTTGGCTACTAAGAAATCCTTGTTCATTGTGACCGAAATGTGTCGTAGTGGAGATCTTAAATCATTGATTGCTAGCAAGAATATTAGTGAATAATAAGTATACTCTTTAATATATGGTCTAGGCTATTGATATTATGCTATAAATATTAGAAGGTTTTAAAGAATTAATTAAGAGTGGAGTTATTCATCGAGATATGAAACCAGCCAATGTTCTAAATGATATGGGTACTGTCAAAATTGCAGATTTTGGATTTGCTAAATACGTTGAGAATTATTCTTCACAATTACTTAAATCTTGTGTTGGAAGTCCCCTTTATATGGCACCATAAGTCTTAGAGAGACATCATTATAGTACTAAATGTGATATTTGGTCAATCGGAGTTATTTTTTATGAAATGTTGCACTTTGATGTACCATGGAAGGGCAGGGATGAAGAAGACCTCTTACATAACATCAAAACTTAACCCTTATAATTTAAAAATGATCTAAGCACTTTTTCAAAAGAATTTCTAACAATCGTAAATATATCGATTAATTGTAGACTCTTGTTATTGAAGAGGAGAATCGAGCTTCATGGAATCAACTTTTTGATCTTTCAAATACTTCTGTATTACAAAAATCAGTTTCTGCTGAAGATATCAATGAGGAGAGTATATAAAAATTACCTACTTGGGTTTAAAGACCTAGTTTTTAATAAAGATAAGATAAAAAAGTAGAAGAATAAAGGTATTAATAAATAGAGGAATTATAATAATTAAGAAAATAATTAGCTTATTAACATTTTATAATGGCAGAATGCTATAATGAATAAATTAATAATGAAAAAAATGGAGAATTACAATAAGAGAGTATTAAATAATTGATAAATTATTTGAATGATAATATTGTAAAATAATCACAAGATTTAATCTAAGTAATTTAAATGAATACAATAGACTAGTCTTGATTTATATTCAAAATTTTCATAAAAAAATTAACTTTGGAAAATGCAAGAATAATTAAATTTGGAACATAATTATTATGTATAAATGTAGATTGATGCTAAAAAATTGTTTGATACAAATTAATTGTAAGGTAAACCTGATGATAGATTAATAAATGAAGCAAGGAATTAATTATAGAAATGCAAAAATTCAAATGTAAATAATTCTTTATTGATAACTTAGATAGGCTGCTTCAATATTGTTAGATTTGATAAATAATTAAAATTGGAAAATATGATTCTTATTTAAATTATAGAAAATCAAAATTGCCAAATTTATCCTACTGTTTAATTTTAATTCTTTTTTATATATAGATATAATTGTTATCATAATTAATTCTTCATTTTTTAATTATTTTTTCATCTGATAAACTTAATAAAAATAGATTCTAAAATAATAAGATATTAAATATCAATTAAAATATAAATGGCATCAGCAAATTAATAATTTTCTTTTTTTTAAGACTATGCCCTTAAGAAAATACAATTTGTTGTGGATAATATAAGATATGAGTATGATAATCATAGAATGTTATGGTCTACAGATGTTATTGAAGAAGATGATAATCCAGATGAAGAGATTAATAAAGAATAACTTAAAAAGAGAGGATTAAAATAAATAGAATTGAGAGAATAAGTAAGATAGAATGAACACACTATTTCTAAATTAGCATCAGAGATTCAATTACTTAATGATAATATAAATAAATATTAAGAAAAATTATAACAAAGTCAAGCAGAATAGAATTAATTAATAGATGAGTATGTTCATGAACATTTAGAAACTGAGAAGATTAAGGCTGCCAGAGAGAGATTAGATAAACTGAAACGTGAATTAGGATTATGAGTATATTAAATATAATGAATAATATTATCGATTTTATTAAAAAACATGGGAATCCATTTGAAACTCTAGAACTTGATATGACAGCAGATAAAAAAGAAATTAAATCATAATATAAAGATTTAGCTAGAAAATATCATCCTGATAAGAATTTAAATACCAAGGAGAGATTTATAAAAATTTAAAAAGCATATGAGTTTATTGTAAACAATTTTGCAGACATTCATAAATATGTTGAGCATTAGAAATTCAGATAATAGGAACATAGTAAAATGAGTAATGAATAGAAATAATATGCGGAGGATTTAAAAAGAAGAGAATAATTTGCTGAAAGATAGAAATAATAAGAAGAAGTAGTAAAGTAAATGAAAGTGAATGAAGAAGTATTAATATATTTAATTTTAGATGAATAGACTTGAAGAATAAAGAAAATTTGAAGAGAATGAAAAGAAATAGAAATAAGAGAAATTAATCTAATTTGAGTTACAAAATTAAGATCTGTATAAGAGATTAAATACAATAAAGATAAAATGGGCAAAAGATTAATTGTATACATCTGATTTGATAAATTTATTATTTAAAAACTATGGTGCAATTCAGGAAATTAAAATTTTAGATAATAAGAGAAAAGCAATGATTACATATCATACTACTGAAGCAGCTGTAATAATATAATTTATATAATTTAGAATAATGCAGTGATTTAATAAAATAATGGATTTTTGAAGGTTAAACATTTTATGAAAGAGGAAAAGAGAAAGTAAATTCAGAAGTAATTACAAACAGAGAAGGAAAGAATCAATAGAAATGAATAAGATGTATATCAACTTAGTACGGATACTTTGAAAAGAATTTCGCATTTTTATAATAAAGATTCTAAAATATAGGAGGGTTTGGATGATCTTAAAAGAGAATAAGAAAGATTAAAATTAATAAATTAAATTTATGAAGAAGAACTAAATAAATGAGTTTAATTTTATATTATCATTTATGTATATTTATATAATTATTGATAATATAGAGAGGACTATATTATAACATTTTTGATTTAAATCTAATATTCATAAATATTTTTAAGTTTATAAAATATAAATTTAGAAGAAGGATATAATTATTGATTATTAAAGATTTTAGATATCTTATCCTTTATTATAAAGTATATTTGACACATGAAACTTATAATCTGACTGAAATATTGGATCAAATTGTGTAAGTTGTCATGTAGATAGAAGGAGTGTTGATTAAATATTCATAAATTTGGAAGGTGATTCAAAAAGTGTAATTTAAAATGTAAGTGAAAGATTAGAATAATTTGGTAATAATAAATTCGATCATAATCTCTAAGTTAGGAATGTTCATATTGCAAAATTATTTAAGTGGTAATAGATTAGATTTTGCTCTAATTGATTATGTAAAAATGAATTTGAAAAGGAAATTCTTTAATGAATATTAATAGAATTTGAAGAATCAAATAAGAATAACTTTTCAAATTAATAATTATGAATTTCAGACAGAAATTTTATAGATAAGGGGCAATTTTTAATGTTGTATTAGATTTAGGAGTTATGCTATTAAGTTATGAATTCTTTAATATTATTTTTTAAAATTGATACTATGATATATATTGTATTATATTTATCATAAAAATATACAAAATTAGTTATAAATATATATATTCTTAGTGATTTTCACCCAAATTTTAGTGAATTTAAGTATAATTTATATTTTAAATTAAAGATTAATTAAATGATAAATTAGAAATAAATCTATTATGCTTACAAGAAAACAACAAAGAGAACTTCAAATGAATAAATAAATAATAAAACAAAAATAAAAATAAAGTTAATCATCTATCAATACTAGTTTGTCATCTGAATTATAAGAAAGTGCTTTACTTGAAATGTTAGATTTATTAAATATTGGAAATAAATTGTAAATTGAAACAGATTTTCAAGAATCAACTTAAGATCCTTAAATTAAAAGAATTGAAGATTTTAATAAAACTTATCATCATGAATGCTTATAAGTGTTAATCTATGATTAGAATGACTCTAGTTAATGTTTAGCTAATCATAGAATAAGAGAATGGGTTAGAGGTAAAATGATTGATTGGATGATTGAAGTTTTTGCATCTAATAATAAAGAATATTCAAATAATGATCTTACCTTTTTTAGAGCTGTTAGTTTATTAGATGCATATTTAAGAAGCTCTTATAATTTAAATGAATTAGACATGTATTTAATTGGAGTGACTTGTATTTTAATTGCATCTAAAATTGAAGACATTTATCAAATTTCCATTAATACTATTATTTAAGATCTTTCTCATAATAAATTCTCTTTATTTTAAATCAAAGAATAAGAATCAATCATTCTTGAAACTTTAAATTATGATACTTGTTTTCCTACTGTAAATGATTATTTACAATATTTTTGTTACTAATTATTTGGATAATAACATAAGTATTCTTATTTAAATATTTTGTTTAGTCATGCTCTTTAAATAATCTAAGAAGCAGCTGTTTACACACTCAAAATGTGTTATCATGATTATGCTGTTATGCAATGTCAATAAATTTTATTAGCAGCCAGTATTTTAGGGTTTACGATATAAAATTATGTTGAATTGCATTTATCTTAATTAACAAGTGATTTAAAAAAATAATTACTTTAGACTGTATGTACAATATATAATTTTAAAAGTAGCATACTCTTTTAAGAATAGGATCATTAGAATTAGCAGATTACATGGAATGTATTCAAAAAGTTGAAGAATTAACCTAAATATTTCATAGTAAATATCCTGAATATTAAAATCTATAAAGATTTAATTGAGTATATTATATTATAATATTTTTAATTAAAAAATTTATTAATTTATTAATAATAAAAAATAAAAAAGAACCGCCCTCCAAGGGGGTCGAACCCTTGACATTTGGCTTAAAAGGCCAACGCTCTGACCAACTGAGCTAGGAGGGCTAGCTTAACACATTTTCAACTCTTTCTATTATGAACTAATCGAAAATATATTTTTTAATTAAATTATATATTTAAGTATTAATATATAAAGCATTTGTCAATAGGAATTTATTAACTGAATAAAAGAGAAGTACATATAGAGATAGAACTATAATAGATGTTAATTGAATATTGATCTAAAATAAAAAATTATTTGATTTTAGGTAATATATATAGTGAATTATAAATCATTTTATTGAATAATTAAAATGAATAAATTATTTCGTTTTGCAAAAGTAATTGTTAGATCTATTTATAAACCTGCTTAAAGAACACTTTATAGAATTCCATAAATTAAGTAAGTTCTAAATGATGATCATAATTAGAAATATCAATTTAATACACTGGCATTTTAGTAATTATTTTATATATATTTCTAGAAACCATTTGCAGTTGATTTAAATATAAAATTAAGAACAAATAAAGTAAAAATTATAAGCTGGCCTCTCAGAATTAGGTAATTAATTTATAACTAGTTCTAGCCAAAATAAATGCATAGTTATTGAAGTAAACTAATTATGTAAGGTTTGCTGGAGACTTTAGTCCTTGTGTTAATCCTGAGTAGTTTGTTCATGCATTGTAGTTTTATAGATAAGGTGCTTTGGCTTAGTTCTATAGTATTGACGATTTGGAGACAATTAACAGTGTTTATCAATCAGATTCTGAAATTGAGTTTTAGGATAGCCAAATTTTATGAATAAACTATCAGATATACTTATATAGATAAATATTAATTTTTTAATAAGCTATTCATAAAAAAGAGATTGTTATTCAATATTCTTTATTATAAAATTTTATTTAATATTTCTCTAAATTATATAACACTAAATACGTCATTTTATGATTTATAGGATTATTATTTAAATAGGTTTAATATTATTATCAATTAAATTCTATTATTATTAATATGAATTAAAATAAGTTGCCGATGTTTAAGTTTACTGTTGTTGGATATGTAAGTAAGTTATTAATTTAGATTTAGATGTTGGTAAAACCAGTTTTATTTAATAATATTCAGAATCTAAATTTTAAGATTAAAAAGATTTAACTATAGGATTATAACTTATAACAAAAATAGTTGTTGTGGATAAAACAAAAGTAAAATTATAAATTTGGGATACAGTAAGTTCTAGTCTTATCATATAGGCTGGTTAAGAAAAATATGGTGATTTATTAAAATTAAATTATCGTGAAGCAGCAGCAGTTTTTGTTTTATATGATGTAACACAAAAAATAAGCTTTGAAAAATTACATGAGAAAATAAAAGAATTAGAAGAACATGCTCCTGAAAATATTATTAAAATTTTAGTTGGAAATAAATCAGATGAACCAGATGAAAAAAGATAGGTATCATAATAAGAAGCAAAAAAATTTTCTACTGATTATGGTTTTGATCATTATTTTGAGACCTCTGCCAAATCTGGTGAAAATGTAGAATAAGTATAAATAGTGATTGATTTTAAGGTTTTTGTAGAAGCTGTTAGATCAGTGATTGTGCGCATGTATATGAATTAATCATTTAAAAGCTCAATAATAACAATCGATAATAACATAGGAGATTCTAGATTTGGAAGTGGTACCCCCATTAATAATCCTCCTTAAATTTAGGAACGTATACGATTAAAATCTATACCATAACAATAATATGCAATTCCGTAACAATAATAAGAAAAAAATTATAAGGGATGCTGTTGATATATTAAATATTATTATTTCTTGTAATATATGCAATCAATTAATTACATCCTTTAATTATATTAGAAGTGATATAAAATTCAAATTCAAGAATTCTAATAAATGACACTCAAAAATAATTATATTAAATCATAATAAATTGAGAATATTTATCAATGCTTATTGAATTAAACACAAGGCTTAAAATTAAAAGTTTTTATCGAGTAATTGTATATAATAAAATTTAGAGAAAAATAAATAATCTTCATTAATATTCAATTTGAATTAATAACTGAATAAAATTATTAAAATATATGGATAATTATAATTTCTAAATATTTGTTCCTAAATTTGAAATATATAATATTTTCAGTTAAAGAAATATAATGCATTAGTAGAATTGTTTAATATTATATATTTCAGTTCAGCTTACGTGATAAATTATTAATTATATTTAATATATGATAATGAATAGTAGAACTAATTTCTATCTCCTGATATTTTTGATATCTATATATATAAACATAAAGTCATTTATTTTATTCCAATATTCCACTTGAATTACACCGTGAAAGGGATTTTTTATTTATACTTCTCTTTCTCAAACGTTCATTAAACTAATGTTCTTATTAATTGACACTCTTTTTTATCAAAGAGGCATGTCTAAGATTTATTTAATTTATTACTAATCTAGCTTCTCATGATACTCNTAAATTTGGGATACAGTAAGTTCTAGTCTTATCATATAGGCTGGTTAAGAAAAATATGGTGATTTATTAAAATTAAATTATCGTGAAGCAGCAGCAGTTTTTGTTTTATATGATGTAACACAAAAAATAAGCTTTGAAAAATTACATGAGAAAATAAAAGAATTAGAAGAACATGCTCCTGAAAATATTATTAAAATTTTAGTTGGAAATAAATCAGATGAACCAGATGAAAAAAGATAGGTATCATAATAAGAAGCAAAAAAATTTTCTACTGATTATGGTTTTGATCATTATTTTGAGACCTCTGCCAAATCTGGTGAAAATGTAGAATAAGTATAAATAGTGATTGATTTTAAGGTTTTTGTAGAAGCTGTTAGATCAGTGATTGTGCGCATGTATATGAATTAATCATTTAAAAGCTCAATAATAACAATCGATAATAACATAGGAGATTCTAGATTTGGAAGTGGTACCCCCATTAATAATCCTCCTTAAATTTAGGAACGTATACGATTAAAATCTATACCATAACAATAATATGCAATTCCGTAACAATAATAAGAAAAAAATTATAAGGGATGCTGTTGATATATTAAATATTATTATTTCTTGTAATATATGCAATCAATTAATTACATCCTTTAATTATATTAGAAGTGATATAAAATTCAAATTCAAGAATTCTAATAAATGACACTCAAAAATAATTATATTAAATCATAATAAATTGAGAATATTTATCAATGCTTATTGAATTAAACACAAGGCTTAAAATTAAAAGTTTTTATCGAGTAATTGTATATAATAAAATTTAGAGAAAAATAAATAATCTTCATTAATATTCAATTTGAATTAATAACTGAATAAAATTATTAAAATATATGGATAATTATAATTTCTAAATATTTGTTCCTAAATTTGAAATATATAATATTTTCAGTTAAAGAAATATAATGCATTAGTAGAATTGTTTAATATTATATATTTCAGTTCAGCTTACGTGATAAATTATTAATTATATTTAATATATGATAATGAATAGTAGAACTAATTTCTATCTCCTGATATTTTTGATATCTATATATATAAACATAAAGTCATTTATTTTATTCCAATATTCCACTTGAATTACACCGTGAAAGGGATTTTTTATTTATACTTCTCTTTCTCAAACGTTCATTAAACTAATGTTCTTATTAATTGACACTCTTTTTTATCAAAGAGGCATGTCTAAGATTTATTTAATTTATTACTAATCTAGCTTCTCATGATACTCATCTACCATACCTTAAACCTTTTCTGGTTATTATTTTACAACTTAAATTACTTATTCTTAAATTGCAAGTTTAATAGATTTTTCTTTTTTTTTATTTCTAATATAATGCTCATCTTCTTCTATTAGAATAGGTGATAGATTATTAATTTTTTAATTAACAGGTGATTATACTTCAGTAACAAGTCTAGTTTTTAGACAGCTAATTTATTGCATTTCATAAAGTGCATTTTAGATTTTATCAACAAAGTAATATTTAATATCATCTTTACGACTGTCATAAAACTCTATGCATTGCTAATACATTTGCACTACTTGATTAACACGTTCAACAGTGCATTCTTTAACAATTTTTTATTCAAGAGTAGAAAGCATTGTGAAAAATTGTCTTGTAAGTGGTTGAGGACGATCTAATTTGAAATATTCCTCTGGTGGTACTACACACATATCTTCTTGTTAACGAGGATCAGATTTTGTGCGTGATCTGCTACCTCCTAATTATTCGAAAGCTTGTCGAAAAATTCTCATTATTTTTTAATTTAATTTTATTATTAAATGATGTAATTTTTAAAGATGAACTCTGTTATTAAATATCAATTGTTCTACTTTAGTTATTATTTCCATCTCAATGTTATTCTACTTTAAATAATGTAAATTTAATATAAAACTGGATTTCTGAAATTCAATTACTCATCTATTTTTTTTTTTATAATAGAAATTTCTAATTATCTAGAATTAATGAGTTTTATAAATATAAGTCTTAATAAAAAATTGAGTATTGTATTTATTAATATGAAAGATTTTATTTATCACATAATAAGTGATTTCAAAATTATTAATATTGAATCCATATTTTAGTATCTAATGTAGCTTATATATAGAGTAAGAAGGTTAAACTAAAACAATATTGATTGTAGTTAAGGGTTACTCTATCGAAATTTGGGTTACTCAAACTTAAATAAACATAAATTAAAATGATTTTACATGAATCACTCTTTATTTTAATTCTAAATTTAAATAGGTGTAATGATTTAGATGGATGATCAATAATTTTATTATAAGATAATTGTTCAACCTGGTTCTTCACAATATAATGGATAACTAAAATGTACCAAATTCAAAAAAAGCATCAATAGGTGAAAATGATATAATTAAAAATGGTTTAAATCTGATGAAAAAATAAAATAAGAAATATATGAAGGTGTCTTTGTAGACTAAATATTAACTTCACTTAATGGTTTAGTAACAAGGAAAAAAAATAAAAGAAGTAAATGATTTAGATTTAATGATTTATAGGCTGCAAAAATTCTTGGTATAAAGTATGCAACAGCAAAAACAATAATATTTCACAAAAGACAAAAGAGGAAGGCAAGAGGGAAATGTGGTATAAAAATGTGTGGTTATACAAAAAAGATGGGAAATAGAGTTTCTTATTTTCAGATCATTTCTATAACTGGTATTGATACAAAGTATAGTATGGAGTATATGATGTGAATATCGATTGTGATTTTTTGTCGTTTCTTTTTGTTTAGGAATAATGAATATGAATAATTAATCCTTTATATAACATGAAAGAGGATATATATAGAGAAGAAGAAGAAGGATTAAAGTAAAGTAAAGAAAATAAACTAAATTAGATAAAATTGTAACCAATTCTAAACATAATCAATTGTTTTCTAGAGGTCTGTTAATATTTTTGAAATGAGAAATTAATTGTTTGACTACATCCATCAAGAGTGATTTTAGTACTCATTTTAATGTTATAGAGAGAGATAATGATAAATGAAATATTTTGTATGGGAAAATTCTACAAAGCATTGATGAATTCATTTAAATTATTCATTATAATAATTATAATATTATCTCATTTATTATTTGGCCATTTGATTTTCTTTAACAGATAGTCAATTAATATTTCAGGATTGTGCATTTTAAGTGTGTTTTGATTAATCCATGATACTTTTGGTGCGCGGTTGTTCTTTTGTTTCCAAGAAACTTAAAATAATAGGTTTTATCCATCATTGTCTTTTCTAATTTACAAAATTTCATCCGCAGAATCACCATCATCATAATTTCCCTCTCCAACTTCTTGAACCTGTTTTTATTTTAAAGACTATTCAAAATCAAGCACATAAGTCATAACAGATTGTAGATTTTCAATTGGTTCCCAAGTTTTTTCATTATCGGAATATCCCTACCATTTTACTTCATATTCGGTTCTTCCATTCTTGACTCGTTTATTTGTTATGGCCTCGACCATATATTCTTCTTAAGAGGAGACTGACACAGGAGAACCTGACATCTTTAATTAAATTAATGGCGCTCATAATAAACATCTTGTACTTAAGAGTCTATTAATTTCCTGGTTTTAATTTGTTAATAATCACATTATAAAATGGCTGTCAATGATGTGGAACCTCAAATCCTTATTAATATAATTAAATATAATTATCTTATAACCATTAATAATAATACATTTAGACATTCAACAACAACATCAAAAAAAAAACAATGTCTTTAAAAAGTATCCAATATCAAACTATAATAATGTTAAGTAATTAAATTAGGAATGTTTTTTTGGATACAGTACTAAAATTGTGATGTCTTTATAGATATTGTGTTTTAATGATTGGTTTACATTATAAAGGATTAATTAATATAATAAAAAATGCCACCTAAAAAGGATGAAATTGACATCAATGCATTACCACCACTTAAACATCTTTGTGTCGGTATTCGAATTGAAGCAGGAAAAGCTCGTGCTGCTAAATTAATACACTTACTTAAGGAATGCAAATCATTTCAAAAGAATGTAACTAGAGAAGAAATAATCAATTTTTGTAAAGAGAAGTAGTTGTATGTTGATCCTGCTACTTTAACTGATAAACAAAAGAAAGTACAGTGTTGCTATTGATTATAGGATTCTAAATTTATGGCAGAAGTAGCTACAGAACTTACATCAGAAGTTATGAATAAAGGATTTTAGATGTTCATATAGGAATAAGTCTTATAGATAAGGAAAGCCAAGTATTAAGCAGCACAAGCATAAGCAGCAGAAAAGGCTGCTCCACCAAAGAAAGACGACAAGAAAGATGCAAAGAAGGGAGGCAAAGAAGCAGCGGCAGTTGCACCTATTCCTGAACCTGAAAAAGTTGTACCTGAGAAAGAGTACACTAAAAATTTTGACATTGTTTTTATTGTATAAGGTTTCCCTTAAGTACCATAAGAATAGATTGAATTTATTATGCATGTTAAAGAGAAAGTAATTAATTGGGGTGGAATTGATATGAATTTATTAGAATAAGGAGAGGATTTCTAAGAAGAATTGGAAAAGAGAATGGAAGAATTTGTATAACCAGTTACAATTAAGAGATCCTATTCAGAAGAATCTTTACATTATACAGCTGCAGAAAGAGCAGTCATAGAAGAAATCAAAAAATAAAGAAATGGTTCTCAGAAGACAGATCCACTTAGATAACTTACAATAAAGGAATTGATATTGGAAATGGATTTAGAAGCTGAAGAAGAAACACTTAAATAATTCCATGAATAATTGATTGAAGAAATATGTTAATTTAGTGTAGATCAATAATAATTTAATGAATGGATTGTGAATAAGAAACCAATTCCTTTGATTACTAAGGAAGCACCAAAAGATCCATTTGATTTAGAAGTTGAACGTATTAAGCATGAAGCTCAATAAGCAGAAGAATAATAAAAGGCAGCAGAAGAAGCAATTGCTGCAGAGAAGAACAAGAAAGGAGCTAAGAAAGAGGCTAAAAAAACTGATGCAGAATTAGAAGCTGAGAGATTGGCTGAAATAGAGAAAAATAAATAAAATGAATTGAGAAAATAATAAATTGAAATGGCTTTGGAATAACAATAAAAAATGAAAGACAAATTACATTTATAATATTATAAGCGATAATTATCTGATGTGCAATTATCAAAAGTAGGACCTTGTATCTTATTAGAATGTTTATTAGATTAGTTATCTGCTGAAGCTGCTTATATATAAAGTTCTAAAGTACCTCCTTGTTTAGAGGATTAAGAAGATGCAGAATAAGTTAATAGACTTTTAGCTAATCAAAAAAAAGATTAATAATAATAAGTAGAGAGTGCTAAATAATTGATATTAGATGAATGTGATTATATTGAAGTAAGAGGACATTTTGGATAATTGCATGATTAATAATTTATTGTAGAGAGAGAACACAAGATATTTGACAATTTATGTTTTCCTGGTATTGATAGATAAGGTATGCCTGAAATAGCAGAAAAATCAGAAAAGTAAAGAAAGGCTAATAAAGCAAAATTGCATCCATTTATAAATGTAGATGTAAGTGAATTTGAAAGAAGACAATTACTGTTAACTTTTGAAGAATTACTAAAAGAAAATGAACCTGAATAAGAATGGTATTTGGGAGATCGTATATATTTAGAGAGACACAATAAAAATACTCTTAGATAATAGTTTTATGAAGCATTATTACATGATCCTTAAGTAGTTCTAAAATATTTACCTGATGATGATGCTCTTATGGTTTGTTGTTATTATAAGAATCCTCCTGGAAGAACATTAAGAAAGAAATGGTCAGCTGAATGGAGAGTATTACCAAATTTGGAATACTTTATTTAAGTTCGTAATTTTAATAGTGAATACTATTATGATATTGATTATTAATAAATTGGTGCTATTACTGAAAGATCAAAAATAATGTATCCAACTGATAATTCATTAATAATTGCAACCAAATTTACAGTAGGAGAAGTTGAACGTTTAAGATATAGAGTTATTAAAGAAAATGTTGTATTTGGAATATAAGGAGGTTTTTATGCATAATTTAGAGATTTGAGAATGAGTGCTTAAGATTAGATAATGAATTTGACATTTAAGAATGGTCTTTGTTTAAGGTTTACTTAAAAGGGAGAAGTAGTTTAATAATATTTGTATTAAAAATAATAAGAATAAACTTAAACATTATTAAATTTATATGATAATGCAGAAATCAATCATGAATTAGAAATTAAAAGAGTTATTACAGGATAAGGAACAGTAATAGTTTATAAAAAAGATGGTTCAATCATAGTATTATATGCAAATGGTAATGTCTCTATGTACAAAAATGATATGTGGATAACAACTAATAATAAAGGATTTAGAAAATCATAGAAGGGAATAGAAAAGATTCCTTGTGCTACAAAAAATGATCCTGAAAGTGGTGCCAAAGTTTATATTAGAGATGATCAAACTCTTATTATTTATTATAAGGATGGATCTCAATATACTTAACATTATGATGGAACCATAATGCTTATAAAAGGAGATAAGGTGATTGTTGAACATCCTAATTTTGCTAGTGTTGTAGTCACAATAGACAAGGTGAAATAGAGAACTGGAACTATTATTGGAATGGGCAGTGCTTATGCAAATGTAGGTTTTGATAATATATTTGAAAGAAGTAATGATGGTAGAGTAGTTGAAACTTATTATTAAGGATGCAAAATCATTTCATATATTGAAAAATAAGAATTACCAGAGTATAAATAATATAAAACTAATCGAATTCATTTGATGTACACTTAAGATGGGAGTGTTGCTAAAGTAGTTGATGATGGAGAAATTGTTATTGTAACTGCTGAAGAGAGAGTTAGACTCAATAATAAAGGAGAGAAGAAACCATTAGGATAAGATTTAGATTATTGGTTATAATTGTTTTCTGTATCAGATGAACGTAAAGCTGGAGTTTATACAATTGATTTGACTAGAAAATGTATTTTTACAAAAGATGAAGAATCTAATTATTTCTAAATTGATGAAGATGGAACTGTTACATCTAAGATATCAGTATCCTTAAATCAAGAACCCTCTACTCCTGATTACNACCAAATTTGGAATACTTTATTTAAGTTCGTAATTTTAATAGTGAATACTATTATGATATTGATTATTAATAAATTGGTGCTATTACTGAAAGATCAAAAATAATGTATCCAACTGATAATTCATTAATAATTGCAACCAAATTTACAGTAGGAGAAGTTGAACGTTTAAGATATAGAGTTATTAAAGAAAATGTTGTATTTGGAATATAAGGAGGTTTTTATGCATAATTTAGAGATTTGAGAATGAGTGCTTAAGATTAGATAATGAATTTGACATTTAAGAATGGTCTTTGTTTAAGGTTTACTTAAAAGGGAGAAGTAGTTTAATAATATTTGTATTAAAAATAATAAGAATAAACTTAAACATTATTAAATTTATATGATAATGCAGAAATCAATCATGAATTAGAAATTAAAAGAGTTATTACAGGATAAGGAACAGTAATAGTTTATAAAAAAGATGGTTCAATCATAGTATTATATGCAAATGGTAATGTCTCTATGTACAAAAATGATATGTGGATAACAACTAATAATAAAGGATTTAGAAAATCATAGAAGGGAATAGAAAAGATTCCTTGTGCTACAAAAAATGATCCTGAAAGTGGTGCCAAAGTTTATATTAGAGATGATCAAACTCTTATTATTTATTATAAGGATGGATCTCAATATACTTAACATTATGATGGAACCATAATGCTTATAAAAGGAGATAAGGTGATTGTTGAACATCCTAATTTTGCTAGTGTTGTAGTCACAATAGACAAGGTGAAATAGAGAACTGGAACTATTATTGGAATGGGCAGTGCTTATGCAAATGTAGGTTTTGATAATATATTTGAAAGAAGTAATGATGGTAGAGTAGTTGAAACTTATTATTAAGGATGCAAAATCATTTCATATATTGAAAAATAAGAATTACCAGAGTATAAATAATATAAAACTAATCGAATTCATTTGATGTACACTTAAGATGGGAGTGTTGCTAAAGTAGTTGATGATGGAGAAATTGTTATTGTAACTGCTGAAGAGAGAGTTAGACTCAATAATAAAGGAGAGAAGAAACCATTAGGATAAGATTTAGATTATTGGTTATAATTGTTTTCTGTATCAGATGAACGTAAAGCTGGAGTTTATACAATTGATTTGACTAGAAAATGTATTTTTACAAAAGATGAAGAATCTAATTATTTCTAAATTGATGAAGATGGAACTGTTACATCTAAGATATCAGTATCCTTAAATCAAGAACCCTCTACTCCTGATTACATTCCAGATGGTTTGTTTGTGGATGAAGAAAATAAAGTACTTCCACCACCAAAGTCATGGGTTCCTCCAAGATTATTTTTAGTTAAAAATGATAATACTGGATTTGAACTATTTAATCAAACTCAATTACAAGATTACTTTAGACTTAAATCAGAAAATCCTTTCTGTACTAAATTAATTGATGAATTACCTAATAATGTCAAATCTATTTCATTTATCACTGAATTAAAGAATTAAGCCAAAAAGTTTATTGAAGTTAAAATACCATAAACATTAGATATTGTACCCAAAACTATTTAAAAAACAACTATAATTCCTCATAAAGTCTTTACCTATCGTAATTTTTTGGAATACCTTCCTTTTGATAAAGATCAAAGAGTTCTTCATGAATAATCATTATAAAAATATGAAGTTTGGCAAAAGGCTATGTAGAAAGCATAAAATGAATTTGGAGTTATATAAAAATCTGAAGATGAAAGAGATGCTGAATTTATTATTTAAATGAAAATCTTAGAAAGCAGAAGAACTGATTATTCATATGAATCCTATGATTAAGCCAAAAGTAAAATTACTTTGCCTGATACAACATCCAAAATTGTTGAACCTCTAGAATAAACTATAGTTAGAACACCTAAAGTATAGTAAGTTGTCTAATAAGCCTTTGTTGATGTACAAAGGAAAGTACAAACTATTTAACTCTAAAAATCCATCAAACCATCTGTTGAAGCCTAAGGATTTGTATTAAATTACTTTGATACAAAAGAAGGACACGAATATTTGAAAACAGCACCTGAAGATCCTCCAATAAAAAAACCAAGAGAAAGAATACAATAACCTACAGAAGAACAATAATAACAATAGTTAACATAGAATCAACAAGAAGCTTAAAAAACATTACCAGAAGGAATAATTCCATTAGAATAACCTTAATTGCCTTCACCATAATATAATAATACCAATAATCTTACTAAAGTAATTATTAAGCCCTCTGTTTTCACTCAAGCAGAAATTGATGATGAAATTAAACAAAGAAAACTACTTGATGAATCAATCAGATATAGATAAGTTAAGAAGAAAGATTTTGATGTCTATGGAAAGGATAGAAAAGATATAAAATTGGTGCCTTGTCTTCTTAAAACTAATCCAAAATCTGAATTGAATTAAAAATACATTTTAACAGATGCTTCAACAGACAATAGAATTAAGATTAGTTCTATGGCTACTAGAATTTATTAATAAGCTGCTCCTATTAGTTAACTTAGAAATGAAGGCATGCATCAAACTATAATAAGGACTTTTGATAAGAAAAACAACTTAGATGATCTTATTGATAAAAAGAATCTAATGGTTACTGGTGATATAAATGATAGATTAAAAAAGGATTTGTTAATTTATCCTATAAATGTTTAGTTTGGAGAACTTAAATAAGGTGGATAATACGAATTCAAAATTTCTGTTAAAAATGAGGATATTATGGCTTAACGTATAGTTTTAAAGTAGCCATTAAATAATAATATAAAAGCGTTAATGAAATAGATGGGATCAGTATTCTAATTTATTAATTATTTTTTTAGATATCCCTCGGTTTAGTCAGAGAAGTATTTGTACATATTAATGCAGAAAGAGTTGGGCAATTTTCTGATGAATTGTAAATTATGTCAAAACATTCAATTTATACAATACCAATAACTGGTAATGTACTTGAATAAAATATGTTTGATAAACTCAATTCAGAATAGATTAAACTCACTAATAAACCTCTCTTAAGAAAATATGTTAAAGACTTGAAAGATGTATAATATTTTATATTATTATATATAGACTAAATAATAAGATATAATTGGAGATAGTTAGGATTCTGAACTATTACCAAAAATAAATTATGATAAGAATGTTAAAATTGATGCTTTTTAAAATTAAAAGAAGGATGAATAATCATATGAGGAGGAAAATTGATTATTAAAATTTATAATATATGGATTTAGTAGATTTATAAAATATAAGAATATTATTCTATAATAGTTATTTTAATTAAATCATACTCTAATTTTCTTAATGTTTTTGCGTAGTATGCTTTACATTGATTTAGTCTTTTCTAAAAAGTTTTTGACTCTTTCATCTTCTTTAAATTTATTGGAACGTTTAAGATTTTCAGCAAAACTAATTGAATCAATTTTGACATTATCTTTGACACATTAACATGTTTTAGCTTCTAATAGTAAAGGTAACCAATTAAGAGTGGCTAAATTCACTGCTTCAGCAATATTAAATCCACAATTAAATCCTTAATGATAAGCTCCAGCAAAAATAAACATAAATTCACCTTCATGATGAGCCATTTTTGATATTCTAATTTCAGGTATTTTCTCTTTAAGTAAATATGGATTTATAACTGTTGTTTTATGTCTTAAATATTCTGAACATTTATTAAAATGATCTCCATATATTTATTTAGCATACTTTTCAATCAAATGACTATCAGCCTCAGGTATAGAATACCAGAATCTATATAATAATAATTATTATTCTTTACTTATCTTTACCTACATGAAGGTAATTGACACTGCAAAGATCTAAATCTTCTTTATGCCAAGCAAAGAATGTTTTCCAGGAACCAACATAAATATAAGGTTCATTAACTCCTGGGATACGGTTCTTGAGTCCAAAATTGAGTAAACTTGTAATTTGGTTAAGGTTCCATGAATTATCAACATCCATGAGACTAAGTTTAATATCAGCTCCATAAAGAGGAGGACTAAAGGCTAAACTTTTCCAGTAGAGTTTTTCAAGTTAGTCTGAATTTAGTTTTTCATGTTGTTTATCTATTTCTGTTTGTTTAGCTCTATAATCTTTAAGGGGCATTGACTTTTTTTAAATGTGCAAACATTCATAGTTACCACCTTTACCATAAACATTCTATTCAATAGGACCTTAAATAATTAGATTGTCAAGAGATTTATTGTAATCTTACTAGCGTATTCGGAAGTTCTTTGGAGGAATGATCTACGAATTAAATTAAAATAATTGAATTTACTTTCACCATCCCATAGTTTGTTGAATATAATTTATCTATTTTCTCAATGTAATTATAGAAATTTTCAAACTCTTAAGGTGTTGGATGTAATACAGGGCACTCCTCGATGGTTGTCATTTTTTAAAATAATACTTATAAATCTTGGAATCAAACAAGCCCTTTGAGTACCCCGGTATGACAATATATATGTTTATATTAAAAGAAAGGGAAAGTAAGAAACCTTATAGTTAGACAGATGATTTAAATCTGGATAGAGATTTGATTGAGTTTGTTTACTTGGTTACTTGTATTTTATGGCCATTGCATCTGCTCCCCTACAACACTTTAATTAATTGATATATTAGAATCATTTTTCCGTATCTTCTATAATGTATTCCAAACCTCGTTAAGCTTCTCTTCTCTGATGAGCAAGATTATTCTCAATCTCATTGGCAGCATCAATCTGGAAATGTGAAACAACCTAAGAGATCAAATCGCTTAAATGAGCAAATCGTACAAAATTAGCAGTACTAGTTTCTGCCATTTACTTTGTTTAAATTTTAATTCTTACTTGTTAATGATGCATAATAGTGTTCATAATCATAAAATTTTATGTTGCCACATTTTAAATTAGACTCTATAAACTCTATTATGTTTATCTTAGCTAATCAATTGATGTATTAATGTCTTCTTAATCAGGAATTTGCTAAACCATTTCAATCTCATTTCTTCTCTTAATTTGATTCAAAAATTATCCTAATTAACGCACACATCTTACTTCCCATCTCTTCTAAAATATTTATGTTTAAATTCCAACACACCATTGTTGTGTCTCTTTCTGAATCCATACATATTCAATTATCTAATTACTATTAAAGTTAAATACCTTAGAAAACTAGGTAAATTCTTATGACCAAAATATTCTGGAAGCAAATACTATTACAATCTATCCTAATCAGCCAATACTAGAATTCGTCCACTTTCATCAAATCTGAGTATCTCTTGTTCTTGATTTCCTTATACGATTGTATAAAGTTTTGTCAAAAATACAGGTATTGAATGTCCATTCTCCATTAATTATAATGAATAATACATCATTCACTCAAATCAAGAAATTATAAACTTCCGAAATTAGATTTGTTTTCAATTAACCCCTATATACTTTTACCTGGATATCTATTAATAATGCTATTGCTCATGAGTACATAAAGATATATTAGTTCATCTTCTTTTTGTAAGATTTATTTAAATGTCCTAATTGACTGATCAATTTATTATGATGCATCTTAATAGAAACATGTAGGTTAGACCCTCTATTACACACTATTCCTATTTGTACTCATTATAAATGTAATACTATTGCAACACAAGATAATAGAGAATGAAAGAAGATATTTAAATATATTTCACAATATTAGACTAAAGTTATTGTTAATCATAAAAAATAAATTGAAATACTCTGGATTTTAAATACTCAATAAGAACCTCATGTAAATTTTATATAGAATTAATTAATTCAAGAATCTTTGTTTATTTCATAAAGTTATCCTTATTGTTTTTATTTATCATATTTAAGTTTTTTTTAAACTGAGTCTAGATACTAAATTTCAAATATAGAAGTTTTTATATTCTAGATGCAGAAGTTAAATGAAGGTATGAACTTTTTAAAATAATGTTCAATATAATTAATATTAACAATAAAACAATAATTATTATTGTTTTATTGTTAATATTAACTATAATCATATTTTGATATAATAAATGGAAATTACTCTTATTCATGAACTATTAAAAACTTATTCTGCTTTTAATGATATTAAAAATTCTAATTCAATATTATTAAATCAATAGAATTAAAAATAGAATTCTCAAACTTTTTTTGATAAAATATCATACAAATTTTATAAATTTGAAGACTATTTACAAAATTTATTAGATTTTTACCTATAATCTTTGAATTAAAATTCTATTATATATACACAATAAGATTGATTTGTGAATTCAATTATTGTTCCTATTATGATAATTCAAGATGCCTTGTTAATTTTAATTTAATATTTACTTTTTATTATAAATCCTTAAATCTTATAACTAGTAATTTCTTGTGAATGAGGTGTTTTTTAATAGTAAATGAAATTTAGAGATTTTATTATCAATCATATATATTAATATTGAGTTGATCTTAACAAATTAAGTTATTATTATTATTTTTATTCTAAATCTAATTAATGGCTTAAAATGATTCTGAAGCTACAAAGTAATCATGTGAATTGCAGACAGGATCCAAGAGAATTGCCAAATAACAAGGTCATTGGAATCAAATAGAACACAATGCATATCTCAACTTTTTATTGGAGAATGCCAACCATACCAAAGGGTAACGATTATTCAAGAGAATGAGTTAAGTTGTTGGCACTCGTACACCAAGTTAATGCAGGTAAGAACCCATAATATAAGATCGCATCACTAAAAATTTAATCCATAAAAGACAAAATCTTCTATAGATACAAGTTTTTGGAGATCCAAACAATTTGCCAGAAGCTATTTCGCTTAACATAAACAATCTAATGAAGATAGTAATTGATTTATCTTTGTATATTATACTGAAATGTTAATGGCATTTTTAAAAGATAGTATCATTTTCTTATTTTTGAATCTATATATAATATAAAAATTGAATTCAAGTTTTTCTCTTCCCTTAAGTATTTAACTCTTCTTATGGTAATTTCATAGCAATCAGACTCAATCCTTTTAAAGTATTACTACTCTGAATTTAATATACTTGCTAGCATTAATAAGGCATTTAAAATTACTTTACTACCTATCGTTTGATTACGACCTTATACATCTACTGCAAAGTTCTTTTATTCATACTTATTAGAATTGGATTCCTATACTTGTACTTGCTATTATAAATTGATTTATAATTTCTCTTTCAAACTTTAATACTTCTAACATTTCTGTCTAATATAATTAATTTATAATTTAATTTACTTCAGCATCTCAATCATTTCATAATCATATATTATTTATTTACTTTCATATTCCAATTCTAACTATTCTTTCATTTCTAATCTTTAAAATCCAAACTCTTAAATTAATTCAACATAAATTTATTTTTAGCTGTAATTCTTTCCATTATATTTATATCTATTTTATATAACATAATGAATCTATGGAATTTAAGGTTTCTTAGGTTTTATAATTGATTTCTCTATCTTTTTTGAATGATTCAATATTTGATTTAATTTTTTAAATTCATTTAATTACTCTTAATATTTCACTTCAAATTTATCAAATATTTCTTAATAATGTCTCTATTCCTCTTAAGATAAAGATTCCCATTTTCTTTACAGTAAAGGCCCTACCATATTGATACCAACTCCATTTTACTAAAAAACCTTGCTCTATTCCTTATAGAAGATTTAATAAGCAGATATATATTATCTTTTTGGCAACTAATTAACCATTTTCACTTCAAATTTTTTTTATTTACTTTTTCGATTCTTTTATTTCAAGAATAGATATGTAAACTTGAATAACTGACTCCTTTTTTATTTATCTTGAATGAATTTAAATAACTATTATCCTATAGATCTAAATGATTAATTGTATTTTTTATTAGTAAAAAACAAAATGATAATGTTGGTTTAAAAATAAACATTGTAGAATTATATATCAAATTTAACTTTATCTTTATATATTCTATTAAATTGTATATTTTATTTTTTATGATTTTTAATGATTTTCTATTTCTTTTAATTTTTTATACAAATCCTGATTTATATAATTATTAAGATATTTCCTAATAGAAATAAATTATCAATTTATGATTCATGAATTAAATTAAACAAAATTTCGTTATTACTAAAAATTTAGATAATAATTTAATTTAAAAAAATGGACTATTGTGATTCATGCAGAACTGTGTTGTAAGAGAAAACTTCCTTATTAAACCATATTAAAAACTTACAGGGGAAACTGGAGAAGGCTGAACTAGAATTATAAGATTTAAAAGATGAGAACTAATTATTGAAGGGCAATGGACATACATAGTAAAAATTAAAACGCAAAAATAATATGTTTAAATTAGAATTAGAATAAAGTTACTAAAAAATTGAATAATTATAATTGATAATTCAACATAAAGATATGATAATTGAAGAATAAGCATTAAATGATAATCTTACAGAAAATACTCCTACAGTAGTATAAGGAAAATGAATTACTGAATATTAAATATATAAATACTATTATTAAATTCTAAATTTAACAACTTTAATTTTTAAACTTAAATAATAAAACATAAGTCTTTAGTAATTTTAGAATAAGTATAAATTAATAATGATTAAAGTATTTGATATAATTTCAGATGATTATTATTATATAGATATTATAAAATCAAAAGTATATGATTCACTTTCTTAACATAATACACAATTCTTTTGTAGAAACTGTTGATGTTTTGAATTTGAAACTGAAATTAATTCTCACTTTAAATTATCTTACAAATTTGATCACTTTTTTATTTTGAAATATATACCAATTAGAAAATGATTATACTTTTTTTAATTAAAATTCTATTAGCGAATTGTATTTATGATTATTTTAAGAATTAATGAATTTAGGATGGAATGGCAATTGATTAAGATTATTAAAAAAATTATACAACCTTTCCAGTAAATGAACATTTTAAAAGAATATTCAGAAACTTAGAGATCTTATTTGTTAGTAGGATTTTTACAACAAAAAATATAGTTTTGTGTCAAATACAATTCATTACTACTTTGGAAATCTGATGAATTTGCTTTTATATTAAACTTCAAGAGTTACTCGTTTTATGCAGGATTTTAAATAATTTATGCTATTGATACAAGAAGATTAAATAAAGTATAAATTTAATTATTAAATTTAGTATTTTAGTAGGAGAATCAATAAAATTTCTCATTTAATCATATATTGAATAGTGAGAATCTCTAATAATCTTGATTGTTAAGATTCATTGGAATATTGAATAGAATTAGTAGAGAAATTATATTAATATTCTGAAGTAGTGAATTAGTTATTGAATATAATTATAGTATTCAATTAAATTGAAAATATTACATAGGAAGAATGCTAATGATATTTCAAGATCAAAGGAAAAATAACTTGCATTAAGAAATTATATATGAAGAACATATAAAATCAAATTGTAATTAGATTTAGACATACCTTCATTTCATAAAATTTTTACTTAAAAAAACCGTTTAGAATAGTAAGTGAAAATAAATAAGAAATAATTTGATGAAATATAGTTATTAATTAATAAATTTTGAGTATTAGATTGAATATATATTTTAAGTGTGTATCAAATATATTATTTTAATTATTTTCAATTTTAAAAAAATATCATAAACACAACATATAAACATCATAAATATATAAGTATATAATTATTTAATTAGATTAAGTATATTCTTATATTTCAGATAATGAGGATTAAATAATTCATTATTGTATTATAGGAATATTTAAAAAAAATAAAAAATAAATCTATAAATTCCTTTTGATAAAGATTTCTTGGTGTGAATGGAAGTATTGAATTGGCAAAAAAACTTATTGATATTGAAATGATTATAAAAATGATTAAAATTGATGAATATGTTTGATATATATTTTTATCTAATTAAAAAAAATTGATAAATTATGAGATAACAATCACCTAATTTAAAATAATCAAGGGCAAGTTCAGCTTAACAAAATAATTCTGTTGCTGTTAGTCAGATTGAAAAATCAAAAATTGAGAAATAGTAATAGGCTGTTACTAAACATGATAAAATGAAAAACTATGCAAAAGAATAATAGAATGTTTCAAAAAAAAATGAAACTGTATAATATGAAATTGACCTATTAGATAGAACCTACTAAATTAATTGAATAGAATATGAAATTAAAAGAGTAATTACAAGAATTAATAGTACATCTTGATAATATTGTTAAAAATTAAAAAGAAAAGTAAAAAGTTGAAAAAGAAAAGAAATTTGCTAAGCCTTTAGAACCTGCAGATAAGAAATCTATTTTGAATTAACAAGAAAAATAAATTAATGATAATATTGCACAAATCAAATTATTATCAAAGTAATTAGAATAAACTTATGATATTAATAAGTAATTATAATTGTTAATAGTTAGAATTAAAGAAAAGGAAGATAAGAAAAGATATTTAGAAAATGAATATTAAAAGTTATACAAAGAGTATGAATCACAGTAAAAGATTGATTAAAAATAAAATGAAGGATTAAAATAAATGGATTTGAAGGAATAATAATAAATTATTGCTTAACTTAAAAAAGAATTATAGGAAGAATAAAAAACATCAAGAAATTAAATTGAAGAAATCAATAGATATGAAAAAGAAGTTCAAAAATTACATAATGAAAAAGTAACTAAATAAAAACAAATATCAGATCTCTAATAAAAAATTGCATAGAAAAAGAGAAATAAATAAGCTGAAGAAGAAGTAGATGATAATAAATTAAAATAACTTGAAGATGAAATAATTGAATTATAAAAAAAAAAAGATGAATAAATGAAAAATTATAGTGAAAAATATAAAAAATTGGAATATGATAGAAATTAAATGAAAAATGAAGTTGAAAAAAAGAGAATGTTAATGATTAAATTAGAAAGAGATACTAAAATCAATAGAGTTTTTATACATGAAGCAAATAGATATTTGAGATTGGAAGATAAAAATTCATAAAGATCAAGTAAACCTGTTTTCTCAGCACCCAGAAAACCTACAACACCTAGAAAAGAGACTCCATCTCCTAAATCAGATAAAGGATCAATAAGAAAAAATCCTTCTTAAAATAAAGTCGAAACTATCAAAGAAGAATAATTTGAAGAAACAGTACCAAATTTAGAAATTTAATAATAAAACTTAAGATAACCAAGATCAAAAGAATAAACTGATAAAAATACACATTAACATAAAGATAATAAAAATTAAGAGATATCAGAATCTATTGAAAAAAAGGAAGAGTAATAAGAAAATATATAAATATAAATTGAAAAACCTATTGAATAACAACATTCACTTCATACTAATAATGAAGAAGAAACTAAAAGTTTGATTGATTAGAATGATAATAACACATAACAAAATCAATAAATTCAATAGCCAAAGTATATAAATATATTTAATATTAAGCATTTATAGAAAACCAATGATGATGTTAAAAAAAAAGTGATAACATTAATTTATTTATTTATCAGACAATTTATTTATATATATATTTATATATAATTTCATATAGCAAATGATAGCGATTTTGATTCTTAATCAATACTAATACTATTCTAGTTATAATCTTTTGATCTTCTATTAGTAAAGTATCTAATTTCTAAACTTGGTAAACGAACTCTCTCAACACTATTTAAACTGAATTTTGGTTTCAAATACATTTATTAGTTTTTGTAATAATCTTGTATTGAGTTTAACAATTAATCTAAATTTAAAAACTTTTCATCTTTATTTTCATGTAATAAGGATTTTAAAAATAACGAAAACTTAGACTAATTCAAGTTTATATAAGTTTTAAGAGATTTATAAAGATTTATTTCTTCTCTTGGAAGTTCTATATACTTTGGGTTTATTTTAGTAATTTTATATTATTTAAGAAGTTCTGTTTAAGCTTAAAATTCTTCATCTAGTTCAGAATACTTAATTTGTAAACTTGCTAATTTTTTCCTAAGTTTCATTATTTTAACCATCATAGATTCATGTTAGAATTTGATAGTTTCTAATTCTTTAGTTAGGTTTTAGAAATCTTCAGAACTTAGAATATAATATGATTTAACATTTCAACACTTTCTTATTTAATGATTATTCTTTCAGCAGTATTTGACTATTTAGGAGGCTTCTTTTTAGCTTATAATATTTGATCAAGTGATTTTATACAAAATTATAAACTAGAATAGAGTTGTTATATCTTTGGATCTTCGTTTAGCATTAATAATAATAATATTTCTCAAATAATAAAATTGTATATAATAATATTTGTAAATATATATGATCCTAATTCTAATTTCAGTAGATAATATCATTTAAAATAATGGCTAAGAGACAATCTAACTATTTTATAAATAAATGATTAATTTGGGAACCGCGTTTGATTTATTTAATGGCTTATCTTAAGTTTCTGATTTATATTTATTTATTATTTTTTATAAAACATTTAATGTTCAGTTATCTATTTTTTAAAAAGGAATATAAATTTTCTTAAAGAAGATTATCTTTCTATTTTTGTTTTTAAATATTAAAGCACATCTTAAAATACTTATACTTTCTAATAATAATAATAATCTATTAGATATTAAAATATTATTAATTCAGCATAATGTTTAAATAGTCCTTATCTATTAACTATTTATTAAATATAAATCCATTAAAAATTTATACTCAAGTTTGAAAATATTGATATGTGATTTCTATTTATGAGGATTGTAAATATTATATTAATTTTGTTGGAAATTAATATATAATAAATTAAAATTATAATTTGATTACAAAGATGAAAATAAAAAAATAGAATAATAATTCATCTTGAGTAAAAAAGGAATCTATATTTTAATTCAATATAAAAATAAAATTTTATATTGATTGAATTAGATAACTAATAAAATAATAAAAATAATAAATTCATAAGAACATTATATTTACTAAATTATGTCAATTATTTTGTTAATGTATATTGTAATGTAAATATAGATTTCAAACTTTCAAAGTTTATAATCTCATTTTTTCCATTAATTTTTTTACAGCATCTGCTTACATAGATACTCCAGAATTAATTAACATCTTTGGAATACTACCTTTAGGATCAACATTAGCAATGATAATAACCTAACAAATTCCCTGAGAAATCTCTTTAATCAAAAATGCTGAAATAAATATTTCACAACGAGTATAATTCTTTTTATTAGGAACAGAATCTAATTAAACAGATTTGGCTGAAATAAATTATAAATATATTACAAACAACCATGTGAGTACCATCTTTAAGTATGGTTCTTCTAGTAAGAGCAACCATGTCTCTTGGGTCGACTAAGATTATAGGGGATTTGCCAGCTCCATAATAAATAACATTATTTTCGTCTATTTTCTCTACAATTTTGGCCTAAAAATGATAAATATAATAACTTCCAAAAAATTCTCATCAAATTCAGCTCTTTTAGTCATATCAAAGATAATATCCATGGCTTTCTTTGGATCCACATTCACTTTGAGTTCAGTTCTAGTCATTTTTAATCCAACTTGATTTAATTTAGAATATATGATGCAGTCATTTTTATCATGTTCCTTAGTCCATTAACCTTCCTATGGCTATTAAAAGGCCATTTAAATGGCTTGTTCTTAGATTTCTAAAAAAATAATTTAGAAATGAGCTTACAGTCTAATTAAGCAAGGTAGCTGTTTTCCATTAAAGTTAATAATATAAAAAAAGGATTTCTCATAATCTTAAATATATAATTTTTAGTATAAATTTCTACATTGTTCAAATAAATGATCAGAAATAGATTCATTATTTAATTAAATACTTATAAGAATGGTTATTGAGCTATTTCAAATATGAAAGTTGAGTTTTAATTACTTGTTTATATTTATATTAGATGTTATTATTAACTTTATAATTTCTCATCTATTTCTGCAATTGTTTTAATGAAGAAGAATAAGTAATAAGTTAAAATAAACTTAAAAGAGTACCTTAACAAATCCAATAAAAGAGTACCATTTAATTGAATGTGAGGCAGATGATTAATGCAATAGATGCAATTATATTTAAATGAATGAGATAAAACAATGTTAAGTAAGTAGATAAATACAAAGAATGATTTGTTATTATTAATTGGGTGATGATGAATAAATTCGATATCCTTAAGTAGATTATAAGGCATGTAATTTGCATAAAATTGGAATATTTTCAAGTGAATTTTTTATAGTAGTAATTATTTTTGCAGTAACTTTGTTTTCCTGGTATGTTGTAAGTAAAGAGAAAGATGAAACCGAGAAATAGCTTCTATATAAAATTCTAAGAAGCTGAATAAAATGCTTGAATTGATTATAATTCATATATAAAGATTATTATGGATTTATTTGAATTACCTTCTTATAATACAATATTTTTGAAAATATTTATTTTTGCTAGGATCTTTTATTTGTAATTGGGAAATTTAATTTGAGAGAAATAATACATAAAAGAAAATAATTAATGGAAGCAAAGAAGATCATTGGCTTAGGCAGTCCATTGTTAGATATTTAAGCTGAAGTACCAGCAGAATTTCTTGAGAAGTATGGTTTGACACTCAATAACACTTATTTTGCTGAGGAGAAACATCTACCATTATATGAGGAATTAATTAATATTCCAACTCATTCTCATGTTCCAGGAGGTAAAGATTATAATTTATTCAAAGGATCTGCACTTAATACTATAAGATTGGCTAGATGGATGGCTTAAGCAGGTTAAGGTCAAGTGAAATTTATTGGTTGTGTTGGAAAGAAAGATAAATTTGCAAATATGTTAATTGAGGTTACAAACTAAGATGGAGTAACAACTTTATTTGATGAATAAGATCAACCAACAGGTAAATGTGGTGTGTTATTATGTAATAAGGATAGGTAATTATATATTTTATATTTAGATGTTTGGTTCCATTAATTGGTGCTGCAGCTCATTTATCTGAAGATTATGTTAATTAACATATTGAAGATATTAAAACAGCTTCTGTATTATTTAGTGAAGTGTATTTCTTATATCCAAGAGCTGAACTTACAAAAAAAATTTATAAAGTTGCTTCAGAAAATGGAGTCAATACTTGTTTGACTCTTTCAAGTGTAAATGCAGTAAGTGATAAATTCAATGATATTTTGGCTGTATTACCATATGTTGATTATTTATTTGGTAATGAAGAAGAAGTTGAATAATTTGCTAAGAATTTAAAGTTTGAAGGAGATCTATCATAAGTAATGTAATAAATAGCTGCATACGAAAAACATGGACAAAGAGAAAGAGTTGTTGTATGCACTTAAGGTAAGAAACCAACATTGATTGCTAAAAAGAATGAAGTCATAACTGTTGAGGTTTAATTGGTTGATGTTTCAAAGATTGTTGATACAAATAGTGCAGGTGATTCTTTTTGTGGAGGGTATTTAATTAATTTTATATATTAATTAGATTTATTGCAGAATTATTAAATGGTCCAGATCTTGTTAAATGTGCTAAGGCTGGTAATTATTCAGCATCATAAACTATCTAACATGAAGGTAGTACAATTCCAAAATATGCACCAGTAAAAACATGGTGAAAAAATATTTGTTTTACATAAATAATAAATATAAAATATTTTAATGAGTTTGAGTTAACAATTAAAAGAAGAGGAAGGAATTGACTAACCCATTCTACCTGTCTCTACAGTTCCTGTTCGTAGAAAAAATAAAAAAAGGCAAATTGTCAATCCTAGTTAAAACACTGGACATTGGAGCTAATAAGAACATTAAACTTATTTAGATTTTCTCCAATAAAACCAATAAATTATGGAATCTTAGGATTAAAAGAAAAGCAATAAAATCTTTAAATAAATGAGTGAGATTATTGGAAGTCGCAGTCCTTCATAATGTAGGTAATACAAATTCAATTTATCAAATCAGATCACATCATTAAAAATTCAATCCATTTATTCATTAAGTCAAGAAAAGATAAAAAGGTGCAGGAAGAAAGAGAAAGGATAATCAAATTACTTAACCAATTTAGCATCTTTATCATTTCTATTAATAACCCATTATATCTTAACATCAATTAGACTTTCCTATATTCTAACCACCATACCCTGAAGAAATGATCTACCAATAACCAATTACATCAGACAGAAGTCTCCTTTACAATTTCGGTTTCCTTCCATAATTTTCTATAAATTTCAATTACTATAATGATTTGTTAGTAAATTAGACTATGTACTAAAATGATAAAGAGAATCAATTTGAAGATTAATGATATTATTCATAATTTAAGTTTACTCAATACTATATCATAAACCAATTTATACTTAATTAAATCAACCAATCTCTCTTTTAACTTTAGGCTAACATTTTTTAGATCAAATTTTTAGAGATTAATTCCAAATCGTAAATGGATCACTTTCTTTTAATTGTCATACAATTCAAACAAATAAGGAATAGTGATTGAAACTTTTTTATATTTAATAAATTCTTAATATCATCTTATTGATATTTTATTATATAATTCTTTTAGTGTGTCATGTAACTACTCTATATTTTAATTTCCTTTTTACTTATGTTTATTAAAGCCATTCATTCTTCAGAATAAGAAGTTGGTCGCAACGTTAGAAGGTAAGTTTCATCTTTATGGCAACTTTAGTTCAAAAAAGAAATATCTATGGAAGTTCTCAATAGATAATGTTGATCAAGAAATAGCCCTTTTTATTTCATCACTTTCAGGCAAGAAAGAAGTTAGACATAATGGGAGACCTATTCATTAAGAATCTAGGTAAAACTTTTTCCATATCATTTATTTTCAGTTTTTTTGGTGATTTTAGATATCTACATTACATTTAAAAGTGTCTTGTAACTATTGCCCCCAGATTCGATTCATATGAACTTTATTTGGATAATATTCCTTTTGCTGAATATTACAATACCCGCAACATAAATCAAAGTCATAATCCTCAAAATAGACCTTTAAACAATGATGATGGTGATTAGTATGATCTTAGTCCTCTAAAAGATCCAGAACCGCCAAAAAAAATATCATAAGATCAATTATAGAAACTTAAACTAACTGTGCCTAATGAACAAACAAACATAACTTCAAATAAAACTGTCACAAAATAATAAGAACTTTGGTGGAAATAAGGAGTTAATGAAGAGTTTGCCAATTTTAGTACACCTTCTACTAATGGAACAGACAATTATTTTGGCAACTTTGGTTTCACATTTGATACCCCCTAAAAAGAATCTAAAAAATCAACTTAATAAAATCAACAACAAAATAATCACAATTAAAATGAAAAACCTAATCCTTTCTTTGAATTTAATTAGAATTCTTGGAATGTACAATCATAACCGTAAAATAATTGTAATTTTGGTTGCACTCAATAATCATCTCAAATTAAGCCATTACAGTCACCATAATAATATTCAGAACCAAAACTTCCTAGTAAAACAGAATAATAATATAATAATATGATTACACCGTAAATATTAAACTAATAAAATCAAAATCAATTATTTAATTAATATAATTTTAGTAATCAATAATAATAATCATAATAATTAATATAATAGCAATAATAATAATAATAATAATAATAATAATAATAATAATAATAATAGTAATCATAATAGATTCAATAATAGTAATAATAATATTAATAATAATAATAGTAATAATTTTAATAATAATAATCATAAGTATTCAATTTTTAAACTACACAACCATAAGTTAGATAATAATAATAAATTGATTTATTGGATCTTTTTGAATCTTGTTAACCTTAAAAAAATAACACAATCTAATAATAAGAATTTAAAAAGAGTCCTTCTTAAGCTTCTATTATGCCACTTTAAATTTAATCTTAGATTACACCTATATAATTACCAATATAATAAAATCAAATTTTAACCAATCAATTTCCTAATCATTTAAATTATTAATCATAATCCTAATATTCAAATTAAACTTAATCCACATATCCATAGTATCGAACTATATAGTCATTAACACCTTTGACATCTTCATATTAATAAACACAAAAGCAGATGCCAAAAGAATTAGAAGATATGTTTGATTAACCAGCATAAGTTGTTTAGCCACCAATTTAAAGAAGATCAACACCATTTGATGATGATTTGTTTGCATGAATTATAAATTAAGAATGAATATACATAACAATAAACAATTATTATTTTAATTAAATTAACAAAATTATAATTATATCAACCAAATCCATATCCTTCTAAACCAATAGTAAAGGCAATATCTAATTTTTATTTCATTTATCCATAATTTGTATACAAAGGAACTTCAATTGATTTAAAGCATGTATGAGCTAAAGGCAATTTTCGAATATCCAAATTACTTTTGAATTCAACTGATATTATATATGAACTTTAATCAAATGGAATAGCAGAGGAACCTAAAAATAAAATTGAATAAACAACCAGTAATAAATTTTAACATGTTCTTTAATGTTTATGGATCAGCTTGATTGACATATGTTTCAAAGTAAGATTTGTGATTTGCTTTTCCTCCATGATATGATATCTTTTGTAAAATAACATCTGGTTTAATTTCAAGTAATCCTTATGTAAGTAATGATATTTCAGAAGGTTTTAACCACTTTTAGAAAATCTTAAAATAAATTCAATTAGAAATTACCTTTAAATCAACAACAGTTGTAAATCCTTCAATAAAAGATTAATAAATTTCTTTGAATTATTAATAAATAATATATTCTGCTGTTTTGTCTAAATATTAATGAACATTATTTGAATTCACAGATATTGTAGTTCCATTTGGAATTAACTCAATAGTAGAATTTCCTATTTAATAAGTAAAATCCAAATAGAGAGATTCTAATGTCTCATGACCCATATCTCTAAGATTAGCATAATTAGAATATGTTTATTTATCCCAAATTAAGATTAGATCTTCAAATACAATTTTTTCACCATAAACAACTTTCCAAAATGGGCTTATAATATCAATTCCAATTATATAATTATTTGCTATTGCATTAGCAATTAACTATAAATATATAATTAAATAATAAATAATACTTTTCCAAATAATAAAGCATATTCGTTTTTATTTTTTATTTTGTTAAAATTGTTATGCAAAAAATATTTCCCCAAATTTCCTTGAACAGGTTAAAAGAATTTATAAGTATCATTTTTTAGAGTATTGCCTATCATATCATAAAATTCTCTTTTTAGTCCTCCAGCATCAATACCAGGTTCATCTTAAAATTTAATATTGAAATTATAATTCATCTGTTTATTAGCTAAAACTAATAAATCTTATAAGAAATTCAATCTTCTAACCACTAATTCATAATTAATTTGTTTCAAACTTTTTTCTATTTCTTCTTCAAAATTCTTTCTTCTTTTTTCTAAACATACACCTGAAATCTTAATGGGTATTACTTTAAAATAATAATAATAAAATAATACTTTTTTTAATTTCTTAGTTAATCAAAATCTTTATTTATGTAAATCGTTCATTTTCTTCTACATCATCAGGAATGAAATGAGCTTTTGCATTCAAAGATCCACTTTTAGTCAAATTTTAAAAATTAACTTATAAAGTAATTCCTTGAATACATATAATTTCACATATACAATCCTAATAAATATCATTTTCAATATCACCATAAATATTTGAATAAGAATCTCTTAATTAAAATGTAAATGGAATATCTTCATAAAAGGGGATAGTTTATAATTCTTGAGGTATCTCAATTTCACTCTCTTATAAACTAGGAGTATTAGCCAAAATAACATATCTACCTTTTATTCTGACATCATCAATATACAATTTATAGACTCCTTTAAAAGTTGGGGTCCAAATTAAATTCAATCCTATTCCTATTCTTTCTTATTTTGGAATATATTAAATTTAATTAAATAAAGAATGTACAAACACTAGAGTAGTGTATGAGAAATTATTAATAGGATTTTCCAAATTATCTTTAAATTCAATATAATCGATTCTTTCTTATCCTGTTCTTGATGCCACTCCAAGTTCTTATTTACTTAGCATATTAATTGTATTGTTTAATTATAAATCTTTAGAATGACATAAAGGTTCATATTCTTTATGTAATAGTATTTCATCCATTTTTTAATTTGACTTTTTTAATAAAAGTTTCATCATTTTGGCTTCCCCAACTCCAAAAGTTACTTTTTCATTTTAATCATTTTCAATTATATTAACTTCACCTTCTATTGTTACTTATTTATGAGCTGTTTTACTTAAATCTTATGTATTTTATGTATAGTATTCAAATGTAATTTGATTTTATATTTGATTTTAGATTATAGATAAACTATGTGGTTGTGAAGCATTTAATTAGATTTTTAGTATTTTATCACTAATAAATTCAAATAACAATGTTCTATTAGTTATAAATCTGTATGAAACTTAAAGTTATCCTTTCTTTTTTTCTTTTTTAATTAAATTGGATAGAGTTGTTTTCTTTTCTTTAGCTTATAATATTTATATTTTATTTAATTGAGAATCCAAAGGTTTATTAGATTCTACATCAAATATCAATAAATAAATGGGATTGCAAATATTTTAAATATAGGTGATTTATTAGAAATAATTAATTAATGGTTTATAAGTACAAGATTTCAAAGTTTAGAATTTAAGATGGATTCCATCTACTTTAAAGATAAGATAGATTTAATCAAATTAATTAGGATAAATTATATCTAAACCTTGTAATCTCCCTTTGTCTAAATTAAATATTAATATTTCAATTTATGATGTTTCTTCAATTCCACTTAATAATTCTTTAGGATTAAGTTCTAATTTATCTATTATAATCTCTGATTTTTCATATTTGATTTTATCGTTATATCTATTATTAATATAAAATTGATTTTTGTTAAGATAATCTAAGAAGAAATCACAGATATTAAAATCAGAAAAGTTTTCATAATTAATTATTAAATGAGATTAATTATCAATAAATTAGTAGATAGTATTTTTGTATTATGTTTTAATTTCTTTTTATGCTAAAATAGATACCTATAATTTAATATCCTAATCGATCAATGTCAATAATTTAAAGAAATATTTTGTTAATAAAATGATATCAACTACTGTTTTAATGCTTTCTATTTATATATCTTTAACTTCTACTATATTTAAATTTTCATAAATAAAATAAGATTCCATTTTATTGATCTAGAATTTCAATATTAAATTAAATAAAAATTATGCAATCTAATCTGAATCAGGAACTTATACATTATTCTTATTATCAATTATAGTATAGAATCTTAAGATCTTATTTTCATATTAAATTAGTTATTTTTAAGTTTCATTACTTTTTTCAAAATAGAATTCTATTTTTTCAATAAATGTTTTTATGAAATTAATTTTCAATATTTAAATTGATTAAATATCAAATAGATATTATAATGAATTATTTAATTTTGGATAAGAGTATCCATCTTAAAATATTTAATAACCATATTAAAATGTTTCAAATATAGTTCCTCCTACAATTATACAACCTAAATAATAATTTGGATTTGAATTCATTTAATCATCAAAATGAAGGAAGATGTTTTCTAATTCTGTATGTTCATTAAGAAATTTAATAAACTTTTTCTATAATTATTGAACTATTATATTGGTTTCAAAATGACAAGCCATACTAACAGATGCAATATCAATTGAATCTAATTTGAATTTATCTCCATAGATTCTAACATAAATTGTTTATCCTTAAATTAAAGATTGTTATTTCTTTAATTAATGAATGGCAGCAAAATCGAAATTGATTTAATCTGGGAAAATTGGAGTTAATTAAGTTAAACTTAAATCATTATAGGAGGAAACAAGACCATATCCAAATAGATTGTCAAGTTTCTCTTATTTATTGAATTCATCCTATTCACATTAGATTTAACTCATAAGAGTTACAAATTTAGGTTCATTACATATTGATATATTTCCATATTGATCAGTGAAAAATACATTTAAAATTGATTAATTAAAAATAGGATCAGATGGCCATATAGGTTGAAAGAGTATTATTGATATTAAGTCTTCAATTTAAACATAAAGTAGTTCATGATTAGAATAAGTTTATCCAGAATAATGGGCTTAATTTCTATTAATTCTATCATTTGTTAAGAGTGGTTCATTCATTTAATCTAATTAAGAAAATAAAAAATGTCCTGGTTTAGAATTATAAACTAATTAACATGATACTAAATTATTTTTTTAATTTTCACAATAGACTATCATACAAACATCTCCTAATTTACTATTATTTACATAATAATTCTTAGAAATTTAAAATCCAAAATGATATGATAATTTTATATCATTTTTTTATGTGACTTAACATAATCTCTATAAAATCTTAGATTTCTATTTTAATTATAATTATCTTGTATTTGATACTATTATATTCATTAATGGTTGATTTTATCTTAATGCAGATAATAAACATGATAATCTAATATTAAACATTTCATCAAATTATTCAGCTTTTATTTATTTTAATAAATAATTATACAATTCTTCTTTAAAATATTTATTTAATTTTAATAAAATATACCAAATTTATTCCATTTCTTTTAATCTACTTTTATTATTCTTATTTTAATTAATTTTAGATATTTCACTTTAGAAGATTGAAGCTAAAGATTAATGATCTACTGATAAAGTTATAGTTTTATTTAATAATTTACTCAATTAATTTGAATAATCCAATAAATGTCGATCAATATCCAATTTATTAAATAAGTATTACACTAATTATTCTGGATTGAATATTTAATTATAAAAATCATATTCATTAATTATACTATGAAAATATTCTTAAATTAATGGATCTGGTTTAAATACATATCTAATATTTTATTAAGTCTCTTATTAAATTATTATTTATTATTATTTTTAATTATATATCCTAATATTTAATCTAATAATCAGTATGTGATTATAAAGAAGATAAGTAGTATTTCCAAATTAGAAAATCTTATCCAATCCTTTTTTTAAATTATTCTATACAAATTCAACTCCTTACTCTTCATTGAATTCAACATAAACACCCCTAATAACTTTTAATATTTATTATGCTTTTATCAAATTATTATATAGTAACTAATGTAAAATC